ATGTACAGGAGATATATCGCATCTTCCGTTCTCATGACGTTGAAGATTATCAGGGAACCTGCACCGATTGTATCGGAAGTGATATTTTGTCAATGAGTGGTCTGATGCACCACTTGGACTACCAGCAAACCAGCAAACCTTCGTCGAACACGAAGCTTCTCTGTACACATACCGCATGGAAGCTATATCTGTGCGTAAACTCACGTTGAAGACAGTTGTATTGCAATCCTGACTAACGCACCCTTGTTCGGCAGGCTCGGACTCAGTAGGCAGGCTGACTCCATGTGCGTATACGTGTGTCTCTGCGTCTATCAGCATGTGTTCTTCACCGCAGGAGCCTCTAGAAGACCAAGCCCTGCGGTCTGTGGTTCTGATACAGGTGTGAGGGTTGAAACTCTGTTCTCCATGGACGCAGTGAGTGCTCAGGACCCTGGCATGGTATATATGTCGCCTCTCGCTGCCATACATCCTCACACTCACAGACACATCCTTTTTTTTACGACTCTACGGGAGACAGGCACTACAATGGTGATGCACAGCCGAGTCGACAAGATCGTGTCTTCTGTTGAACATTGTTCTATGTGAGAATGCGCCTAGGTCTGTGCAAGCGAAGCGTTACTAACTATGCATGTCAGTGTGGCCTCTATAGAATCACGTTTCTCCCTGCATCACTCAGATCTTGCTGGCGATAGAGAATGGTACGCAATTATCCGTGGCAGGTATACGCTGAAGCTGATGCATTCACGAAGTAGCCGCGACATCGATCCCATACCCAGGACGACTACACCCGACAGCGGCTACATCTCAGAGCTTGAGTACGGCAGATTTGATTAAATCCAAATCACGCGCTGACTTTACTGAGTAGAGAACCTGCAAAGCCATTCGTGGGTGTCGATCGTGGTTCTGACGGTTTCGAGCCCACGAATGCTCCGCGTATATTCGCATTCGTGGTGGCCGTCAACGAATACCACTCTCCGAGTGTCCCTAACTTGTCGGGATGCATCAACGACGCTCAGGATTTCATGGACTACTTGAAACATGTCCTCGACGTACCGACGCCTAGGATTTCGAAACTGATCAACGGAGAGGCCACCCGTTCCGCTATTATCAACGAGTTCAAGGCCCACTTCTGGAACAATCCGGACATTCACCACGGCGATGCTCTCATCTTCTTCTTCTCCGGGCATGGCAGTTATGCTCGTGCACCAGAGACTGGCCTGCCCAGAATGATCTGATAGAGCTCATTTGCCCGTACGACTACATGGACGAGGACAAGAACGATGACAAGTACGGGATATCTGACCGAACGCTTGACGGGCTTATGCGGATATTGGCGGACCGCAAGGGTGACAACATCGTATGTTCGCGCCTTCCCGTTCATGCTGTCGAGAGTGACTCATCATTTCTGGCCACGGCTAGACGGCTATCCTCGACTGTTGCCACTCTGGAGGGATGGCAAGGGAGCTAGATCCCCGGGCCGCGAGGGCGACCTCTCTGTGTCGGTGAGGTCTGCCCCAAGTTATTCCACACCTATCCCCCCGACACTAGGCCAGGAGATATGGGGCCATCACACATCGGACCGAGCTGTATCTTGGGAAGTCCCATCAGCATACAAGGCGACGTCATCATACATCTTGTTGGCTGCGTGTCGCGCCACTGAGAAAGCCAAGGAAATGCGTTGCTCGTCCGATTCACCTGGAGCCGGGATGCCAGAGAACGTCCGCGGTGTATTTTCCGCCAACCTGATCCAGACACTACGCACCATGGGGAGGGAGCGGTTAGAGGCGCTCACGTATGCGCGTTTGATGGACGATCTTCCGCGTCGCGCGATCCACTCACTCCCTTCGCTCCTTGAGCAACATCCGCAGTGCGATGGCACCCACAGTGATAGGGTGCTCTTCAGCACGCGTCGACTTCCCGATGCCCCCGATTCATTCATCCTGATCAGACATGGGGACACTTGGCACGTGCGAGCCGGGACAATTCATGGGATTACCAAGGGGACGCAGTTCGCTTTACCTCCACCACTTTCGGGTATACAAGCAAAAGGTGGAGTGATATTCGAGGCGGAGAATGTGTGGCCAACGACATGCGAGGTGCCGTGCCGCTCGGCCGGTGTAGAGTTCGACTCCTCGATCCCTCAACGAGTGGTCGTCACACACTGGAACCAGCCAATTTCGCTCGCCACGCGCGTGTATGTCCGTCGCACCCCCGGGGACGATGGTCTTGCTATCAATACCAGGGCGCTCTATCGAGTGACGCATGACGAGGACGCCTTCGACCTAACACTAGATGCCATTCCGGGTGGTTGGCGTATCGAGAGGTTCGATCCACTCGTCACACGTTTCTTCGGCAGCAGGCGCGTTTTGGAGGTTGCTGGCAGGTCGTCGGCGCATGCAACAGGCGTTCTGGACGCGATTTCCCGTTTCAACTTCCACCTATATCGGTCCAATGTGGACGTTGCGGTTGACAAGGAACTCCGCCTAACCGTCCAAATGCACGCTCTGGAGGAAATGGTGGAGACGGTCTGCGAGGCATGGGAGCAGTCTCACAGTCGTCTCGGCCGAGGAGAAGAGGTCGTCCTTCGCACTGTGCAGGGCATGACATCGCTTTACTGCCACAAAACCGATGCTAGTCGCTGCTCGGGGAATATTGATGGCCAAAAGTGGGCCGATCCTCGTCACTTCCATATCCCAAAGCCTGTGGAGGAGGCCATGATAACGAACTTTGATCGCCAATACGGCTTCACGCTGGTCAACAATTCGAGCATCGATCTCTTTCCATACGTGTACTTCTTTGATCCGAGTACTTACGCTGTCAAGGTGTGTGTCCTGAGCGCTGAGCTCTTTGGAGTTATATTGTTCATTGACATCCCTGCACAGGAGCTGTTTTCACCTCGATGGGGCACCTGTGAAGCACCTCTTCCAGTCAAAGGCCACATTTGTATTGGCTATGGCGGATTTGGTACCAACCCTCTACGATTCACGCGGCCGGAAACCCATTCTGATAACGCAGTGGGCTTCCTCAAGATATTCGTCTCCACGTGCTACGTCGAGCTGAACATCGAGCAGCCACCCCTATTCGACCCACCGGAAAAGGCGGTGCATCTAGGCCACATTCCTATGTGTGATCCACCGGCCAGGGCAGCACATCTTGGCCACATTCCTATGCAGGACAACTGGAATTCGTGGACCTACGTCTTGACGTCACAGGCGACAAAAGACCCATGACGGTGAGGTCACCCTCTTCCACGGCCATGTGTATTTGTACTGGTACCACGTCGCTATAAGTCTGCCATTCGTGATGGACTAGTATCTGTAGTTTTATGGTCCCATCGCTTGTCAAAGACATGCCACATGCAATGGAAAAGGTGTTGGTAACGGAGCACCGCGTCAAGGCTTCTGGGCATATGCCGAAGCTGCGCGATCCCTTTTACGCATATGGCAGGCACGAACGATCCTCTGCTGCATAACAACACCTCGGCCTCGGAAGTGGCACTGTTCAAACTCGACTGTATTGATTGATCCCAACGCTGATAAGCATTCGAAGAATCGATGGTGCGGTTCCTGCTCTGGGGTCGTCCAGCATATGTTTTCCATCATGATTCTTGTTAGGGCCGGTAGGGTATTGGGGCGCAGGCGGAAGGGGATGGTTCGAGCGAAAGGTCTCGCAGGATCATCTACTATCCGGAGCGTCTCGACAAGCTCGAAAAGTCGACGACAGCTTCGCGAGCAGAGAATGCGCGCTATGCACCGGAGTATGCGTTCGTTTCTGATCGTCATAACGGTCTCCCGCCGTAAGTGATACTGGCTAGAAGGATGCCATGTCTTGCACGTCAGGGCGCAGTTCAGTAGTGTAGGTGGATCCGCAGTGACGTTGAGAATTAAAAAACACTATCACAGGCAATCCCAACACTCTACCAGTACTAGTCCGGCATGGCTCGAGTGCTATGTACTCTGATCAAGGCCAAAAACCATACGCATTATCAATCGCGCTGTCGACGCATGAGCGCCGAGCGTTGTCCTGATTCGGATGACCGCGCGACGCCCGAGGCAATTCTCACGAGGCGGGGGTATGTCCCTTGGACAGAGCCACCGTCTCCTTTAGGCAGGTGCATCAGATGAGGATCTCTGATGTGACCGTTACTTTGGGCGCTTCACGGGCGTCTATTCAAAGGGGGGGTCGCCCGCACAGGATGCCCCAGACGTGTCGGAGCGGTGGTGGGGTGCGTCCACACGGATGGGTACGAGACCATCATCGCCCTGGGCCGTAACGAATGAAAGTAAGATGTATCTTGCATTCGTAACCACCTCATCACAACGAACGACTCGGAGTCGCCCGGGCCCGCCAACTAGTAAGTACATCGCAGAAAAGCGGTTGATCCTTTGTCAAGTATGGGTGGCGGTCGAGCGGTGAATAACAGTTCAATATAGCCTGCCTCCTGAGCGTGGATAGCAGGAGCCTGAGCATTAGAGTCGGGACTTAGCAAGACTTCACTTGAGCAAAGTTCGCTCAGTGAAGGTCGAGGAGCAGTGATCCTAGGCGCCCGCTGGTACGCGCACACGTGACTGCTGTCATCTGTCGCGCCACAAGTGAGCGCGTCGATTCTCTGATCATGTAAGTACCTACGTACGTGGTGGCTTCCAGAGATTTGAGCTCCGACTTCAACTCGCATACAAGTACTGCACCACTTCTGCGCAGACCTTGCTCTTTCCTTCCACCATCTTCAGAAACTCAGGCGATGCTCCTTAGACAGGACCACTGAGTGCCACCCAGACTCGGATACTCTCATATACTGGGTCTTCTAGGTAAGCTATGTTTCTGTCTGAGTATGTCCATTCGAGAACCTGTGCGCATACGATGAGACCCGCTGCACCGATGCGATGTCGCCGTACAGCATATATGCGCATATAGTCCACCGCTCTGCGAGGGAATGTCTGTCCGAGTCTCAGTGGACAGTATACGACCGTACAGCTGCATCTACCCATCCAAGATTGGTTTGAGGTGCGCGGTGTACGGTGTTCACAAATTGGCTGCCCTCCATATTGGTCGTGTGTCTCGTCCGAGTATGACTTGAACATTTCGCATATGGCGAGAGTTGCTACATAAACTGGCGCAATGCCGCCGGACTGCATATAGATGTGCACATATATCGTGTACCCACAAGCAAGGCATATCCGCCGCTCTGTAAAAGGTGTATGCAAGGACCTGTCCCACTCGCTGTATGCGAGCCCACCGGCGCTGCATCATTGTTTCAATCTGGTTGTATTCTTGCGGTGTTTAAGGGTATTGTGTAGAGGCCCTTGGGCCCTCCTTCGCAGCGGGTGTGCGATTACGGTTAGGTACGCACGAGTATCAACCGTATCTGTCGCTCTGCACAATGCCTTATCGAGATTAACATACGACTCACTGGTAGCAACAGGGTTCCTGGTGCAAAGTAAACACATACTAAGTAGGGTAAGTGCACACGTCCACAGGTCATTGGGCGCAAGCGAGGTATGGAATGTCCATACGCTTGAGAGATTGATCCGTATCGCATACCGCCTGTTGATGAAGGCGAATGGGCAAGGATCGATGCAACTAGTATCCAAACACCAGTAAGTGCATGCTTGTCGACGTGCGGAACCCACCCTTGGCCTGTAGTGTCTTTCCTATCGAAAAACTCATCGGTAATGCACGCCAGTTGTCGCAATATAGTATATTGCCATCGCTGACTAGTATCCATCTTCACAGGCAATGGCATGGCCCTACTTCTGTCTACCTTGACATCCGTCAACACGCTCAACGGATGATGATGCGCCCGTCCTCAAGCCTTCGCATAACAGAGTTGTGAGTGCCATGTACGTAGCTATCATCCGTGTTAGGACTGAGTAGTAAAACGAAGACATACTTGGCGAAAGACCATAAAGACCTCCGAGTCGGTCCAGAGTCGAATTCGAAGACAAGAAGACAACGTCTGCCAGCCACCTCGACGCCACACGCGGCGCGGCCGTTCTCGCTTGCCGCCGGCGCGGTCGAGGCCGTGTGCCTGGCGGGCGACAACAGCACATGCCCGATTTGGACGATAGCCAGCCAGGCTGAAGCACTGCGTCTGAAGGCAGCGTCGGCGGCTTTCCTTTGCTCTTCTTCTCTCTCCCTCTGCCCTCTGCCTTACCGCGCTGAGCTCTACTTTGCAGTCCAATTTTGCGAAACGCGCGAAACTGCGCTCCAGCCGACTCCAGCAGGACAAATACAGACACGCCACAAGTGGCTAACGGGCGCCTCGCAGCTTGACCTCCTCGTCGACGACGACGAACACGCCCTCCCCACATGGACCCCCTCTCACTCGGTGGCGAGTCACCCGCCGCCCGTCAGTCGATTCTTGGCTCTTTTCTTCGCCCACGACCCCGCGGCACGTCGCAGTCGCACCCCTCACCGCCAGGCGACGCCAGCAGGGACTCACCGCCCCCAGTCGTCCCACCCGCCGACGGCGCACGCCGTCGAAACGCCCCCGCCCTCCAGCCATCTTCATCTCAGGCCGGTCTGTCGCAGATGCTGCGCCGCCGACGATCCGCAGGGGCCGTGGCCACGCCCCAAGGAGCAGCCGTGGCCCCTCGCCCGGCCACATCGAACAACGCCGCAACGCACCGGATCCGCCTCGTCCCGCACTTGGCCTCAAGATCCTCACTGCGATTCGAGCCCATCTGCAGAGACGTGCGCGAGGGCGACCCGGCGCTGCGGATCGGACGGTTCACCGACCGGTCAGGACTGGGACTGGCGGCGGCGAACGCACTCGGGTCGAACAAGCTCGCGTTCAAGTCGAAGGTGGTGTCGCGCGCGCACGCGGAGATCTGGGCGGAGGCGGGCGGGCGGTTCTTCATCAAGGACACGAAGAGCAGCTCGGGCACGTTCCTCAACCACGTCCGGCTCTCGCCCGCGAACACGGAGAGCCGCCCCTCGGAGCTGCGCGATGGGGACATTCTGCAGCTCGGCGTGGACTACCAGGGCGGGAACGAGGACATCTACAAGTGCGTGAAGATCAAGATTGAGATGGGCCGCGAATGGCAGGCGCACGCCAACCCGTTCAAGTGAGTGTTTCTACTGCCTGTGGATGCGGGCGACTTTGTCAGCCTCAGTGCATATCGGAGAAGGCTCGGTGCCTTCTGTTCATTTCCGCGCATGGTCGCAGGGTTTTAGACACGTTCTCAGCCCACCGCTCGGTGTTTTGAGATACACTGGCAGGTCATCGCGGAAAACGAACAGCGCTGACCGGTCTCCCGCAGCGCGAACGCCCTGAAGCAGCTGAAGGCGATCTCGCTCCCGAACAACGCAACCTCGAAGAAGACGCTGCCGAGGTCGTCGCTCCCGGACTGCTGCATCTGCCTGTTCGCGGTGACGATCCACCAGGCGCTGTTCATCGCGCCATGCTCGCACGCGTTCCACTTCAAGTGCATCCGGCCGCTGCTCGAGACGCACCACCCCGCGTTCTCGTGCCCGCTCTGCCGCACGTTCGCAAATCTGGAAGAGGACGTCGAGGTTGAGATCGAGGGGAGCGTGTTTGGCGGGGACGATGATATCGATGCGGACGTTTCGGTCGTCGTCGCTGCAGTCGCCGCTGCGGCCGTGGACAGGCCCGCGACGGGCGACAGCCATCAGTCCCACTCTCGCTCGAGGGAGCGCGAGCGCGACAGGGATCCTGGAGCGGAGACGGAGGTGGAGGCTGAGCCCCGCCCGATCCGTGGACGGCTCATGCACCACCCGCTTGCGGATACGGACGTCGAGATGGCAGATGCCGACGGGATCGCGCTGCCGCCGCTCCCGGAGGCCTCGCCACTCATGGTCGCGCGGGCGTGGACGGCGGTCAACGGAGGTAGAGACGGTAGCGTGTCGCCCGTGCTCGTGCCAGGACCACTCAGCTCGGCAATGGAGGTGTCCGAGGGCGAGGAGGACGGTGACGAGGCTTCGGGCAGCGGAGAAGGGTCGAGCGAAGTCATGGTCGGTGGGACGCTGGGGGAGGGGCATAAGCGCAAGCGGTGATGCGCGCGCAGGTTGGATGTGTATACTTTAATGGTTATGATTACGGATTCTGGTGCGTGTCTGGTGTAATTTATTGTCTTTTGGGTCTGAAGGTGTGCTCAATCTGCGTGTAGATAGCATCGATACCTTCCACGTTCAACACACAGCCCCATCACCAGGACGTTCGTCGTGCTGCTCCATCTGTGACCTTGGGCGTCAGAGCCGGACGGACGTTCACGGATATTTCCACACCACACACTCCTGCCTCCTTCGTCTCTTGGTGCTTGTATTCACAGTAATTTGATTTCCCTTACTCGTCGTGATCCCCTGCTTTCCGTCTGTGACTGTTGACGATCTCAATGTGCTGTCCACACCGTTCGTGTACTATAGATCCACCTAGTGTGCTAGACGAACGACTATCTCCCTCCGTTTCGTCCGTCAGCGTGCACCACCCACAGCCCTCACGGAACGTACGCACATTCTCGCAGGCCGTACAGCTGCGCCGCCCGTCAGCCGCGTCGCACACAGAACCCGCGGGAGACACATGGCGAGAGATTTTTAAGCATAGGCAACGACAGGAATTGCATTATATAGGTATGCGGAGACGACGAGACGAGCGAGGGGACCGTGAGAGAGGAGGAGACCGACAGGGACATATACTTAGAGTACGCGGGGATCAACGTGCAGCAAATCGACAACAGCAAGGATACGGACACGGACACGGGGTGTGGGGTGGGGCTCTCCACCCGACCAGGAGGGCGGGGATGTGGAAACGTAGGACTGAGGGGGAGGGGCGGAAATGGTAGGGGAAGCAAGGGCGGTGGCGGTGGTAGAGGGTCCGTAGTAACAGGTGGGAAGGGTAGAGGAGCAGGGGAGGAGGGCGGGCATGCAAAGTGGTGGGTATTGCGGTCAGCTCAGAATGGTGTAGATGTGTATGTGTTGGTGGTTATGTAGTGGATAAGATAACGCGTTAATGCGAGGAATGTACAGAGGAAGGGGAGAGCGGGAGCGCCGACGATTTTGGTGGACGGCATCGAGGTGAGGTGGGTGGCTGATGGCGAGTGGGCGCTTACGACGCAGCTTCTCTATGGCGCGGTGTGGCGGATCGTGGGCGGTGGAAGCGAGGACCTGGGTGATCCTCCTCCGTGGTGGAACGTCTTTGCGCGCCTGCATCAACGGCGGTCGGTCACAACGGAAGGCGCAGTGGATTTCAATAATGTTACATCGGTGGGGAGAGCGACAATCACACCTTTTCGCCACGGCCCACCACCCCTCCCTCTTGTCCACCCGCGCCCTCCTTCCAAATCCAGTTCCATTTCCAGAATCCACCCCGCCGCCCACCCGGACCCCGACCGCATGCCCGCCACGCTGCCCACCTCCACCCGCCCGTCCGTCATACGTCGACGTACATGAGTACGGGCTCGCCGACGCCGTCGATCTCGGGGATGACGCACTTGAGGTCGAACGCCTTGGCGAGCACGATCTTGAAGATCTTCTGCACGTTGATCGACGCGGACGTCGAGCAGAAGATGAGCGACGCGTGCATCGCTTTTGCGAAGCGTTTTGCCTGTGGGCGTGGGTGAGCACGCGGTACGCAGGGGAAGGGGGTGGGCGCACCTGCTTTGTGATTTCCTCCTGCTCGTCTCTTGGAAAGGTGGAAAACGTGTCGAATTTCGTGCCGATTAGAAAGGGTATTGCGGTCTAGTATCCGACCATTCATAAACGGCCGACCTGCCGAGTCTGGTCACGTACTTTGTTGAATCCCCGTGCTTGTCGATACCACTCCTTCACCGAGTTCAGCGTCGATTTCCGCGACAGGTCAAACATGAATAGTATCGCGACTGCGTCGTTGCAGACGAGCGGGAGCATGTTGACGAACTCGCGCTGCCCGCCGAGATCCCAGAGCGAGAACGTGATGGACGTCCTGCGCACCGTGATGGTCTTCTCCATGAAGTTGACGCCTGTCCCACATCGCTCGTCCACCGAATCTCGATGCATGCACGGGAGACGGAAGCGTACCTAGGGTCTGGATGTAGTCCTCGTCAAAGTGCCCCTCGACGTACTTCACCATCAGACTCGTCTTGCCGATCTGCGAGTCCCCCAGCATGCCGACCTTGATCACCACGCTGCGGGAGGGCGAGAGAGCAACCGTGAGACGGGGGCCTTGTTCCGCACGCAGAGGGTGCCAACGGGGGTGCGCACGGCGGCTCACCTGTTCTGTTCGTTGCCAATCTCGCCGTTTGGCCGCACGCCCAGCGAGCTGGGGCCTGCGGCGGGTGTGGGCGACGATGCTGACGCGGACATGTCGGCCTGAGTGTCTCGATAGCGGGGTTGGCTCGTGCGCAGATCGCAGATGCAGACGTGGGACGCAGGCCGGCGGGGCGCAGGCGTGGAATTAGGTGCGTTCGAGATGAAGGAAAGGATAAGAGAAACACGGAAGAAGAGGAAGCAAAGGAGGGACGCGTTCTGGGCGCGCTGGGGGGCGATGGGGGATGAAGTACAGACGGCTCACTCTCGAACAGAGTATGGCCGGATACACGACGGACGCCGACCAGGCTGAGCAGTACGACAGGCAGAAAGAGACACAGTCCGTCGGCAAGACGGCGCTCTCAACCATCCGCGCACGCGTTCCCCTTGCTTGGCGCCCGCCTGCTTGCACTCACGCTCTTTCAGACAACGCCAACTCATAGTCAGACAATATCTCGAATTTTCCTGCGATACGGCACTATCTTCAGCAGCTTATATCCCGACTCTCTGCCAGACATCAAAGCGCTCCATGGCACGACGCCTTGGACAGGGACACCGGTCATACTTGGTGGGTAGTACGGTGGACTCCGAGTCGTCCACCAGCCTCCTCCACGTGCATAACCAATTGCGCAATGGCATCGTGGTGGTAAGTGGTGGCGGTGGACCGCATCTTCGTGATTTCTTTGATACAATCATTGTTACTTGCTCCTGACCCTGGAGCGGTCCTGTCAGATATTGAACATCGTGGCAGTGCCCAATATCCGCAGTCATGCCCTTTCACGACTATAGGCGATAGTGTGAGGGTATCCAACCTGAAGTTGGGCCGAAATGCAGTCTCAAACTGTCATCACTACGGCCCCATTTGCGACGATGTCTCCGGTACGTCCACTGTAGCCGTACATTCGTCCCTCGCATCTTACACACTCCTACGAACGCAAGAACTGTTCACAGAGTTAGCGTCTGACCATTATGGCCCTAGACCACCGACTCAGCGCTTGTAAAGCGACTGCCGCACGGGAAGGTGGAACATGTCATGTAAGGAGCTTCTTCACGCGCATCGGCGTTGTCCCCCTGGTGCCAGTAGGTCGCGCTCGCAGGAGTGGTGGTGCACGGTGTTAACATCCAATGAACGTGCGCGCCATCTGAGTGGACAGATCTGGCTTTCCTCTCCATGCTGGTATAAAAAGCATCCTTAGGGCACCTCCCAGTCACATCGCTCGCGGAGAGGAGTTATCGGTGAGTCAGCAGTCGTGATTCACACCGTCCCATACTTACGTACATGTCCGCAGATGTGCAGTGATGCGATGCTGTTTGCCTGTTGAGGTATATGAACGCATTGTCGACTACAACTGGTCCGACCCGCCAACACTCTTGGCTTGGGCTCTTGTCTGCCGTGATTTGTCTCACCGGAGTCGGTACCATCTCCAGCGGGAGACAACGATGACCATTCGAAGCGCAACAGAACTCCGGTGTATTGGGGACTCTTGTTATCGAAACGTTCCAGGCGCCTCTACGCGAAGGTCGAGCTCCTGCGCGTCGTGGACGACCCATCGAAGCCCTTCGTCCATACGCTGCCGCTACATCTCCCAGGCGAGCACCTCCCGCAGCTGACGACGGTCCTCCTCGAGGGTGTCAACTGGACGACCGCCACTCCACACCTCCAGTTCTTTGAGTGGTTATCTTGCTTCTCTTCTGTGTCATCCCTCTGCATCGACCGTTGCGTCCTTCGCCCGATCGCGCACACGCTTCGGATTGTCAAGCGCCTCCCGATGCTCAGACACGCCGTCTGGATGGACTACTACAACGTCAAGCCCAGCGAATGTCCCGTGGCCTTCAACAACGTATTCGTCGGGAAGGAGTGCACACTTCACCTCCAGACACATCCCGACGTGCAACACCAAAGCCTAGAGGCAGGTAAGGCGCGTGTCCCGAAACAATCTCAGATCCATGTAAGATTTACGACCACAGTTACAGTATTAGACTTCCACCGCGTACGGCGGATCCCCCGTGCAAGGACGATGTGTATATCTATACCGAGCACGATGGAGGCCCCGGCAAGGCGTGCGGCCACCTACGATGGCACACGTCAGCCCACTCATCAAGAGACACGATGCCCGATGTTCTTTGGAAATGAACCATTGGTCGAGGAACCCCGTTCCATGCAGGTTATTATCCACATGATATTACTGAGGAGTGCATTGATGATTGTCTTCCTCGCACAGGAGGCACAACCGTACCCCACCCGTCAGATCGTGAATCTACAGGCCAGCACGCATCGCAGGGTCAGGCACCCCGGGAAGTGTTGGGAGCGGGGCGGGAGCATACTGCTTGTGATGCTCCCAGACAGATCGAACCATCCAGTCACAGTGGCGCACGTACGTATTCTACACAACAACGCATCGTACGCCCGAAAGCGACGCAATGCTCACCGATGATGAAGGGGACCAGGCGTTCTCACAACTGCACATTGAGGTGAGCATGGTTCGAACAACGTCCTTGTACCGCCGCCCTGACGACGCTTTAGAACCACAACTACACGCGCCTCGACCCTGCTACGGGCTGCGCGACAGTAATCCTTCGCGTAATCTTCCCACCTTTACGGTCTCTGTGCTCGCCCTACCTGTTGTCCCAGACTTGGAGTGTGGAAAAAACCCATGGACGATCCATCGTTCTTGGTTGCGATGCAGGGACTCCGTATGTCTTGCTACAGTGGGTGTTCGCAGCCGCCTACCCGGTCGTGTGTATGTAGCGTCTTCGTGAGGTAACGCCACACAAACTTCCCCCTCCCCATGATTTATTCATGTATATAGTTTCGTTGTATCTCTAGGTCACGACCTGCATCTCGTGGCTCAGATGGGTATCCAAATGTCCGTGTACCAATATGATGCATGCACGCGCTGCACCTCCATCGTCGGCACCGGGGCACGAATCGACCTTCAGGTTATCGGTGTCACACATATATAAGAGGCTGCAGACTCCTCGTCCACGCAACGCAGCGGTGATCGTCAGTAGCATCTGTGATCATAGATGGCAGCACAGAACGGACAGAGCCTAACCTGTCAATGCTTACCTTGGATCCACAGCACCACCTGCAGCTGAGTACTGCTTCATGGTAATGAACAATCTTCACATTGAACATCAATCGCGATCGTCGACGAAATCCCCAATATTCCCAGTCGACGCATATAAGTGTGTCACCACGTGCCTGCTGAGCATGTTCTGAGTACGTAGTCGCGCGGCGTAGCGCTGTGAACATGAGCGATATACGAATCCGATGTAGCACCCACAGGCACCTACACACTCCCAGATCCACCGGAATGTCCGAGTCAGCTGATGATCGTGTTGATAGCCCCGAATCGATCGAACTATGGTGGATTCCAGCCTTACCTGGCCTGAGTACCGGCGTTGAACGTTGAACCTGGCACGGCTCGGACATGTTGCTAAATGCGCCCGAGTCTGAGTAAGTTCCCTCTATACCCTCTGTCCTCTATTTCTCTATCTGAAGCGAAAACGCGGTGTCTCTACCGCATCTACATTTCAGCTTCGTGATTGGGCCTGAACTCCGGCGCATTTGCAGCAGCAACACCGACCGGGTGTAACGGGCAGGGTCGGCTCGGGCTGTCGTAGTGGCTGCGGTCGCGCTCAACGAGCGAAAACGGGCACGGTATAGATATTAATACTGGTGTTGGAAAGGCGAAAACCTACGTGACGGTACCTACAGGCTGGCGCGATGTATCTACGTGCTGACGTAAGCATGTGGCGGGCACCGTGTACCGTCCGTGCATGTGACCGCGCAAGGGGGCCCGGGCGCGTCGCCGCCGTCGCGCCTCCTCCTCAGCGAGTTTTTTGCTTCAAATTTTACAGATAAACTTGCGGTTCACCTTCTGAACTCCGTGTTATGAACCGCGAACGGCATCCCGTGCGATGCACGGGTAAGTATTTGCTGTTGTGCGTAAATTCAGTATTATTATCACTTTATACTCCGAGTCAAGCGCTCAAGCGCTCAAGACTCTGCTTACTTGTGTTCTTTTTGTTTTAAAGCCAGTCCTTCTCAATATTGCTCGCAATCCTCAGCTGCTCTCAGTTTGCATTCTCGCGCCCTACAAATATACTTGTCCGAAGCGCTCCGCCAAACCACGGCTTCAATCACGGCACCGATGATTGCATACTTGGCCTGCTACCGTGACAATCATCGGGCGACAGACTCGCCTCCCTACTCAGAAGGCCTACACAAGACGTCCCTCCGACGTATCGCAATGACGCTTATCATTGGATGGCGCATGGTGCTTGAGTCATCCAACCTTGGTCGCTTCGGCATCTCGCCGACTCAGACACGATGTGGACATCCGCGATGAAGTTCTCCGATATGTAGCGAGTAGAAGGTGATAGAGACGACAGTATGGAGGAGAAATGGTGAGGCCAAGGATTAGCTGTCTCGTCAATGCTAGTGACGCAGCTCAGCAACTCACAGCTCTGGACCTTCCACTTACGAGAAGTAATGCCCCTCCACGCCACCGTGTTCAGCGCTCAGCACTGACAACCCAGTTGTTGTGCTCAATGAGTGCATCTAGTACGTCGACACTGATTCATGGACGGCATGCACTACTAGTAGCATTGCACCTTTGTCTTCCAAAGGGACAAATTTTCAATCGTCCTAGAGTCTGAGCGTAGCATACTGTACTAATGACAATTTAGTTCAGGCGCTATTCCCCCTTCAGTACTTCAGTCACGGAACCGTGTCTAAAATCTACTTAGATACTTACGACCACTTGACTTTGATGAGTACCAGCCTGGACTCGGAAGCTTGCAATACACCGCACTGGCACGTGAGGCCGCTAAGTGCCAGTGACCGACGGGCGACCCATCATCGATGAGCGTTAGTTACTAGACCACACCCTCAGGACTCAACTTCTTGCTCTCAAGCTCGCTTCGAGGCCAGGTCGAAATTCGAACTTACAGTGGTAGAATCACCTCCGCACTTTCAAAAGCGCAGCCGGTATGAACTTCGCCAACGACTACTTACGAGCATCCACGGTAAGGAAGCCCTCAGCCTTGGGCGAGTATCCCGTCGGCATATACAGTAAGTAAGTGGCGTCTACATCAGGCTACTTATCAGCAGCCTCAGGCTATTCACATCAGCATCATTCACCAATGGTCGATCACTCAAAAACGAGAAATGCTGAGACAATGGACTTGACGGGCTACCGTTGGTAGGCATACTGGAGGCGTGAGCGCCACTGAGGGACGGTGGAGGTGTGTTCTCACTGGCAAACCATGACGATATGCTCAATGCTCATACTGCCACTGAAACGTGAATGACAGGGGACTTCAAGTTGCAGGGAAGCTCGTCCGCATCATCAAGTCGCGACGATGGTCGCATAACGCCTTCAATGTACAGATCATGGCGCCAACATAATCTCCCGCTCGCCAGGTTGCCAGCTGAGTACTGCTCAACAGATGTACCATCCGAGTCCGGCAGAAGACACAGGAGGAGCTGGAGGAGGCCGCAGAGAAGATCAGGAAAGCGGCGCAGAGTGGTATTACGAAGCAGATGACGGTGACTAGTTCGAACTTCTGTCCTCAACGGGCTTCTCATGTATATGGTTCGCCCGCACAGTGGAAGCCGTCCTGCAAGTCTAATTCCGCCAAGTGGACGTACGACGGGATTTGCCCCGACCCTGCGGTTTTCGGAGTGCTCATGGGTCTAGACGGCCCACCGAAGTTCAAGCAGAAGAAGTTCGCCAAGGACGAATTCCAGGACCTCATCGGGCAGTGTGAGGGTCATGCCAGGTCAGTAGTGTCATGTTCCACCTTCATCCTAGGCAGTGCTGAGCTGGAACGTGTGTTGCGCATGCAGGTACAATGATCTCTATATCTCGGGCGAGCATGTTAACGTCCGCTGGTCCGACACCGGCGAAGTCAAATTCAGCGGGACGTACGGAATCTCCTAAATGTCCAGAGCAAGGCTGAAGACCCGATGGCGGAGGGGTCCCATCCCACAGTGCTAATCATATCGTAACATCGGTGTAAATCCACAATATTTCAGCTAAATCATACGGCGAGCGATCCCAACGTGTGATGTCAGCTTACGAGTGCTTACGCTCTGAGCACCCGCACGCGTGTCCTTAGAGTACAGTCGGTTACTTTGCGCTCAGAGCACACCGAAAGTCCTGGCCGTGTATGTGACAATCTCTTCCACTCACGCCCATTGCAGTGAGAAACGATACAGACAGTCGGACTGGAGGCTTATGTCCGGTACACTATGGCCTCCGCAGAGTTCACGGACGTAGTAACAAGATTATCGCAACTCTGGCGCTTTGGAAGGCAAAGGCGCAATGCTAGTACAGTACATGCTCGGCGATATCGTCTACAATAGGCACACAGATTGTACAGGCGGGGTGATTATTGCGCAGGATATCAATGTCGGGCGTGTGTAGTTTTGGGTATAAAACGTCGTCCGGGGGGGATGGTACATGCACATGATCGCATCATGCTCACCTCAGTACACAGTTCTTAGGGCGCCTGATCCCCCTTCATTATCGGTGAGCATGGCCTCGGGTTTTGGCGTACGGTGCATTGCTCTGAGAGCGTTACAGGCTGTATGCTCCCGCCCCGCTCCCGGACTCTGGAATACGTGCTGGCCAGTAAGTTCACAGTCCGATGGGTGGGGGTATGGAAACATTACAGATGTTGCTTCCTGCGCGAGGGAAGACGGTTATCAATACGCTCAGTCAGTAATAGCATGTGGACAACAACCTGCAGGGAACGTGGTTCCTCGACCAATGGACGTTTATCCGCAAAGGACACCGAACGCTGTGTCTCTTGATGAGTCTCTCGACGACTGTGCCCACAGGCATCATTGTAGGTGACCACGTGTCTTGCCGGAACCTCGTTCCGGTCCGAAGAGGGTATATACATTGTCCTTGCGCGGGGGATCCACCGTACGCCGTGGAAATCTAATACTGTGTGCCCGCAAATCCTGCTTTAGTATGAGATTGTCTCAACGCACGCGCCTTACCTGTCTCCAGGCTTTGGTGTAGCACATTGGGATGAGTCTGGAGGTGAAGGGTGGACTCCCCGACGATGACGTTGTTCAAGACCACGGCACATTCGTCGGGTATGAAGCTGCAATAGTCCATCCCAACAGTTTGTCTCAGCTTTGGGAGGTGCTTGATGATCCGAAGCGTGTGTGCGATCAGCCGGAGGACACAACGTTCGATGCAGAGGGACGATACGGAAGTGAAGCGAGATAGCCACTCGAAGAATAGGAAGTGCGGAGTGGCAGTCGTCCAGTTGACGCCTTCGAGGAGGACCGTCGTCAGCTGTGGGAGGTGCTCGCCTGGGAGATGTAGCGGCAGCGTATGGACGAAGGGCTTGGACGGGTCGTCTACGACGCGCAGGAGCTCGACTTCAGCGAAAAGACGTCTGGAGTGTTTCGAGGACAGGAGATGCCCGTATAATTGGAGCTCTGCAGCGCTCCGGATGGTGAGAGTCCTCTTCCGCTGCAGGTGGTATCGACTCCGGGGAGCCCAGTCACGGCAGACGAGAGCACAAGCCAAGAGCGTCGGGGGTTCGTACCAGTCGTAGTCAACGATGTGTTCTGTCACTCCAATGGGCGGACGTAAACGGGATTGCATCCCTTCGCATCTAGTGAAGGTGAGTGTGACACAGCATCGCCCTTGATGTTGAGGCTTACTGAGTATATGTAGTCATGGTCTTGACAGCGGTGAGTGCGGGGCGAGCTCTTGAGTCATCCCATGCCAGTCTGAGGTAATCGGAGTTTATAAGCTGGGCACAGGTGGTATGCATATGCACCGCCATGAACGTGCAGTTCCTGACGTAGATGCAGGGAAACCCGTCCACGAACTTGAAGCTGCACCGCCCTATGGTGGACTCGTCCACCAGCCTACGACACCGCGCATATTCGGGTCGCTGGCCTGACAGCTTATCCCTATTTGACAGGGAAAATGATATTTAAGACTGGCCAGCGAGATATGTCGTCGAAAGGACTTACACATTGGAGGGGGATTCGAGTTGACGGTCAGTTTGAGAGAGCGTGAGACAGGCGGGCGTCAACTAGGACATTTAACCTCAAGTCGACCTCAAGTGCATATCGACGTCGTCCTTTCTCAGCTTCCCTTCACTCGTCTTCATACGCCGCTGCACAATTCAGACTCTACAAGTTGTGTCATACACAAGTGTCATTTCCTATGCCTCCAAAGCGCAAATTGGCCAACGGGGTTGCGTCTACATCTGAGAAGGCGTAGCACAGTCGACCACGCGCCCGACGCGGCGCTCGCGTCTGCGATTCTAGCAGCCTCAGATACATATCCTATACCGGAAGACGATGTGGATGTGCACGCGCTGCTGGTAAAGTGTTCCTAATATGCGAAGTAAGTACTTGGGAGTCTCAGGTGAAAGCGGGCGCCAGTGCGAATGGTGGAGGAGGGAATTCCATCGAGCCACCACGCCGGGGGTACTCCGGCTGTCACGGGCGCGAGGCAGAAGACACAGCAGGAGCTGGAGGAGGCCGCAGAGAAATCATGAAATCAGCGCAGAGTGGTTTTAGGAAGCGGATGACGGTGGTCTTGTTTAGAATTCTGTCCCCAGCGGGCTTCTCATGTATATGGTTCATGGGTGTAGTAGAGGCCGTCCTGCGCGTCCAGTTCCGCGAAGTGGAAGTACGACGGTATTTGCCCTGACCCTGCGGTGTTCGGAGTGGTCATAGGTCTGGCAGGCTCGAACAAGGCCAACGAGCGACGGCGCTCTGGTACAGCGAAAGTATACGAGACGGAGATGTCACCACATCTTCCTGTATCATCGTCAGTCCATCACCTTTCTATGATATCAATGAAACAAGTAGATACTTACCTATCACCTTTATTCCAACGGTAGTGTCCTGAACCTGAGTTCACAGCGACCCGGGGGAATACTTCCCGTTTACGCACCCTCGAAACCGGAGAGCTGCCCTCAAGTTGCACTTCAGATTACTGAAGCAGCATGTTCGTCGACATACATCCGGTGCAGCCTCATAGACAATAATCGAGACGGAGGACTGTTGCCTGTCAGAATCTACCGACCGGGAGTCAAGCGCCCACGTCTAGTCGCCGCGCCACCGAGGCCAAATATTTGTTCGAGAGGTCGAAGGCGTGAAGCGCTCTGAGGGCACCGTCCACAACAACCCCGGCAAATCTTCAAGGTGAGCACGAATCTCTGCCGTTACTCTGTGCGAGCCGCGCTCGGGGAGATGTGGAGGACGAGGGCTTTCGGAGGAAGTACTGCATGTGGGGGAAAGACTGTCGGAAGAGGATGGATGGCGGATGGAGGTGGCTGATGACGCTGGCTTCGCATTTTCCGAGCACGGTTGAGAGGCATGTACTAACGTTGCTTTCTTGCGCGTTGCTTGTCCCAGATGGTACGTTTGACTTTGCTCTGGTAGAATGTTGCTGACCTCGATTTTACGGAGTGTAGAAGGTCGAGATCGACACATTCTCCGGCTACCGTATCTACCCCTCGAAGGGCAAGCTCTTCGTCCGTGGCGACAACAAGGTTCGCCCCATCTCAACCATCCTCCCGTTCGCATATCCACCCTTCTCGTAGATCTTCCGCTTCGCCAGCGGCAAGAATGAGTCGCTTTTCCTCCAGCGCAAGAACCCCCGCAAGATCGCTTGGACAGTGGTGTACCGCCGGATGCACAAGAAGGGTATCACGGAGGAGGTCGCGAAGAAGCGTTCGCGCCGCACCGTGAAGCACCAGCGTGGCATTGTCGGCGCCGACCTCGCCACCATCAACGCGCGGAAATCACAAACCGCCCAGGTCCGTCTGGCGCAGCGGTCGGCCGCCATCACGAAGGCCAAGGCGGAGAAGAAGGACAAGGAGAGCAAGAAGGAGAAGAAGGTGCGTCGTGCTCTCGCTGGATCGCTGGCGTGTGTGCTGACTTGCTCCGGACTAGCCTGCGACCCGCGCACCCGTCTCGACGGCCCCCCGCGTGTCGAAGCAGCAGATGAAGGGTGGCAAGGGCGGCCGTTGAGCTGTGCTTGCGGATTGGTCTTCTGTCGCTCTGATATGTTATGTTTCGGCCTCACCCACACACCGCAAAATGTATGGATACAGCATGCCACCACGCTTATGACACTATGCCCTTGCTGTGCTCCGCCAGATGCCCTTGCTTGTCGGATGCAAGGCTCAGGAGACTGCACCTATCTCTAGCTGCCGATTCGACCTAGGAATCTCTTTAGATCGCCTCTTTCTCGCGTCTGGGTAATCACGAAGGCCGACGGAAACGATGTCCGTGTTCAGTGCTCGGCGAGGATGAGGCCACTCTTCTAGTATCTCTTGTCTGTCGATTCCATTGATTGATGGCCTTTGCCCTGAAGTCGTGCGTGAGTTGGCACGGGATCATCGCATGTCGCGTCGAGGAGGGTTTGAGGAGGGTACTGCTGACCAGGCAGTCATGACAGACAAGCCTCTATAGCAACTCTATAGCGGACCATACATCGCTGTTCGTGATCAGATGCATTGAGTGTGACTTCGTGCACCTTCACAAGACGAGGCCATCTGTGCCATTGAACATCATCTGATTGACTTACAGGGTCGTCTCGACCTCCATGGAGATACAAACATGCGGTTGATCATGAGCTGCCCGCAAAGCAACACGAGATCGTAATTGCCATTCGCAACGTGAGGTGGTTGGGACGACCAGATCTGGCTCGGCCTAGTGCTACATGGTACGTACGGTCTACTTACCTCAGGCAACATAGACACTATTTCCGGCATCCCCTTTGAAAAATCCTTGCGGCATGATCATCTTGTGGGAGCTTGCATCCCGCTAACCCGCCCTGTATAGTGATGCAATGTCCGGCTCCGTTTTGCTTCGGTTGTTGCCCGTATTGACTGATCGGCGAGACCACAAGGAGGCTGAGCCTGTAGTCCGTATAGACTGAGTACCTGGCTCGACAGACTGGTTTTGCGCGGGGCCCTCGCGCTTGTACAAATATTGTGTTCGATATATAAGTACTCGGACATGGTGTATGTACAGTAGATTGGCATAGGGTATGTAGGAGGAACTTGAACATTTCAACAGTGGCCGATTCGGATTACGTCATGCCCAAGTCCATACTTGGAATTTTAGCGCGCGCATATATTCATTGAAGAATTGCGGCATTCTTCCTGAGCAACACGTCTCCCGTACATTGGCAAACACACTATATGCGCATGGTAGCTCATGAATGTAGACCATATACTCCATCCTATGCTGATTTCTACGGCTCAGGGTCACGACTCAAATCGACGCTCTCACACAGAAGCGTCTATCACCGCCCACATAACATTGACAGATCTCTTTCCACCAGACATTCCGCATCTTCCTTCGCTAATATCGCTTCCTTTTTTCTGACCGACACAACCACTCTTTCCAGACGTAGTCAAACTTCTGGTATTTCCCGCGGTAAGGTCATTCTCCGAAAGTACCTTCCTGCTGACCGGGTCACTGGTGAAGATAACTCAGTCTCCAATAGACATTGTCCAGATCACGGTGCTACACCTGCTACAGCAGCGCTGGACGCCTCCTGCTTTGCTGAAATCTGCGCGAAGCAAGGTCGAGGCATACGTACGTGTAACCCGCGGTCCCTGGGCTTCGACTTCGCAAAAAGCCGTCATTTCCGCGTTGTACAAGGCGACGAGCGTCCTGGACACCTGCGTGCCTCGATATGGACGTTAGCTTGTCCTCCTTCGCGCCCGCGTCGGAGCTCGTGGCATAATGGTGCCTTCACGCTTGATCTTCCTCAGCTGCTGGCCCGCGTCGAGCACGGAGGCTGACCCCAGGACCCCTGCTGCTAGCCCCGTGGATTGGCACCTTCCATGCCTTTCTAGCTCCCGCGTGGGACGGCATGACGATCAATTTCCCGGCGCAATAGTGGCATGGTGAGTGCGCCGACCACATGCGAAGCCCTGTAAACCCTGTTTTGACTGAGCTCTCGTTGCACACACGCACGTTGTACTACCGGGAAGTGGGCAGGTTACCCAAGTGGGTGGTACGATACGAGAGGGCCCTTGGTAAGATCCCTTGTGCTGGACGCGATTGGACTTGCATGGCTCCGGGGGCGATTGCGTAGGGGAAGACTTCGCGAGCTCGTGGTCGGAGGACCCGCGCTGATGCTTCGACCGACCACTTCGTAAAAACTGGAGTACATTCCGTTAGCTCGGACCAGAAGACATGGAGCTTGGTCGGTGATTGCAGCAATGGAACGTCGCGGGCGCGGGGTATTCGACTGCTCCAAGTCTTCCCCGTCGTGTCGAAGAGGCACGGGGGCCGTATACATTGATCGTTGTGAGGCCCGCACGAGCCTCGAGGGTAAGTCTGCCCCGCATGCAGGCGCTGCTGCTGCAGTCCCGAATGGCAAGTGGAGGTTCGATTACGGACCATCAAATGCGCTCTCCGTCGCGGCTTGGTCGCGGCCCTACATGCTAGCGCCGTGCGGCCGTGCGGCGCTCCGATGGTATTGTCTGCCAGTGGGACAAAGTGAGTGAACTCACGATCTGCAGGACAGCCACGGCCAGTGAATCACAACAGGCTAGTACAAGACCGTGAAGCCCGAGCGAGACAGGGGTGCACCGGTATTGTGCGCTGCGTATTCTCGGAGGCAAGGCACCGTGCGCGGCTTCCTGCAGTCAATACGTGGCCATGGGCATGGCAACGGCTGAGGCGAATTGTCGAGAGGTGGGAGTTATTACGGAGCCCCAATTGTGGGATCAGAAAGGGAGAACAGGAGCGCGGGCCTGGATCGAGGTGGCATGTCTCCGACGTGCTTGCCGAAGTCAAAGGACGTTCCGAATCGGGCCCTCGCTTGTCCTCGATGCGGCAGGCCTGGCGTGGAGTTCTGGCAGCAGATGGCGACGCGCAGAGGCCGCAGATGCGCCCAGGGCCGGCGGGAGGACGAAGCGGGGGGAGCCAATCGGTCAGCGCCGGAGTTAGCAGCGCCCTGGCCGGTTGCCTTTTCGGGGATGCGATGCTGTGGGTACCGCCGCCGAGCTTTTGTATGTTCTCTCATCATCGCTTCGCTGGAATTTGACGTTTGCCTTCTCTTGGACCCGGAGCGTGGAACCATGCAAAAGACTTAAAGGCGACGGGCAAGTTTGCGTTGTCGACCCTCGTCATACCCACTGCCGCCGCACCTACACTGCCCGCCTAGACGTTTCGCCTTCACAGGTCTCACCTGCAAATTGCAACACCTCGGGACCCCTCCTGCTATTTAGACACAGGCTCGCCGGTAGACAGTCAATACCCCACTAGAAGTTGAACTGGTGAGTACATCCCGCCTTCGCGTTGTCACCGCTGTCCATCCCGCCTTCGCGTTGTCACCGCTGTCCATCCCGCACTCGCGTTGTCACCGCTGTACAACCCTCCGTCTCGCTGGAGAACAGACAATGCTTGACTGCGCTGTCATGCGTCATCTTGAGCTCGTTATATCAGGGCATTTGACTGACGGCGAGACGCCATATTGCCCGGTATGGTCCTCAGCTCGCGATCGACACAACCAGGATGGGCTACTTGACGTCACGGGCTGTGCACCCATGGCGTCGCTCCCACTATGCCCGCGCCACGGAGAGCGAGCGGCGGGCTAACAGGGCTTATACAGCGCCTGCATTCAGCTGTATAGGCGCGGTGTCAGGCAATCTCCATCAGGCGCTCAGCTAAACATACACTGACATTCACCCTTCCTGTTTCGCGTCATACTAGGTTTCTGCTATCGCTTATAACTTGCGGCCCTCCATTACCCCCTAACCCACCTAGAGCCTCTAATCCACCACCAACATGCGCCTCACACTGTCGACCATGCCCGAGGAGCTCCTGGAGCGCATCCTCGCCTTTGCCGTGACCCCCTCCTCGCCGTCCGCGCCCCATCGTCCGTCCTGGCATGTCGCGACTCCCAATGCTACGAGGTCGGGCGTTGCACCCCATGCTACGTCCCTGCTGGTATCGCGGAAGTGGCTCCGGATCGCGACACCCGCATTCTACCGCCACATCGACCTCCGCTCCGACAGACAGACAGCGATGCTCGCCCACAGCCTACGCACGAACCCGGAGCTCGGTCGCTGGGTACGCAGCATCCGTGTTGAGGGCACTTATCAGATGCTCCCGGACGTTGTCCGGTTGTGCCCTGCTCTCGAGGAGTTCGACATGACCGTGGACAACGGTCCCTCTGGCCCGCCTGCGCCAACCGTGAGCTCGCAGCGACCGCCTACCGTTGACGCGGCGGTCGTACGTTTCTGCACCAGCTTCCCATGCATGCGTCGGCTACGGAACCTCGTCATCCGCAAGAACGCGTACTTGACCCTGCCTGGTCCGACGCACATCTTCGAGGAGCTCGGCAAGGCCATCCGGCGCTGGAAGTACCTTGTGAGTCTCGATTCTTTTGTTCCGCTTGTCTGGCTGGTCCCCACTGGGTCTTCGAGCCCGATACTGCCAGTGCCGCTACGGTATGGTATGCATGGAAATTACGTCTTCGCCTTGCCGTTTTGGGCGATCGACGACTCGAAGCAGCCCCGAAGAGGACTAGCCGCATTCTCGACTGCGATCGTTTGCTGCTCAAACTGACACGGTTCCCACCATCGCAGGAATGCGTGCAAATTGCTTTCCGCTTCTCGCCCTCGCCCGCGTCTGCGTCGTTCGCCACGTCGCTTGCCTCCGCTCCGAGGCTCCGAACGGTCAGCGCGCTCCTGCCCACCGTCTGGAACACCGCGCTGCTCGAGGTGCGTGCTTCTCGCGCTAGTGTGCTGGGCGAGCTTATCTGACGTCTCTCGATAGATCTCCCAGAATCCCTCGCTCGAACGCATCCACATAGGGCCTCGGTCGGAGCTCTTCGCGTCGCAGCTATTTATCACCGAGGCGCGCAAGTACCCGCGTCTGATGGGGCTCATCACAGCGGGCACGCCTGAGCTGCCGGCGGAGTCGCCCGCGCGCTCGCGTTGCTGGCCCGGCTCGTCTAGCCTGCCGAGCCCTGGGCTCATGCCTCCCGCCTCTGTCTCGCCATTTCCCGCGCAGTACCCCAATGCGTACGCGCACGCGCCGTACCATGCTCCTTCGCCGGCTCCTTACCAACACCTTTCCCAGCGCAGCCGCGCGAAGCCCGAACACGCACGCGCACATATGCAGTCGTCTCCGCGCGACCCACGCACCGGACTCCCGATACCCGCCTCGTCGCAGAGACACGGCGCGCCTGCAGTCCGCCGCATGAGCGCTGTCTGAGCGGTTGTGGCGGCGGTCCCTGTTCGCGGCGCCGCCATGGATGTATCAGTGTTCACTGGTGCACTGCTCTTCTCTGCCATACCCTGTGCACGCACATACCCTAATTGATGGACTCGGTGAGTTCTGCGAACTCGTCGACGTGCGATCATATCTTTGTAAACACTCCTCACATGACCACGGACCTTTGCCCGACGACTCGGACCTCGTATATAATTCGCATATCGTTCTGTATTCGTATGCCGTATAGTTTTCTTACCGCACTCGTTTGTTGTACTCTACGTCTCTAATCTTCTGGCTGTTCTGGTACAGTCTTCGCTACGGTTCTCTTAGTTGACATAGATAGAAAATGGTGATCTCCTGGACGCATCGCAGGGTGCAAGAAGTACTGTACATAATGTCAAAATATAGTTGTAGATAGCCTAATGATTATTCTCTATTTCTGCTGCCCAGTGCCTCACGACATCTCCCTCTCGAAGCGATCCCACGCCTGTCCTGGTTCTCCATCGACTGACAAATGACTATTTTCGTGAGTCGTCTGTAAGCATAGGAACGCGTCGTCGTCATGAGCACATGCCGGCGTGCGCAGAGCAGGGGCGAGGCAGTGTGAATCGACTTGACAAACGACATTCCCGTCCGCCGACGTCGCTGGGGAGACGTACATAATAGTTGCATCCTGAGCATGTCATATATGGCGCTGGCAGGCACCGTACCACTCTCTCGGTACCTTCAGGGTCCTCGGGATCGAAGACATACCGCCGGCTTGCCAGAAGTCGCAACGATGGCCAAGATACCTGACGGGAGGTCCCTCGATCGTCCATGGCATCAAAGCGAAGTAGGCAGTGGCGCGGCTTGGTATGTAGCAAAGTCCCTGTTCCTTTGCTGTTCCTGCGAGTCTTTTGTATGCAACCTGTCGAACTGGCTTCGGGTGCGAAGAAAATTGAATGATGGACCAGATAAGCTCTACCGCGACCGGCGCGAGGATCTCGGGCATCGGCGTATTTCCCGTGGACCATGGTGCATTGATCGGCGAAGGCAAGCTTTACATTGCGGAAGAGTAGCGGACCCTGGTTACGCCTGAATTGTTCGGCGAAAAACTGGCGGGTGGAGTCAGAGACTTGGGACTGGAAAAAGAGCGGCGATAATCTGTTGACTCTTCGGAGGGGCCCTAAGCAGGTATCGGAGTGTCTTCGCCGAAGAGAGCATGCTCTGGAACTAGTCCAGAACTGAGGGGCATGTCCTTGGAGGGTCACCGGAGCTATGCCTCGACTGTTCATTCGAAAAACCAGCTGCCTCGAGGTCGGAGCACAAGTGTTCATCTTCTCCACGAATTTGACAATCGGCTTCTGCGTAATCCGACTCGTCTTGCACGCAACCAATGCTGTAACCCTGGTACATAACACCAGTGAATTTCCCCAGAACGTGTCTGAACAACATACTCTGATTATCTCCGACCCCTTACACTCCGTACGAGCAGTGAGTGACATGGACTTTGTGTCCACCTCCGCGATACTGATAGTGTTTCGCCACTTACCCGGTTATAAGGATGGACTAGGTTTACTTCCTATCGCGAATCGCAGTGGTCAATGACAGATTGAAGCACATAACAGGCAAATTCTGACCTGCTTCGCGAGGTTCGCTCGATTTCGGCCCACACAGAGGTCCTTCTCGACCTGATTCGACCGAGAACCGTAAACACGCTACAGGCACGCGGGTCCGGGGACGGTCTGCTGACAGGAACTAGCCGTTACGGCATCCTGTGCAAACCCCTCAGTGGCACCCTCCGATGCGAACAGAAACTGCATTCCAAATTCGTAACGCGTGAGCGCTTGAGGTGGCGGAAAAGGTCCGGGTGTTCCCTACCTCTTCCAAGGAGAGAGTTTTGAGGTCTGCTCGAGCTACGGCAGGGCTGTCAGTTCCGTGTTGTTGACCGGTGAACGTGAACCCTGAATGCCGTGCCGTCTGCGCGTTTGCGATGAACAAGGCAGCCGAGCTACCACGATGTGAGCCCGGGGGTCAACATGATGCGCCGATGTACCTGTCAAAGGGACAAAATCTATCCGCCCACTGTGGTGTGTCAGCCACCGGCCCACAGGTGGGATACTGATACGGCGACAGGCGAATATAGTACGTTAATCTGATAGAGAGACAGGCCGGTGTGGGCGGCGGATCAAGGCAAGCATCGTACCTGTGTCGCAATGAGGCTGAGCGTTGCCGATTTCCATTGGTTGGAATGTAATCACTGCATACGTGCAAGAACCTGCGGTCGACTGTGTAGCACGCAGGATAACTTGTGGCGCAGCCTGATCGGCCTTGGAGGGTTGTGTGAAGCGTCCGAAGATCATATACTCACGAAGACAGAGGCTGCCTCATGTATGAGTTCGGGGTGCTGCTCTTTTCCGACTTGCCAGCGCGTCCAATCAGACCACACATTTAACAACACGAGATCAAGCCCGAAGAGTCAAGCTTTCAGGACCTGAGGGCAGCGATTTAATGAATCAGAATTTTGTCGCTATGTCAAGATACCCTACCTGTGCTTATTTCGGCGCCATCGACCTGTACGGTTGTCAATATCTGTTGTCAAAAACATCGACAATCGGTGTTTTAACATACGCGCTTTCTGCCTCCGAAACCATTCGGATCGCATCTCAATTTAGAGAGCGCCATGGGGCCCTGCACTTGTCCCGATACCGGCCAGCATGTCGTCGAGGACGTACCGACTCATTCAGCTAATTGCGAAAACGGCACCTTGTTTGTCATAGCGATCCGACCAGCGCTGGGCTTTGAGCGCATTGCCTCCTCAAAAAGGTGTTTGGCTGTGGTGGTATGCCTTACATGCAACTTGCAACGGCCCTTGACTTGAATATCGCGAGTGGGCAAGCATTTCCAGCTGACAATCTATTTCAAGACAAAATACCTCTACACTCTATCTTACCGAAGAGGGCCGAGATGCGATGTCAGCGGCCATGACGAACTGAGCAGAATTTGGGCGACCTAATGCAACTCGAGTGCTGTCCCACTATCGTCGCGCTGTCTTTCCTACACTGTGTGCGCCCCTATTGGAGTGGCCCTCCGACATCCGGCGCAAGCCTACGAATCGTAGTAGCCGTCATTAGTTCATGCTCTCTATAATACAATCATACAAGAGAACTTACGCCTGTGCTCCTCTGTCGCCCGACGCTCCTCTCCTTGTAGACACCGATACTCAGCCTGGAGCTCTGTGCGATGCCATTCAGCCATCTTCGCCACGGTATGGCATGCCCACAGACACGAGAAAGGTCTCACTGGTATTCTGGGTCTTGTGAAGGACTTCGCAAGCTCGGTGTCGCTCGAGAAGATCCCTGAGTTCAAGAAGATCTCGTTCTGTTGGTGCGTCGACGGTAGCTTGGGATGTGCTGTGACGCGTTTCTATGGCCCGGTCGTCCTGTTGTCCTCTCTTGATGTAGGTTGACGGAGTGTGATCGACTTGAGTACTTGCAGTGAGCGTTGCCGACTGTTGGTTTGGTGCGGAAGCTTGGGTCACGGGCGGATCCACAGACGCGGGCCTACAATGGAAAAACAAGGAAGCAGACGTGAGCAGGTCAGCATGAAAGAGATACAAAACTGAAGTACAGTATTCACAAATTGTAGTCTGGCACTGGTTCGCGCACATCTATGAACTGCCCAGTTTGTGAAGGTGGCGACTGCTCTAGTCGTGAGACCACTGGGGAAGGCCATGCACGCATCCCACATCACATGACGGCGGGGTTTGGTGCAGTCCAGTCTGCATTCGTCCCAGTAGATGAAGATGAATATTCACCATATCATCAACTATGAGTGCAACGCAAGAGTGGATAGCTAGTGCGCCACGGAAACCAGCGATGAAATGAAGAAGACGAGGACTTACGATGGCACCGTCTCGATCCTCGAGCTACACATGCAACTTCAATTATTCAAGATGTCTCATTATCGGTACGTGAACGCGTACATTTCCAAGAGCTCCATCATCCGCGCTGCATCCGGTTGTTGAAGAAAGTGAACTTGCTCCCGGATGACCTCGACGTCGTCCTGACCAAGGTAAAGAGTCAGGCCTCAGGCGTCGAGAGAATCGCAGACAAGTCCGACAGAGACTCACCTCGTCGTCTTGTGGATGCCATCTGCACTCGATCTTGCCCTCGACGCCCCTCTGTAGTAACGTTTCTTGGGCATCGCGGAATCCCAAGTATCGCAAGTCGTGCCTGAGGAATCGGTCGTAGTAGTTTCGCGTCTTGTCAGCCGCACTCCTCAAATAGGCAACTCTACTACCGTCAAGACGATAGTAGACGTGAATCGAGCAGCTACTTGCGGATGTTTCGGAAGCCATCGTTGTGATGAGAGGACGAGCGAGCGAGCGAGGATATGACGTGGCCGACTGGGCTGGTGAGTGTCGCGACAACAAAGTCAAAGAGGTAAGAGGACGGAGAGAAAGGCAGAGGCTGGCCGACTGAGATATGATCGCGAATGTGACGGTCAGCCGCTGTCAGATCGACCTGCCAGCCTGCGTAGGTTCTGGAACAGAAGCCTTCAGTGACGGGTAGGCCTCGCCACTCGTTGCAGTCAGGATCACGATGCACGAAGAAACATGATCAGTCGTATCGTATAGAACAAAATAAAGCGTGTGATGCCCACATGCGATGGAATTGGCGTCGGTGCATCGCCCGTTTGGCAGCGAAACTAAATAAACCAGACATGTGTCACCAATATAATAACGCGCGAGGAGAGCATAAAACGTAGTACAGCTCACCACGCTAAAAAGGTTCCGTTGCCCAGGGTGCCTAAATTACAGAGGATGATACGCCGTTGTCAACCGGGCACGAACGGCCGCCCCAACTTCACTGATCAACGCATATCACCCCCTGCACCGGGAAGTCCTGGGTCGTCCACTGAATTCTTTCGATGAAGCTGCACGAGAGCTCGAATGCCACGAGCACTCTCTGCGATGACTTACGAAGACCGTCAGCCATCCACACCCACCAGACTTTTGCGTTTCGGTTGTCCAATAAGGGATCACGTGAATACTGCGAGAGGCTGTTGGACCGGTGAATGCGATGCGCAGATGAGCGGTAGCACAGCCGTAGCCCGTCCAACGGCAAACGTACATGGTAGATTCGCATGTGCGGAACTCCTATGGAACCTGTCTACGTTTGGCGCGTGAAGACGGCGGGAGCGTGTTGTCATCGAAGTCGGCAGAACTATTCTCGACAGATGCTGCATCGTCTTCTGTGAAGTGTCATCTGCCTATCAGCCTGTCGACGGCCTCTTTACTCGCCACTAGGCAAAGCAAGCGCACATACGGACCTATAGGGGGGATAGCGGTATCTCTGGTGTTCAACTTGAAGAGCGTAGCGACCTCTACGACCAAATGGAGATAGGGACACCAGGATGTGTCCTAAACGAGAGTATCTCTTTTTGGTCAGCTACGGAGACTAATGTGTCCTTGAGTGGCGTGTAACTGCCCCCGGAGGTACTTAAGTACATCTTCTGGCGTGTATATATACCTAGGCGAATGCAGGTTAATCAGCAATGCCTGGTCCCGGTCAAGAGCAAACGGCACGCATCCTGAACATGACCCACCATCAAGCGGCTCGCCGTCGACGGTGGATCACGTCGACTTCAGCCTGAGTACGATTGACCTGCATATTGAATACTGTCATCATAGTCGCGGTTCCGCATAAGGCTTCGCCCTGAACCAAAACGAAACGGCGTTAGCAGACAAACACGCGGACAGGTCATAGGTGGAGGATCCAGTCAAGCCAGTGATGCGCTCGGAGACATGCCTACACCAGCATTAACATTCAAAGAACATCGAATGCTGGGTCCTAAAGGCATGACAGGTACCCGTCAGGCCTCAGGGAAGAACTATTCCACAGAACGGCGTCTGCGAGCCTGTCGTCGACCTCGCGATGCATCTTGACCGTATACACTGGCATGTTATTGCCTACGGTGCCAAAGGAGATTGTGCGAAGCCCCAGGCCTCATATATGAGCCTCGAGGGGTAGCAATATGGCAGCGATCGACATGATGGTACATGGTCACTACGAACCGAGTGTCGTGAAGAAAGCGAGACGGTGGACTCGCCATGTTTGTCGGGGGTGAAGGCAACCGCCTCGACGACCCCGGTACATACGTTACATTCACGCCATGCTCTGGCTGGAACACCTACATTAGTAAAGTACGCATACATCGCTACGAGACTGTATGCCGCTTACTACTTCGCTGGCAATGCAAGAGGCCCGGTCGGTTTGGTTCGCAACAAGACATGATGATGGGGGTGGCTGACTGTCACTTTGGGCTGACTGCGGCAGAGCAGCGGCCCTGGCCTCCGCCTCGTCCTCCTCTTCCTTGTTCCTCGCTTCCACTATTCTCGCTTTCTCGTAGGTCTTCAGGCTTGTCTCAGACTTTCTACACTGCTATGCCTGCTTTTGCCATTACCCTGCAATATGTCGGTCTGAACGCGGAATTCTTCCGGCTGCACAAGGCGCGGTCGCGTGGATTTCCCAAGGCTTTCGTCAAGGACAACCTCAAATCGCTCGAACTACCGCTACCTAGGATGCTCTATCTCCTGGACTGGCAGGAGGCTCGCGTGATGTGCTACTGGAAGATGATGGGCGACATCGGGGTAGGTGTTTACTGAAGCACGACTTGGCCAGTGAACGGGAGAATTGACCACCCGCCGTCCAGGACATCTTCATCGACGGGATGCGGCGGCAGGTCGATGTTGTGCGTGCCAATGCTGCTCTGCTTGAGGCTCTAGAGATGTGAGTATTCTGCCTTTCGAGCTATGCTCTTTACCTCGCCTATTGTCACGGTCCGCGCTGCGGCTGGCAACACCCACAACGTCCGCTGTGTATCACGTCCAAACCATCACAAACCGACTGTCCCTCGTTGATGATTTGCTGCAGCTGCGAGATAACCGAAGTCCCAGCGAGTCCGTGAGTCCCCCGATATACTGCTTCCCGATATTGAACGTAGACTGAGGTCGCCGACTTAGGCTTCCGCCCACGATCATCCCAGGAGTTCCGGACACGTTCCATCTTGCCCGAAAGCGTCGCGCGCAGCCCTCCTCCGAGCCGTCGCAGGCAAAGAGGGCCCGCGTTGAGCCGGTAACTGGAGCAACAATCAGCGACTCCGACGTGACTGTTTCTGGGCAGAACTCCGATATAACGCCTGGGACTAGGGCTCCGCTTGCTTCTCTAACCAACGCTGCCTCTTCTGCTCCCGCTGCATCTACTCAGCCAGGTGACGCGTCTGGCGTGGCTTCGCAACCTGTCAAGTCCTACTCTGGTATCCCCATCGTTGAGGCCTCTGCGCAATCTGATCCGACGAAGACCACTGTTGCACTAGCTACTAGTACAACAGCTCCAGGACCCGTTCAGCCTCTCGTGAAAGCTGAACCTCGGGACGACCGTGCTCTGCTTCGCTCAAGCAACAGCACCGGCGTTCGGCCAAGGATCAAGGCCGAACCTGGACGTGGACCTAGGCGTGACCTGCAGGACAAAGATAGGGCGTTGCGGCGCAAGATCCGGGAGACGTACGATCGCGACGTGAAGCTCATCGCGGAGAACACGCGTGAGTTCACCTGTCTCGGATCGGTCTAGCGTCTCACTGCGCTGTGAACAGGACTCCGGCAGGAGGTCGCACGGGCGAAGTGCCGCATCGAGCGCTTGAAGGCGAAGAGTTATGGTAAGTTTGCTTTTGAGCCTGCCTGAGCGCGAGTAGCGAGCAGATGCTAATGTTACCGGATACGATGCAGACGTTCGTATGGAGCGCCCACAGGCGAACTGGTAGGACCTCCGTGGTCCTGTTCAGTACGTGTGATCTGGTGCTTCGTGAACGCGCTTTACATACCGGAACGAATAATGGAGACGTTGGATCTTTGCGTATTGTGTCATCTGCTTCCTGTTCATGATGTTCATCCGTTCATTGTTTCCGTGTTTGCGCTCGCCAAGCCAAGGAGGGTGGATGCAACAATTTGGCAGTTCATCTCCGTTGACCCCCTTCCCCCCCCCCCCCCCCCCACGGGTTTGCGTGGTTGCGCTGAGGGGATACATCCGCCACGCAACTGGCTAACTCGCTTCCAAAACTTTCACGCCACCATCTTCCCGGGCCCCACCGTCGATCCACCAGGGATCCCTCTGTGTGGGCTCCCACAGCGTCCATCAGCCCGTTACGGTCAGAATCATCTCAAGACCGGATACAAACACTCACTCAGCCACAGCAGCTGTCGCGTACCGCGCACTGCTCACAAGCCGCCAACCAGATCGCACTGCCAACCAGGTAGACCTGAGCGCGGTGCTTCTCGCCAAGGAGGCTGTGTCATTCACGCTTTCAGAATTGGACCGCCAGTCTGCATGTCGCTTGGGCTATGAAAGCTGCTGAGTCTCGTCGGTGCCATAATGGTCTTCGGCTTTGATTCAGTCGCACCCGAGTCCGAGTGACTGACGTGATTTGCAGTCGTTGTAGATTGCTGATTGCGGTGGGCAGGTGTCTCACATTTCTGGCTTCCTGGGGGGTGCTGGGGTCACAGCTATGCCTGGTGGTGAAACTGAACAGGGCCTCGGTTCAGGAGTTGTGGTGGCATCAATAGTCGGCTTGCTCACCGATAGCAGAGCTCTCTACTTTATCTAGTGAGTCTGGCCGTTCTTTTCTGGCGTAGCAGGTGCTGACTAGTATTGGGGATGTTGTGCCCCTATCGCAGATGATAGGAGCATACCAGATGGAACGACCATCTGACCAAAATGAAAGACCCGGATTGCGCTATTCTCCGATTCCATGGGTGGTTTCACTGAAGATTTCAACCTAGTCATCCACGAGACAATCATTCACGAGGTCGGCTGCGGTCGTCTCCCATCGACACGTCTCAGCTTCCATGTCTGCCCCAACTCATCCTGCCCTACCCGCAAAGATGGTGGACCCATCGAGAGGCTGAAACATAGAGCCAGCTGGCTGGACCAAGCTACGTGCAGATCATTCACATTTGTCGGCTAGACGACTTGAGCACAGTACTAATACACAGCTTGAATGTTGGTTGACTTCAGCTTTCATTCGACATGCCTACGGGCCGCCTTACAGACCCCTCTGTTCGGATGGTACCACGTCATCCCGATCCCTGAACCTAGTGAGTCCGATTGTCAGTGTATGTCTACTTACGACAAGAGGATGTTCACGTACCGCCGTCATCACAGCCTGAAGGGGGTTGGACGCCTCGTCGAGATCCAGCGCCGACACCAGTACAGCATGGTCGTTCGGCATCTCGTCGTGCTCGTCCTCCGAGAGAGGGGCCCGGGCGGTGCGTTCGGCGTGGATGAACGCTCCGATGGCCTGCGCGACGAGATACTGGCTCTTCGTCTCCTCCGATCCCTCCTTCCACGAGACGTCCGACAGCTGGATCTCGCCAGAATCGAGCGACATCGCGAGAGAGGCGACGCACGCGTAGTCGTTCGCGTCCCAGTCGGGGATGGCGGTCTGCTCGTGGTACACGGTCAAGAGCGCGTTGGCGACGAACTGGACGCTCTTGCTCGCGTGCGTGGACGTCCTCGGGATAGCCTCGACGCCTGACTGCACCGTGTTCAATTTGTCGTACCGAACCGTGAGATGGTTTAGGCTCGCGAGGTGCGTCTTGTAGGTGGACATCGGCATGACGGAGGCCGGGGCGATCACGTAGTGAGCGCCGCCGTCTCTGACCGCTGAGAGCCCGGTGGGGAGCGATGTGGTCGAGCGGAGTACCCAGGTGCTCGTGGGCTTGAAGCCACTCTGCATCTTATTGAAGCACGACATTCCCTTCTTCCCTGAAGATTGGTGAGTACGATGCCGCTGCTGTCTCGCCGGAGCTGAACAAACCAGGGTGGACGTTACCGTCACTGTCCTCGGAGATGTCCTGGGGTCGCACTTTGTCCCAACCACCCCCGTTGGTGGTGTTTCCGGAACGATAGAGATCAGGATGCGCAGACATGTTGCGGTTGGGGTGTGTGTGCGTGAGGCCAACGCAACTATTTGAACTCTGCACCGACTCCCAACTGGTAGGCGGAAAGGTCGGGGCGATCTTTCGTCAGTGATTGCGGCACAAGAAGGTACGTGCTCCACATGAGCACTTACGCCTAGCTCTATACCAACGTTCGTGCCCCGTTTCTTTGTGTCGAGACACTCCGATTCATCATTCCCCGCTCATGACTGTCCACGTAGAAGCAAAGACGAAGTGAAGGGAGCGAACCACACCGAACGATGCAGATATCCTCGGGCCGAAGAACGGTGATTCTCGTGTCTAGCTTCCCTGCGCCGACGTCCCATGTTGGACGTCCCACCGGTAGTCTGGCCCTATTGAAGGGTAACCTTGGTCACCACCTGCTACATCGAAGAAGAATTGGAGGTCGGAGAAGAGTCCTACTTTCAGTAAGCAGTCCACGAGCATGATGGTCAACTGATGTGTAACGACTTCCCTGCAAAAGTGAGCTGTCACTTATACAGTCATGCTATTGAGCGAATCTGATACTCCCAGTTAGCATTTGCGCCCCCGTGTTGCAGCGAATGCTTGGACGTACCCAGCCGTGGCGTCCAGCGTTCAGGACAGCGCCGAATGACAACTTGAAGCACGCCCACCACAAGTCACATCACGCAGTCATCGCGCCGAAGCTCTTTGCGATGATGATTGAGTCGCTGACCTCTCATCGCAGCTCTGGTTGTTACGTACCGGTAGTAAGTACTGCTCGCTTGTGTTAGACTTCATTTTGCGTGCTTCCTGTGGAGGTGTCTGGAGTTTTGAGAAGAAGTGGTGGCTGTAATGAATGTTCGGCGACGACAGCCAGAATGTCCTGGCAAGGTGGCTGGGACGACGAAGGGTCTATTGAGCCGCCCACCGGGGCTCGGACGTGCAGACGCCCGTCGGCTAGGCTTGTATGGCAGGCTTCCATTTTGACCTCGACCCCTCCTCCTCAATACCATAACTCATTCCCAAAGCTCTAAAGCTCCGCAGAAAGCTCGTGGGTCGGGGAAGCACGCCAAATTCAACGACGAAGTCCAGGACAAGCGAGTAGAGCACAAGAACCAGAGCTACGTCTGAATGGGCAGGCTGGGAAGCCTTGTCTACTACTACTAAGTCGTACGTCTGGTACACCAACGTGCGTGCAAGACTGTAGCCTGAATCGATCATGAGGTAATCATATTGGTGAGTACTTTGGTACGAAGCAAACTTGAATATTGTCTTTTGGGTCTGCGCATTAATTCACAGGTGTTAGAGGCGGGTACATCGGCACAAGCTTGACTTGGAGCGTCTGAGTACAATGAAAACCAGGAATTTCTGCCTACTATTCGCATGTTTAAGTAGGACATCTACCCGCAATCCTGGTATATGCGTGCGTTTTCTCATATATCATCTAGATGCCGAGGTGCGCCGAATGTATATCCCATACCACTTGCTGACATTTCCTGTGTTGCACTAGGGCCGCTGAATACCTCTTGAGAATTGACACACCGCATCGCGGCTGTTGGTGCTACACCGCCTCATGGAGTCGGAGATGTGACGATCCGACGTCGCGCAGCTCACGAATTGGAATGCACGGTAGGTCAATTGACCAGTTGGCTTCACACGACATGACTCGTCGGTGGGCTGACACTCATCAATCGATGGTATAGCAGGTCGGCGAACACTTCCTCAATCGAATTCAGGGCCTCAACAACCCGTTTCCATTTCCCGTTATGCGGTCGAACTCCTCGGCACTGCTATGCCCGTCCGAGTCCGACCCACAAGGCTAGCCACAAGCGGTGGCAGCGACAAGCACTCGTTCGGAGGCCTTAAACTTTGACGACTCACAATTGGGAACTTTGGAAATGGGCGGCCGGCAGCAGCTACGGCGGTGTTTTATGACGTCCAGCATCCACTGATGGTGATGTTCCGCCGACGGTGCGTGCTTCCCAGAATTTGACGGCGCCCGACCTCCATCGGAGAATCACCAACGAGCGTGGCCATGGTGTGAGTTTCTGGAGTCCTTGCCTTAACGCGGAGTCGATAGGTGAGTACGTACTTCGGTCATGGAAACCGAGACCTAAATCACCCAAGGTCCACGTAGCCGAGTACAAATACGCACTGCGACGACGGGTATGAAGCAGCGACCGCCACCTCTACCGCTTCCAGCACATCGTTATACGCACCATGCCTCGTCCGAAGACCACCTGGGAGGACCTCTCCACCCTCGGCTGGTTCAAGCAGCAAGTCTACGAGACGCTCAACGCGCAGCGCGGCCACACCATGCGCGGCGCCGACGACCTCGCGCTCAACGGCGGGTTCGCCGAGAAGTGGGGGTGAGTGCGCCGTGGCGCCCGGACGCGCCGGAGGATCCGTGCTGAATCGCGTGTGCAGGTGGTACTGCTACAACGACGTGAAGGGCGGCGTGCGGTACGGGGAGCCCGTCTACAGCGACTCGTCGAAGGAGAGCGTCGCGTGGTCGTACACGAACCTGACCGAGGCGCCGTTCGTCGATACGTGGACGGAGACGTGGACGGAGGAGCAGACGACGTCCGTGTCTATCACGAAGCACGGTGCGCGCGATGTCGTCTCGTGTCGGACGCTGCGAGCTGACGGATCCTCTTGCATGTAAGCCTCCATCACGCTGAACGCGGGCCTCAACATCAAGGACGTCTTCAACCTCGGCATCGACTTCAGCGTCTCTACGGAGTCCACTGAAGCGAAGACCGACAACAAGAGCTACCAGCTCAGCCACACTTGGGAGATTTCGTGAGCGCGTGGTCCTCGCTCGATCGTCAAGTGACGCTGACAGCCTACATCCTGTACGCGGACAGAGTGGGCCCTGGCGAGACCGTCGAGCTCCTGCGCGACCAGGTCACCACGGTTGGAACGCAGTACTTCTCAGCGGCAAGTCCACCGCAGCAGTGCCATCAGTGACGACGACGATAATCCTTTCTGTCATGACAGGACTACGGCCTCGCGGACTACCCGGGCGACATGATCGGCAGTACGTCCATCCGCTCCATGACATTAATCCTTCGCTGAACCCGTGCACCGCGCGCAGCCGACGGCAAACAGTGAGTCCCACCAAACCTCCCCGTGCTTCGCCAGGCTGACCCGCGCCAGATACGACGGCCACTACTACTGGGTTCGTGTCCACTCCTCTTTGCTCAGCGTATGCGACGCCCACGTCTGACGTGCCCTCCCAGGGCTACTCCGCGAACCACTACCTGAACAACCCGCACGGCACGATGACGCTCTCGGGGAGCCTGAAGAAGGTCCAGTACAACTTCAAGCTCCAGCGCGTCGCCCCCGGAGGCAAGTCTACGATCGAGCCCGTCGGCGGGCCTACCCACGCGACACTGCGCAGCGGTGCCGGCGAGGACGCCGTGAAGGTCGTGTTCGCTGTCCCGGCTGGGGATAAGGCCGGCGAGTAGGCGGGACTGGGGGCAGCCGGGGGAGACGAATGTGCGGAATCCAGGTGTGTGGAGGTCAACGCTGGGGCCGACTGTCCGCGGAAGCAATTTGGAATGCATGTAACATCAGTGTACCGGATCGAGCTCTTGTTAAATGTACTGTCGTGTCAGATCGTTACGGATGCTTATTTCTCCGACATGACATGGACTGCACATTCACCACACCGGCCGACGGCTCACGTACGCCGTGTGGAGGTGCTGGAGGTCGGGGCTGTGAATACGATGAGCCGCCGGCCGTTGAAAGACCAGCTACCACTCACCGGCTACGGAGACGTGAATAGATTGACCCCTCCACAACCTCTGATATCTGCGCGTGCAGCCCGACGCGGACAGAACAGCATCGTGATTCGTGAACCGTGCCAGGCTGAGCGAAGCATCCCGTTGTCCGACAAGTGTCGATGTCATCGACGGATCGTGGTCCTCGGCCCACTGGCTGAATCGTCGGGATCGACGGACGCTCGCAGGTACGTCGGGCCGAGCGAGATCACATTGAGTGCATAGTCCACGTCGCCTATATGCTGTTGTTTTCGTCGCGCCACCATCCCGTCGCCGACTGGGCCCGCAGAACGAGCGGCCGACGGCCATTCGTACTTGCGAGTCATGAAGAACAAGATGATGCATAAGGCCCTCTGGTCTTGTCGCATCAGGTTGGCTAGCTGCGCGCCCCTCGTACGACAGCCTACGAGACAGCCAAGACGACTACTACGGACGTACAGTGGACGATTCGAGATGCCGCATGAAGAGGTGCTGGCGCTAGCGCAGCCGGCGCCTCGGAGTCCTCGCTCGTCTGTTTCGAGCTGGATGCAATCCACGCTGTGCGTGGTCCTGCATGGTATGTCAGCCCGAGGATGCTCGACGTGACCATGGCGCGTCCGACTCACCGTGCGCACGTCCGCCTGCTGGCGAGGTGAGAACGACGCGTGACGTGGACAGGCGGTCCGTTGCGCAGAGGACTCGGTGCTCACCGGCACCCACGTGCCACCCCCTCGCCGTTCAGAGAGCAGAGGACCTGACGGCGGCCCGGCCATACGCAGAGATGATCCCTTCCTACCCGTCGAGGCTGCGAATGTGCCTGTGAGCATACAGACGGCACCAAGTTCAGACATGTGGGATGAAGGCACGGGCCGCAGGGCTCTGTAGCAGGCAGCGAACGCCGCATACATCCATGTATGCGGGCGGAACACGCGTTCTGGGAGGATGCGACGTTGCAGCGCCTTCTGTCCAGTGGCACGGGGCGGAGAGACAGCCGAAGGCTCTTCTCGTACCCGTACAACGGCCTCGAACACTGCAGGCGACGAGAGATATCGATGCGGCGGATTGCATGAATGACTACTTCATGCAGTCCGCAGTGTCACTGCTTCTTGAGCCCACGTGAGAGCACTGGTGCGAGGACGCCAACGAGGGAGTGCTGCCTGTGATCTTGGTTCGACGGGTCGGACAACACGCCTGGTCAGAAGTCCGAGTCGCGCTCTCGCACGGGATGCAGCACTCGCATCTTTGAAGGCCTGATGCTATCGAAGACTTGGATTATCCCTTTTTGGCGGCGCAGAGATGGTCAGGAACACGACGAGGACATAGCGGCTGCGAAGACCCACCTCGCCGTCAAGGTGCTTTGGTCCCGTCCCTCGGAAGGGCATTGCAGACTCGTCGCGCCGAAGAGGGCAGAGATGCAGGGCTCGTTTGGGGAATGAAGCGTAGGACTCGGACGTTGCACTGTACAGCAGATGTTGAATTCGAAGGATGGGAGGGAGGGAGGCGCGACGCCGGGGGGGCGAGGGTGACACACGACGGGGAAGAGCAGCGGGCGACGATCATATATCACCTGCCAGCGGCGCGACATGCAAGTCCAGAATAGATGATACGTAGCCTTGCCATGTTCGGTCCACGCGTCCCGCGGATCCTGCTCACCTCGCCGTCGTCCAAGACGTCAAAAAGTAACCCGTTGCCCAGGCCTGCCCCCGGTATTAGCATGCTCCCCACCGAGCGTCAATGCGGTTGCGCAGAGGTCAGTGCTTCCTCACATAGCTACGTGGTATCGGCACAGGGACAGTCTTCGGTGCACGGCTAGCGGGCGTGCTTGTATCAGCTATTGCCCGTCAGCCGACCACGCCCCACCCCGTCTTGCCTTTCCTCCGCGCGGCGGGACGTCACGTGTCGCTGCCTTGGGCGGCCAGAGTCGAAATGCACGACGGACAGAGCGAGTGGATCGGGCCCCTGCGTCGCTGGAAGCGGTTGGCCGACTGCAGACGTGCGAACTTGGGAATGAGTGGAGGTTCCTGCGTACTTGAGCGCGCGTGGGGCCTGACAGTGATTGATTCCCTCCGCGGCTATCGTTGCTCCACAGGCGCCATACAACATCGATCACCGATCTCTCGGAATTGCTCCCGCCGTGTTGCGTCCGTCACCGTCGCTGGGCGGGCGCGAACAGCTCATGAGGCGTCGAGTCGACGCGCGGAGCCCTTGTGGGAGCTCTGAATCGCCGGCAACAATCTTCCGCCTATATTGTAAGCGTTCAGCGCACTCGATCGGGGACACGCAAGTCAACCACGCACCATATCCCGCGGGAGCGACGCGCATCCAGCCCCCTATCCAAGATCAGGACCACACCCGTCGCAGCCGACGTACACCGCAGCTCAGCCACATCGCCGCATCGCGTCCTATAAGCCCAGGCAATCAACAACTTCAACCGACACGCACACCGCGCTCTCAAGACGCGCCTCCTCCTCCTCACCCCTCCCCTCAGTGCCCGGCCCTCTCGCGCGCTGCCAACCACGCTTCAGCCGACACCCCGCGCACGACTCACCGATGCCCCGTGCGCAGACCGACGCTGCCCTGCGCCTGCACTCGCGCTGCGCGTCCGCGAGCTCCGCCTCGAGCCGTTCGATCTGCTCAGTCAGAATCGCGAGGAGCCCCGTGGCGCGTTGATAATAGGGACATTCGAGGTCCGCCGTGCGCGACGCGGAGTCGGAGCCGCCGTCCTCCGAGTCGGTGGGGCTGGCGGGGGAAGTCTCCAGTCTGAGTCGTGTTCGTGTTCGTGTTATCCAGGGACCGCGAGGAGACCGCGTCGAGGGCGCCGTTCTTGCCAGTCGACCAGGGCAGGATGTCGCTAGGGGTTGCATCCCCGGTAGTAGGAACTTCGGGGGGCGCAGCCAGGCCAGACTCGGACGCGTCCACGGACCACCTCGCAGAGCCAACGTTGACTATCCCGCAGGTCCCCTCGATCGGGTAGCCAGACGAAGTAAAAGTAGCAGCTCCAGGGTCATGATCCGCAGCGGTAGAACCAGGTGTAGTCGAGGCTCCGAGTCCGAGAGCGGGTGCCACAGTATGAGCGTCGTCCACAAAGCGGGAGTTGTTAGTGCTTCACGGCGAGCGTGTCTCCAGGAGAGTCTGTTGAGTGTACGGTCGCTTCCTCGGGTTGTCCGTACCAGCAGAGTCGCCAGCGACCGGGTCCATAGCGTCATATGGTCGCTTGAGCGAGATGAGGTCGCCTGACTTGCTAGCGCCGGCTGGGTGTAAGCACGTAGACATTATGGCGTGTGAGGAAGAGATATCAAGAGAGCGTAGTGTACGGCGTTTGTTGACGAGCCTGAGCTGCAGCCTGTGCAAGCGAGCGAGGGGGGAGATGGAGACGACAGCCTGGAGTTCACGACGAGAGCATCACTTGTGGGTAAAGTACTCAGGCTCGTCCCGTGGAGGTACCTTGGCCGTGACAGCTGAAAAAGAGGGTAGCCAGAGTAGCAGTCAAATGATAGTTCTGCACAGGTATCGACGATGTTGGTTGCCGGTTGAGGCCTTGAGGGAGCTCCGTGGTCGCTTCGACTCCCGCCCGGACCCGCCGCAACATGCGCGACGCGACTGTCACGCTCACATGACCGAAGAGTAGTCACGGTAACGCGTCCATCGGCGTAATCAGCGCCAATCAGCGCTCCGGGCCAGGCTTGGAGGAGCAGTGCAATGCATAGGGGTCGGACTGAAACAAAGCACAAGGTAGACCGTGACGGCCGTTGTTGTATCCTGTCTCCCGACGTCGAACCTCTTCGTTGGGCAATCACCAAAAGCCCAGGGTGATACTCCCCCAAGTTCCACTCCTACGACGACTCGGGACGTTTGCACAAATTGCAGTCTCCTGGCGCCGATCAGGATCCGTTGCAGAAGGTCAGAGACTACTTCTGACTGCACTCACCCTAAATATTGAGCATTGACCATATGTAGACCCGGATTCAGAAGCGACGCCATGAGCGCTACTACATTGCATATCCATTACCGAGGCCAAAAGATCCGGACAATGAAGGACGATAAGCAGCCCGTCTCTGTGTTCCTCGACGCTTTCATTAGCGATGACCTGAAGACACTTGGGTTTCCTGTCCTTGATGATTGCATTTGTAAGGGGTTGTCCGGACTAGCGGTGTGCACGTGGAGGACCGAGCGGGACTTGGTACGTTGAGGATCCAATTCTTTTCCAAGATTTAGATCGTATTATCATGTTTCTTACGACGTCCAGGACCTGAAAGCACGTATCTCCATCGCCTTCGACGCAATCGATGCTGATTTCTTACCCGAGCTTAGTATGTGAGCAGCATTTTTGTTCACCGCCAACCAAGCAGCTTCTTGACTTATGTGATAGTTCTATGGTAGGCTTGAAGGCGGAGTGACTATCATTCATTTCCTCTCCTTTATTTTTGCTGATGTTGTCGCTTCTTCACAGGGGTAGATGCCAATATATCACTGCACCGGGCGTGAAGGGCCCGTCTATGGCGACACAGAAATTAACCGCTGCGACTACTCGGTCGGTACATCCAGCTTCGACTGGCAGAATCCAGAGTGCACCAAGAACCTACGCTCTATCGAGGATGGCCCCGTTGCCCATCGGTCCACCCACCAGCGCGGCTTTCTCACGAAAAGGCAAGTTTCTCGTGCAGCGGACACTGTATCGCCCGCGTTCAATGCATAACGACATCCTGATCTATTCCGGGCGTTTTCAGCACATTTCGACGATACATCGCAACGGTTCGATAGCCCCCGCAACCCCTTAGCAAACGCACACTCTGGCTTGGCGACGCACACAACTCGGATGGAAGGAGCCAGTCCGCAGCCCGTCGCGGAAGCAGGCCCGTCGACCAGAATCAAAGTAGAGGAGAAGGAGAAGAGCGATGGCATGGCCCTTCGAGCACCGACCCCTCCTAAGCAATCATACGCAGCCACTACCCACGGCACCGAGCGCACCTCTCCGCAGACCCCCATGTCCAGAGCGTCGTCTTCTCCGCGGGCGCACCCTTCTATCCTGTCGACCTGGAGCGCCGCATCGAGCATGAGCTCTGTGATGCCCGGAGACAGCGTCGGCAACCTGACACGCGAGGTGTGGGACGTAAGACGAGAGCTCTCCGCCCTCGTCGCCCGGGAGGACCGCCTTGTACGGGACCTAGAACGGTTGGGAGCGCGTCCCGTGCCAGAGCCTTCAATGGCCCCCAGGCCCGCGGAAGTGCGCAAGACGATGGACGACGAGGCCAGCGGTGCGTGTTCCGATCTCCTGCCTACACTCCTGCGAGACGAATGGGAGAGCTGACATCCGCATTCGAGGCCTCCGCGCGCGACTGGAGGCCGAGTCGGAGGCGAGGAGGGCGGCGGAGTCCGCGGTTCAGCAAGAGCGGCGGCGGCGCGAGGCTGCGGAGTGGGCCGTGGCGGACGTTCGCCGAGAATGCAGCGGGCCGTTCGTCGTACCGGCGCTCATGGACGCGTTCGTGGAGATATCGCGCCTCAGCGGAGACGCTCTCGTCGCCGCAGATTATGGGGCGGGACCCTGAGGTGTCCGGTTGCAAGTAACATCCTATCTATATTTAAGTATGTATTCACGCGCACGGTTCGCTGTATGGGAGTATGCATTCTATCTGCACAGAGCATACTCCCAATCCTGATGTCAGTGATGTGCATCCTATGCAGGAGGGATCGTCCTCTGCTATGACAAGCACGCAGGTGACTCATACTTATAGGTTATTGCAATTCCATGCTAGCAGGATGGTCCGTGAGCGGTGCTGTTTCAGATGGGCCTCAGGCTGGCTAGTAGACGTGTCTTCGTCGAACAACATTACTAACATATCCACACTGTGCAGCGTTGCGCGCACAATCGGCGGGGGACCAGATTCAGAATCTCGAGGAGGGCACTGTCACGATCAGCGGATGACCCGGTGGATGTTGGTGGTATGATCTCACGATCGCTTCACGTCGTCTGAGCTATCCTTCAGAGATGGTCACCAGATGTATCGTTGCATACAAAACGAACGGTGGTACATGTGACAGAAAATGATGACGATAGTATGTGCTATCCTACTGACCGCGATCTTGCGAGACGTGCTCGTCCTGGGTTTCCACACGATAGATTGATCCGCCTGTGGCTCGTCCCTGCTTAAGGTGACTAAAGTCTGTCAACAATCAGCACATATCCCGTACATCCCCGAGAACGAAGTAGACTCACCGTAGCCTACAGGTGCAAGCTTCTGTATCTCCGCCACCAAGCAGTCAACCCGCTTCTCGAGGCCTTCTCCATGTCAGCCCAACCTTACGACCGGTACCCAAGCGGAAAACCTACCTTCTTTGTCTTTGGCGATCACGCGAACAATGGCCTTCTCGGTCTCAATCACTTGCATATAGCCTTCAGCCAGACAAGCGGAAGTATCAGCTTGAGCAACCGCACGACCGTGGAGTAACACTTACTAGCGACATGCTGGCGCTCGCGTTCGAGGTCCCGGTTTCCTTGCCTGATCCTCGCTTCCAAGGCTGCCATCACACGTTCTCAACGGCGACGGGCATACGCAAGGTGAAAAATTTCACTCACTCATGTTCTTCGCTTCTATCTCGATGTTCTTCGCCTCCATGCGGGTCCGCGCATGGTCCCAATTTGCAGCTTCCCTCTTGGATGCGTCCACTTCCTGGACCAGCGCGACTATCTTCTCTGTCGCATTCTTGAGCTCCTGCGCAACCTTTCGGCACGGGTCGTGAGGACAGGGTATCCCGAGTGCCATGTACAAGACCTGCGTAGAGATAACAGATGATCGAGACGGGACAGTTGCGATACGTGAGGCCGATCCAGAGGAGCTACCAGAGGCGTTGTTCGCAGGTCCAGAGGAGATCCTACGTTGGGCAGCGGAACGTGGATCGACAGTCGAGGCAGTAGCCCTAGTGTTACCGCCAGAAGTGACCGGGGGAGCCGGAGCTGAGCGAGCCACAGAGTCTACCTGAGAACGAGCGGTAGTGTCCCCCACAGAAGCTTCAGGCTTGGTCGAGTTTGTGATGTCCGCAGCCTTGGCACGTGTAGGTACGTTTGTGTTGACACGATCATGCAGTACAGTAACGTGAGGCCCCGATCCAGATCCGCCAGTAGGTTGCCTCTTCCGATTTAAGTGAGTGTTATCGAGCCGTGACATTGAAGAGTCCGTCGGAGTAGCCTGTGAAGTAGGAGCGCTAGAGAGGTTGGCCAGACGAGGCTGTACCGATTCGTAGTGAGACGGGCCGCGAGCTGACGCCGAGTGGGATGCCGGAGTAGTGTTGCCCAGAGTAGTACCTGCAGCGGTGTCGACTGAGATCCGTTCGCTAGAGTAGCGGTCGTCACGGGGGCGCTTAGCCTGAGGGGAGTCGTTGTATGGAGACCGGGGTCGTTTGGGAGGTCCCACTACGCTGGGTGGGATCGGTCCGCTCACGTTGATCCTGGATGTACGGGATCAGTCGCGGGAATATATCACGATAACCAGGGTATCATACCAAGACGGCAATCTCATCTCTTTACTACAGACACAACCACGTTGAGTCAACCTGCCCAGGGAATCATTTCGGGATAACGACCACGGTACTTACATGCTGAGCTCTGGCAAACGGCCCAAGCGCACAGCGGAATCTACTTTGCCCATGACCTTCACCTGCAAATCGAGCGAGTGAGACAAAGAAACGACGCCGTGCCATGGCCGCAAAATGATGTTGGGGACACTTACACCGTATTTCCGAGCCGTCTCCCCGTCCCAATAGCACATAATCACGCCTTGCGACCAATTGAGCATGCTCGATAGAGTGGGCAGAGGAATCCCCAGACTCCAGAGGTCTTGTTTGAGATACGGAAAAATCAATTGTAATGCATCGGATTTAGTGGTAGAGAAGCAGGAAGTCTTCGCGTTGCGAACGCTGACGTCGTATTGGATGAGAACGGTGAACGGACTTGAAGACATGATGGTGATCGCCGGGAATAGTCGTGATTATACGGTATAGAGTAAAGTCAACGGAGTGGGCCGCACCCGTGCGGCACACGAAATGGGGGAGGTTGGGACTCTGGGAGAAGTGCTGGTAAGAGTCGAACGATGGTTGATCTTGAACCACGCAAGCATCAATGTGACAGTCACACCGTGTGAGTCACCCGAGCTGTCTGTGTCGTTCCACCGTTCTTTACTACTCACTTATGTATCCAACGCAAGTTTGTTCTTATGTCTACGCTGACCTGCTGCAGTGATATTGGCTGCGTCCTATCAGGGGGGCAGGCCGGAAGATATGATTACTTGATATACACTAGGATAGGCTCCACCGGCTGTCGAAGACTACACGACTCATCCATAAGTACTGTAAATAATGGCATCAGACATTCGACAACTAATCCCATAGTTTGAGACCCTCCACAGGAGAGCGCGCATAGACGGAGGTCGTCGGGAGAGGTCTGATCCCTCCGTGTCCCGTCGGGCCATCCGCTTCCTCTGCTACAGCCTAGCTTGCTGTCGGTATTTCCCTGTATGATGCAAACCTCATGGAAATATCCCCGAGGTAATAGGTCCAATACGGTCCGCCTGAGCTCACTTTTACGCTCGGGGTCTAGCAACAGGGTAGTAGCTAGAATATCAGGCGAACATTGAACGTACGATCAGTGCAAAATTTATTTTGAGGGAATCACGACTCGAGTACTCACGGCTCACGTCCTAGTTCACTGCCCAGATCCCAAAATCAAGAACCTACTCAGTCGACGGCACAAAAACAGCCGCAACATACCCCTCAATCTGACCGAAACTTGGTTGCTGTCATGGAATACTGCAGTCGACTCCATGGCCGCAATCAAGGTCAGATGGAAGCATGCCTGAGCACTTCTCCAACACGACGCAAGCGGGCCCACTTGCTATACGAATCGTATGGCCGGTTGCAGGGATCGCGCGCCGCGCGTTCGCATTATGCACACCCAGCGTGACGTCACGTGCATTCCCCTGTCAGGCTCGTGTCACAGTGATGCACATATGTTAGGGCCAGAGGGGGACCTGGATCCGTACGGCGGAAGGATGAGAGGTCGCAGCTGGGTGCGTCTTCGTGCAATTGGGCCGCACAAGAGTCGAGAGTGAAAGGATCATGAAGGTTATAAGCGGCTATTAGTCATGATCGTCGGGTAAACCTCTGTGTCTCCGCTTACCTGACACACACACACGCGTCCACAGGTCGGCCTCAATCATAGTGAAACCTGGACAGTCACTAATCAACCGTACCGTAGATTTAATAGATGAGCCCGCGAGAGGAACGACGATACCAGCGCACAGGAAGAACAACCGAGAAAAGTGGTCACCAGTGAACAAGAGAAGAGGCCCTACTGCCAGCCGCGCAGATTTGTTACGAAGCAGAAGCTGCGCATCGCATCAAGCTGCTCATTCCAGTACACACTCTGTATCAATGAGAGAAGGTCTAGCGATGTAGGGATGGAACCAAGCCAGAGCTATAGAGGTGGTCGTCGTGGTCGCGGGAAGGACCTGAGCGATTGAGCGCTCGCGGAGACAAATCTGGAAAGATCTTGGTGATCAGATGCATCTCTCTCCGTCGAACTCGCTCCTGGTTGTCCTCTCCATCTTCTCAACCACCGTGACCTAGTACTCATCCCGCTAGGCCGCACAGGCTGCACCACTACCCTCTCTTTCTTTTCTCTTACTCTACACGCCGTAATATCTGCGTACCAATACCCGGTCAACACTGGCAAGTTGGCAGGCGACCTCAGAGTCCCGCTCAAGCGGTCGTATGGAGCTGTAGGGCCGGTCGCTGACGACTCTGCTGCTGGTAATGATAACCCGAGAAAGCGATCATATACTCAACAGGCTGTTTCTGGGGATACGCTCGGTCGGAAGTGGCACCGACTCTCGCCTGGCTGTCGACGACACTGATTGAACAGCTCGAGACGGAACTCGCGGACAGGATGCGCGTGTGAACAAGCGAAAAGCGGGTCGACGAGCGCGAGTGTCCCGGGCACGGACGATGCCCGAAGGGCAATGGTGTGAGGTATGTACATCGAAAATTGTTTTATATACTCTGACCCCCTCCCCCCGGTCCTTATCTTCATCCAGGTACAAGGCCTACCAGTCGGTGAGTGTGCGCGCGGGTGGACATAGTAACAGTGTGTCGGCTGGGGCGTGGCTTGTCAGCGCTTGCGACGTCGCTCCTGGGGTCAAGCAGGGGATGGGTAGGGCCGTTGGGGGTCCGTTTTGATCGCGCAGTGTATGTGTCTAGTCCTCTCCCCCACTTAAAGAGGTCTTCTTTAGGGTCTGCCTAGGGGAGACTAGTATGTGTCGATTGTTCATAGTCTTGGGTTACAGAACGCGACGTGGTGATAGCGGCGCTCCAGGATGAGCTGCGATCTACTCAGGCTACGACGAGCGGTGAGTGATCCAGACATGTTGCGGAAGGATATCCGCTAATGCTCTGGTTCGCAGCGTTGACGAATCATTGTGCGATCTTGCAAAGGGTGCTGTTGCACGTCGCTCCCGCGGGCTGTAGTCTGTGACCCGGTTTCGTATGGCCCCGAGTTCGGAGTGACCTCGACCACATGCATACCTTTTTCGCTTCCTGCGCAAGTGCGGCTATCGCTCCCAGTGCACAGAGACACCAGACAACAATGCGGTATCGTATCGGTCACTGTTTGTGGTGCGCACATACACACCGTTTCTATGGATAGCATCAATACCTTTTAATGCAGGAAGTAAGCGACCCGCTCTCGTATGATTCTCTTCACTTCTGCTGACTTCACCGGGCAGATTTTCTGCCTCTGAAGGCGCGACTTCAAATCCTGGCTCGCGGGCAGTCACGCTCTCCGTCACATTCTCGAGAGCGCGGCCAACATGAGTTAGTCTCGGGGATGACATGGGGCTAGTCCATCCCATTGGCCGCTACAGCGCTGTCTGCGTCGGCGCCGTGGCCATCTCGTTCGAACCTCTACACCCCTGGTCCGGCTCCCGGGATGTTGCTCCGGTGTTGGCTGGACACTGCTCAGCTTTGTATCACCTCTGAGCGAGCTCTAGATCGAGCTGCGTGTTGCCCCGGCACGGAACGCTGCCTACAATCCCGGATCACTGTTCTGATCTGCGCGTTTTCAAGCTGGCCACGGGGAACAGACTCGAGCCTGTCTGCTGACTTCTGCTCTGCTGACACTGATGCCATGGCTCACTGGCTCGGATGCTCGTCCTCTACAGTTCAAAATCAAACTCGTGGTGAAGCGAAGGACGACGAAGCGTGTGCTACACTGTGGTAAACGTGCCCTGGCGTTATCGTAGAGGACACGATGTTGCAGGGGGCGAGTACTTCATCCACAAGTGATGCTTTTGCCTCGATCGTGACCTTCGGAGCCAAGTAGTGGTGCGTGGGAGGGTCGGCCTTGCAGTGCAGGCTACGCTGTTGAAGGTCCAAGTCCTGATGCATCCCTCTGCCACTTCGACATCTGTACCCACGCTTTACTTCCCGTTCATCAGAATACTCTTCCACGTTGTATTGTATTGTCGGGATCCTTTCCGTAATGTCAATGATTAGTCATGAAGCTTGTAATGAGGTGATCCAATGGTCCGACGGGCTTGCGCTGCTCACTGCTCAGGCAGACCTGCGATTTCCAAATCACGTGAGTCGATCGCGCCTCTTTAAGTTCTTAAGTTCAACTTCGTTCAAGAGACCCTCCTTCTCTTCCTCCTCCTCCTCCTCCTCCTCCTCAGCCTGATCCTGTATCTTCCTCATCGCTTGCAGCTCCTTCATCTGTCCGAAAGCGATACCTAAATAACGCTCAAAGTCCAGTTTCTGCTTCGTGCGACACCGTCAATGGCCTTCCGCGTTCTGCGCTGCCGCGAACTTCTCGATGAGATCTTCAGCTACTTTGCCGTGCAGCCCACCTCTACCGGCGACTACGACGAGAAAGCCGCTACCAAGAACAAATGGAACGCGACCTTAATTGACGCCGCGCTGGCTGGGAGAGCTCTGTACGAGCCTGCGCTCGACGTTCTCTGGAGCCACTTGGACCACCTCGACCCGCTCCTCCTGGTGCTGGGCGTATGGAAGCGTAGGGATCCGAAGCCGCTGCGGAAGAAGAGGAAGACTCTCGTCGCTGTCTGCCCGATCTACGTACGACCCCATGCCCTCTTGTTCTTGATAACTAAACTGGAATTATCTTAGGTCATGCGCGACGGGTTCTGTCCTGACCGGTTCGCTCGGTTCCAGCATCACGCGCGGCGCATCCTCTCCACCAACGGGCTCAACCGCTCGCCCGTCGACATCCTCGTCTGGCGCGCGCTCTCGGCAGCGAACGGCGGGAAGCCGCTCCTCCCCCGCCTGCGCCGCGCGGTCTGGTACGTCGACTCGGCGTTCGACGTGGATCTCTTGCTCCTCATCCCGCGTACGCTGCGCTACCTCGACGTGCAGCACTGGGACGAGGTGTACGGCCCGCAGTTCGAGATGTCGACGAAGACGAAGTGCAAGTACAAGCGGATCCTGACGGCGCGCGACCAGCTGACGGACTACATGCTCGTGCGGATCCAAGAGGCCGCGCCGGACCTGACACAGATCCGCATATGCAGTGAGTCGGATCGTGGATGGCGGTGACTGCGCTGACGAGGTACTGGGCAGCGCCGAGGTTCGAGTCGCTGGTCGTCCTCTCGTGGTGCCGCAGCCTTGCCCATCTGACGCTCAAGACTCGCCGCGAGTTCGCCCTTCCAGGCGGTGACTACAAGGCCCCGTTCCTCGTACTGCAGTCCCTCGATGTCTCTGCGCCTGTCGGCTCCGTCAAGGCTCTACTGGCCTCTCTGCGCTGTCCCAAACTCCGGCACGTCTCTCTCAGGCCGCACAACCCATGCACCTTGGACGACCTGAAGGGCTGTCTCATGATCTTGGTCGACACATTCGGAGACATACTCGAGGGCGTGGCAGTGGCGGCCTGGCCGCAGACCTCCCGCGAACAGCGCTCCAAGGTCGCCGTGCCCTTCGCTGCTGCTGTGCTGTCTGTGCTGTCCAGGATGCAATCTCTCCGGTCTGTCGCGCTCTCTGGTGCTACGGCTTTCTGGACAAGCGGCTTCGCCCTCGACGGAATCCTCAAGGCCTGGCCTGCTCTGCGCTCGCTGAAGATCACTCTTCTCTCGGAACTGCCCTCGGACTACCCCAGGTACCTGCCGATCCCTGTGCCGACGATCACCGACGACGACCTGATGTCCCTGCCCGCCCCGACCATCCCGGGCCTACTTGAGATCTCCAAGCTGTGCTCTGATCTGCGCGTCCTGGAGCTGCCCGTGGTCGATGCGTTGTATCTGCCGAGTGCGCGCGCGGCCGTGCGTCTCAAACTGGACCACGTGAAGTTCAGAACGGTGAGGAGGCGCAAGTCCGTATGCGACGACTGCGTGTGGGACGCGCTTGACGACATCTGCCTCGATACAGAGGTGGCCCATTGGCTTTACCTGCTAGACGAGCTGATCGAGGACGTTCCTAATACAGGGCGGGAGCCGTTCGCGCTAATCACGGTCAATTGAGTCCAACGTGATAGGACTCGCTTGGTACATAGCTAGTCTACCTACAATTCCTCACTGTGTATTTCTCGTTCCTTTGTGTTCTCGATGTGTAGTACACGCCTTCTCCCCTCCTGTGACACCCCTGTCCCATATGTAGTTAAATCGAAATTGTGAGCGTAGAGTCCTCATTGCAATGATTTGTGACGGAGGCTAAATAACGGGAGTCCTTAGACAGTGGAGCTTCAAGGCTATCGACACATGAAAATTCGGACTGACAGTCTCATGGAAGGAAAGAACCGTCGTAATGCGTGCCGTAGGCAGCAGCTCATATGAATGGGTGCATGTGGGCGAAACACTAAGAGCGCGGATGACAGTGAGGGCCTAATCCGTACACCCGGCCGCCCATCAGGACAAGAATCACAGATAACGATCCTCTCAACTCATCCAGCCTCTTCCGAGTCCGCGGCGTATCCTCCTCCCCAGGGCCGGTGCCGGTGCTGCGTGTCCAGGCTGAGCTCTTTCCAAAGTGTGAGTACCGACCCTCGAACGTTGCCATGTAACTGAATGCACGTGATCGCCCGTCAGCCGCAAAGAACTCATGGACGCAGGCGGTAGCGACCTGTGGCTGCATGTTACAGTGTCTAGAGCATACCCACTGATCCGCCCCTGAAACCGGCCCGAGCTTGGTTGCGCCCTTTTAATCGCGCGATTGAGAGGGGGCAGACAAGCGCCGGTGACTGCCTACAGGGATGTATAACTTTTTGATGTGCTGTGATAGTAAATACTTGTTCTCCACAATTGTTATTATCGTGTGTCCACATCAAACCGCGTTGAATCCCGATACTAGGGAAGAATTTTAATGAGTATACGTTTTGGAGACAGTACGGCCGACGTCAGAGCTCAAATAGACAGCGCATCGTCGTTCGTTTTCGCAGTAGCCATCGCATTCTATACCAAGGTAGATCCACGTGGGATGATACACATAATGGTACAAAACGATTGACGGAATACATGTAGTAGGCTTACGATATTAGCTAGAGCTGTACGAAAAAAAAACGAGTCCGAGCGCAGGCCGACACCCTCGAAGCCGACGATGACCCACTCCGTGCGCAGCCCTCACGTCTGCCAGCGACTGCGCGAATTGACGGATGACTTAATTGCGCACTTCGCCTGTCATCGGTCAGGATTTCCTAAGCAATTACACGATGCGAAGAGGACGTACAGTTGATGCCCTGCTGCTGCCTTTCGCACAGCTGCATATGGAGCCTTAGGCGCACCGCCAACTCTGTCATCACGCAATCATCAATTTAGCCCTCTGACCGTGCGAAGCGCACCACCGCCAATGCCGACGCACCTTTAACCCTGCTCTCAAGCTGGGCTTAGTACCTGTTGCTGGCTTCCAATCTTCCGAGCATCGAGTGAACCTGCGCAGACAAATCGGCGCAGCGGTAGACCAGTGCGGGATGAGGTTGTAAGGTGCGCTCCTCCTGGGTTAGCTCCGAGGTAGAGCCCTGCTGCATTGTAGTGGGAACGACACGGGGCCAAGGGAGGTTACTGGAGCCGCTGACACCAGACACAGATTCCCTGAGTGAGGTAGCCAGAGCAGCACAAGAGAAGCCAGTCTGCAGAGAGTCTGTCGATGGCACGCCAGAGGAGGACAACGTAGCAATAGCGGGGCGTCTTCAGGCAACCTGTGCGGCGGAGCGTTCCAAGGACTTCGGTTCGGTTCGGGAGCCCGGGAGTGTGTACAGTGGCACCGTAAAAATGTCTACCCAAGAAATGTCAACGCAGTTACAACGCGGTGTATACGCGGATCAGCAAATCATGAACTCACTCGGAAATGATGACGGGCCCATTGCAACAACAGTGTAGAAAACCGGCTAATTAAGGGGCGTGGAGGAGGAGGAGGATAGGGATCCGTTTAGCCATCGACCGACAGCCACAGGCGCCGTCGGCGTCTTGACGATGTGGAGGAGGAGGAGGAGGAGGAGGAGGAGGAGGAGGTAAGTTCGGTAGAGATGCAATCTTGATGTGGACGCTATCGCGGGATCAATTTCCCAGGGGCCGGGGCGGCGCTAATCAAGACACGCTTTCTCGGCGCCTAACCTTTCGGTTCCGTTCCCGTGCCAGTGATCCATATGCTCCTCGCTGACCCACTACGAGCTACTGCGAGTCGACGCTTCAAAGAACGAGCAGTTCACTGAGGGAAAGGTATGCATATTTCTCGGTGTATGCGGATTCCCACCGCCTAACCGCATGACGCTTCAGGTCTCTGAGCCTAAGACCGAGTGGTGCTCCCTTAGCAATGAGACGCTCGAGAGGAAAAGGTAGGTTTAGTTCTGCATGCCCGTGAATGTGCACTGATATATGACGATTATAGATGCTACATGCAGCTGCGAACGGCTACGAGTCGGTTCCTCTGGACCCGACATTCCGCGTGTACTCACATGGGTTCAGTGAACAGGAGCATTCCGTCTCGCACGGCTAAGGACAGATTCACTGCTGAGTTCGCTGCGTTATTGCTGGCGGTAAGTGTTAATCCACTTCCTCAACCTTCTTGCATGTGCCCCCCATCCTTCACCGTCATCCACCGAGTACCCGTAGCCAAGGCTTCGCCAGTCAGAGTGGTACTCACGCTTTACAGAGGAAGTCTGCATCTCGCCGAACATAGCCAGCATCCATTCAGTCACTCGAGACGACTCCGTTCCAGCCTCTATTAAATTCGAACGCGTCTTCGAGAACAAGAACAACGAGGCGCGTGTTTGACTCATCACTGTTTCTGTCGACCCTGACTTATCTTCTGCGGCTCAAAGCTCCGATTCCGCCTACAACCCCAAATAAACCCCAAGTCCATGAGCAAGACTTTCAAAGATACCGACAGTGCGCGTATGAGGGCGGACCAAGTCGTCCCGCTCATCCGGCCAGCGCCGTGAATCCTCAGTGCATCGCCGAGATTGACTGAAATGCGCATCGACGGTAGGTTGTTCGTCCGTCCAGGTGCATAGAACTAATGTGCCGCCCGTCCGCAGGAATCCGCTGCGAGGGCTGGTCGCCAGCCTCATCGACGTCATAAGGGTCGACGTCGAAGAGCAGCCCTCGCCAGGAGGATGCCGAGTCCTCCTCGCCGACAGTGACGACGTCGTCATCGTCGTCATAGTCGGTGGGTCGAACTCGACCTTGCTTGGTTCGTACGAGTAGACCTCGCACTCGGCGATGCCTATCGTATATTTCACAATGATGCGTCGTTTCTTGAGCACGACACCTCCTGCATCTTGAGCTCGACACGCGGTCGAGCTTGCCGATTTCACGAATAGGCGGTTGAGAGTCCCTCAGGTAGTCGTGAATCCGTTGACACACTTATGTCTTTACTAATTACCGTCGACTGTCTGAAGTTCCGTCGTGTCACTATCTCTTCTCGCATCAGATGTACTGACAGGGACCTATGAACGCTACTTTGGAAGCTTCACAGAAGTCAAGCCGAACTGGAGCGCTCCGTGTTCCAGTGAGTGCCCTCTCCGTGCCATGTATGCGCATATTTACAGAATGCAGATGCATATCCGCAGGGCCTTACAGAAGCCGTAACTGCAACGTTTCGCGATTCTCGCACAGAATGCACTGGCCGCGGTCTGTGCTGTTAGTAGCTGATCGTGTGATCAGTAACATCGATGACGACGTCTCGGATTTTCGATAAGGACACAAGCCCCCACCGCGGAGTTCCTATCGAGATCAGCGATATACCGAACACCTGGACCAGCGTGTGCTCTTGACAGCGGCCATAGACCTGCCTTGCTGAAAGCCTCACCCGTTGTCTATGTGCGTCCGACCCATTCAGGAGCTGACCCTGTGAAGCACGTGACGTGTCGGGGATGCAGGAAACTCGCGAGTGGCTCGGATGGTCCTCGTTCAGGGCTTTGGTTATCGACAGTGGTTGTAGAAGGGGTTTGTCAAGCGGCCTCACGCCCCGACGACGTCAAGATGGCAAGCCTTGGATCATAAGCCCTTAGTGAGGTGCTAATCTTTTGTCGCATTAAGCTACGTGACTAGCGCTCACTGCTAACTCGCCTCAAACAGATTCAAGGCACGGTTGGACTAGCACCCGACGAATTGTATCATGAAGATAAGTACTACTTATGAAGACAACTCCGAAAATTAAGCATCCCCGTAGGCGGTCACCGGCGCTTTTCTGCTTCCAACCGCGCGTTGGAGACGCAACCAGGCTCAGGCCGGCATAACCTACTGCGAACTATCAGACACTCTAGTAGTAGTACTGCGAGGAATCGATCGAGCTGAGGAAGGCACGCGATGTGATGCTGGATGCACACAACACGAAAGCGCGACGCACGACGCCCACAACCAGCCAGTAGCATCGAATAGCCGATGTGTGAGTAGCGTCGTTGCTGCCCCAAATACGTGATCAGACAGAGCCTCGCGGGGTATGTTGCCACCCTTTTTGTAATGTCGTGACACGGCGTCAGTATCACTTCCGTGTAGTCTTGCATGTATGGAGTGTTGGATCATATCTCACTCACACTCAATCCGCAGCCGAAGGTCGTGGTTATCCTGGACTCCGCTGTGCACTTGGGGCGTCTGTCAGAGTTCAGCATGTAAGCACCATGATCTTGAACGGTCCGTTGCACATGCTGGCTTTATATGGATCCATTGTTAGCAAAGAGATGAGATTGCTGACTTGGTAAGTCATTCTGGGTATCATATGAGAGCTCGTCTTGGCGGCCACAGTACAGGACTAACACGGAGGACATCGGCGGACTGACCAAAGATCCTGGAACCATGCAACATGCGAACGGAGTAGGATCACTCAAGTGGTCGCCGTCATGAGGGCGAACAAGTCGACGCTACTTCTACCGCACGATCGCGTCAACATGAACGCGCCTGCATCTAAATCGACTACTGACATTCCGAGCGCAGGTGAGCCTCAAGCATTTATTGGTGACGCTGATCCTCATTCTCTGGTAGGCCCCGTCACGGTGGCCCTCTCCACATCGCCACCTTCAGTCACCTCTGGCAGCAAATTACCGTAAGCAATCTTCAACGTCGTCCGACGCTGCAATAGGCTCATGACCATTGAGTCGCACTTTGGAAATGACACAGCTCATGGACGTACTCTGCCGAGGCCTACCCGGAGCAATGTCCGCAATTGCGAGGAGCAAGATGAAACCATTGAAGAAGAGTCTGGATAAAACAGAGGTATCCTGGGTGTGGCTACAAGTACCTCTTGGTGCGCCCAAGAGGTACTTGCCACCACGCATAGGACACCTCTCCTCTATCCAGACTCCGAAAGCAGCACAGTGGGAGGTCCGGGCGCGAGGGCGAGTGCGGTTGTGGTGACATCGCGACAAACCCGCTAATCGTTGAGCAGCCGCGTGCCATGACACCGACGTGCTTCCTCGCATGAGTTCATAGACTCTGAGGACGAGGGATCATCGTCGCAGCGGGACGTACATAGAGACTCCGGTCACCGGTCGCCGAGGACTCAGAACATGAACCAACGAGGGCGACAGTCTCAGTGCAGAGACCAACGTAGCCAGTCGAGCAGTGTACGGACACGACGCAAGGATAATCCGGCGGCAGTGGTAGGCGAATGAACAGGAGGGTCGTTTCGACCGCATCGCCGTGCATTTGGGTCGCCCATACGTTGCTCGGATCTCCGTCAGGTGGATCGCAACAAGCCAGGCAGTTTACGCGCAAGACATTACATGCCGTCTCGGGCATGCAAGTCCTGTCATCGGTCGTACCGGGGGCGCGTGCGGGAGACTCGTTCGCTCCTCGGAGAGCCACACAGGGAAGCAGGAATTCGCGCATCTCCCCAAGGCGCCGAGGATATGCACATCTGAGGGTAGCTCTCCGGGAGCCGAAGGGCGAAGACGAGCAGTTGGGAAACGGTCGAGGCGGTGTATCAGTACTTGTGTTACGGCCGGGGCATGTAGAGTAAGCAATCTCCATGAATGCAATTCGCGTACCTCGCAGCCATTCTTCCGGGTACACCTCTATCCGCGCGGGGCTGCGTATCAGCCTTGTAGCCGGCGAAGCGCGCCGTCTCTGTGTCGCAGCATACACGCATTTCTCAACGATACGGGCGCGCAGAGATTGCCGCTGCGTCCCACCCGACCCCCAAGTACATCGCAAAAGGTCATACAAATCCACAAAATACATCGTCCGAGAAATGCCAGAATGAATAGTATGTGCTGTGTCCTACTGAGCACGCGTTCGACGGCCCGCGACGACGTCGTGCCCGGTTCGCGACTTGCGTAGACTAGTTGGTAGCCGAGCGTGAACGTCGGGGATCTGACAACGATTTCGCATCTCACTACTCAGCACGAACATCACGACGGACAGACGATACTGACTGTACTTATCTGGACGCAACCTCCTCAGCTCCTGCATGAGCAGCGCGCAGCGCCGGCGCCGATCTTGTCGCGACACACAACAGTGTCAGCGTAGAACAGACACTGCGTAGGCCCCGGAGGACTCACCTGCGATCCGAGACCGAAGCTGAGTGGTCTGCCTGTCAACTTGAGGATTTGTCGGAACCATGAGGCTGCTAGGCCGCGAGATGAATGAAGCGCGGAACTCACGCGGTGACTGGATGCGTCGTGCCAATCGGGCCTCCTCCACCTGTTCACGCAAACGCTGGATCTCCGATTTGCGTTCTGCGAGGACAGTCTGGACCTTGCTGATCGCCGACTCGAGGGCCGCCTCCGTGGCGTTGACGTCGTGTTCGACCTCGACTTCAGACGCAAGAGCGCTAGTGGAGCCCTGCTCAGCTTGGTCGTCCGGTTCAGCCCTCGCTTGCTCATCCTGTTGGCCGATGGGCGTGGACCGGGAGGGAGCAGCCACAGTCGCCCAAAGAGGCAGAGGAGCAGAGAACATAGCGTCGACATCGAGATCGAATAGACCAGGAAATAGGCTGCCAGAAAGGGACAGTGCAGAACCTGAGCTTGCCAGAGGTCGGCCAGAATCTTCGGTGGCTAGCGTAGCGGGCCCAAGGAGGATCCTCGGCGAACCCCAGACCTCGTTCTCTGGCGATGCGAATCTGTCAACCGTAGAGTTATCGGAGACGACGATCTTCTGAGGGGATGCAGAGACATCGACAGGGCGGCCTTGTTTCTGCGTTCGGACGAAGCGACTAGAACTTGAGCTTGAGCTCCCGGCGGTGGGCTGGTCCTGGGCGGCACTCTGCGATGAGTCGTCGTCTTGGCTATCTTGTCTTGGGGTCTGCGTCCAAACACCGTGGGAAGCCTCAGAAGCAAGGTCCGAGTCGGAGAGAACGGGAGAAGAGTAAAAGAGACGCGTCGCCGCAGCTTTCTCGACGGAAGAGATCTCAGGAGAGGCCGGAGTGGAGAGGTCTTCGTCGCCCAGGTCTACGGAAGCCGGCTGTTTCCCACGAGCTGCAGACGTCTTCCGTCCGCCGAGGGTATCAGTTCGACGGCGCTTGGGATAGGTTGGCTCAGAGTCGGACGTTGGCGAAGGCGGCCTGCGTCGCGCTGTCGCCGGGGAGTTCGGCCGAGTCCGCATTATACGCTGTGGACGCGTACTTGGCAAAGTGTGTTATCCGTAAGCCGCAAGGACGAGGGAGACGAGAGACTCACATTACGGGCACCATCGAGACGAATTCGACGGAGAGTCTGTAGCAGTGTTAGATGAAATGTGTCTGCACACACTCTACTTGGATGCGCACATGTGGTGCTCGTTGCGGAACTTGGGATCCGGAGGAGCCGACTCAAAGTCGTTCATGGCTGCCTGCAGCGCCTAGTATCGTCTCCGCGTATGAGTGTACGAGTCCCACTGCAGCAGAAATGAAACAACCTCTTCCTCATCGTCGTCTTCAGCCTTCCATGTGCAATGGAGTACTGTTCCGGTTGCGTCAGAGCGGGAAAGTATCAGCATCATGCGGTTGGGTGTTCGGAAGCCGTATGTGTCGAGGTATGCGCAGGCCTTGTCCTTGTAGAATCGTCGTGCGGCTGCATCAGATCCAAGATAAGCGGTCCGTGTGATGCGGGAAATGTCGAAGCAGATGGCGGCTTTCAGTGTGCAGTCTAACGACTTGCTGGCTGATCGAGAAACAGGCATGCTTGCCAGTGGAAGTAGAGTGATATAGTGACTGGCACAGAATGAGCGGATGGTGGGCGCGACTGCGCACGGATATGAAACAAAGCCAAGGGAGATCATATAGTGGTGGACGTTCAAACGTTCAACGTTCAGGACAGGTGGAGGAGGACCTGGAGGTCCGAGGAGGTACGTTGGCGGCGGTTGTTGAACAACTGTGGGATCACATGATGGTTGGTGGACGCCACCGGCCCACCGCACACGGCGCCGGCACTGGCAGCCTGAGGAAAACACTTCATGTACATGAACTCATCACAGCTGGGATATGGGACGGATCTCAGCGATGTTCATTGACCCGCTTACAGTATAGGGAATATCCTTGCCCCCGAGAAGAAACGACTCGGTAATTGTGCAGTATGTAAGTATGATGATGCCCGCCGGGCCTGGGCGGCTGGGCCGGTGCCAGGATAATTACTAGAATCCAGCAGGGATGCCTGAGGAGCGGTAGATGGGTATAGCATTACTTGCCGCGATCAGAGGTCTCGCGGCCATGATGTAGTCGATATGGTTGCTAGTTGGAGTGAAGTACAATCTCGCCCACTGCGGGAGCTTAGCGCTTAGCGCTTAAGTCCCCTCCTCTGAGTCCGCCACCACTTCATGGCGACGCTAAATGGGCTATGACGCCGGTCTGTAGTAACTTTGTACAGGCGATATCACAGGAATTTGTAGACTTTAAATGAGGCAGGAGTTTCAAACGTTGAGCTGTACCGTATGTAACTCGTCCTACTACTAGTACAAACCATCGGTTAAAACGAGTTAGCATAAGCAGTAAGCGCCAATAGCTCGATGCGACAAAAGATTAGCACCTCACTAAGGGCTTATGATCCAAGGCTTGCCATCTTGACGTCGTCGGGGCGTGAGGCCGCTTGACAAACCCCTTCTACAACCACTGTCGATAACCAAAGCCCTGAACGAGGACCATCCGAGCCACTCTCGAGTTTCCTGCATCCCCGACACGTCACGTGCTTCACAGTGTCAGCTCCTGAACGGGTAGGACGTGATCGCTACAGAGACAACGGTCAGGCTTTCAGTACTCAGTCACCAAGGCAGGTCTATGACCGCTCCCAAGAGCACACGCTGGTCCAGGCGTTCGGTATATTGTTGATCTCGATGCGAATTCCGCGATGTAAGCTTCTGTCCTTATCTAGAATCCGAGATGTCGTCATCACATCGATACTGTAGTGCTGATCCGCGCCGCACGATCAGTTGCTAACAGCAGCGGACGGCGGACACTGGCAGACCACTGCTGGCAGTACTTAAGTAGCAGTGAATCTGTACATTTGGTGATACATGTCGCCCCCTTCGTAGACATTCTGATACAGGTTGAAGACAACACAAAGTTCGATCACAGCGTCGTACGGGAGCACAGCACGATGCGGGATGATAATTCCAGAGCTCGAACTCATCACCTGCATGATGCGAGTCAGCCACTCCGAGTGCATCCCGAGTTGCGACACATGGCGAATGAGTCAGGCATATGCATACGGGGTGTCGCTCGATGCTAGGGCACTCCCGGTCCCATGTACAGCCTGTTGCCTCGGTCCGGTTCTAGACTGCCTGTCAGGACATCGGTCATCGCACACACGTTGCCGTCGAGTGTGCTCGATTGGAAGCAACCAAATGGTCAGTGCATTGAACGCACGAGCCGCTTGCTATACCATCATCGAGGTAGCCGAACTTACAGTGCTTCCTCTTGTCCAAACCTCCGGGGATATGTCGCCTAGAGGCCAGTCACGCTCCAGCCACTTTATGACGTGGGCGCAACTTGTCGGACATAGCTACCGCAATCAATGTTTCTTTGCATGTGAGTGCTTCCATAATCTCCGCGACGTATGAACGCTGTTCAAGTAACACTCGGACTCGATCATTGTGCCGGGTCCGTCCAGCGATACTGCAAGTCAGATGTGCGAAGTGACCGTAGCGACGGCGGAAACCTTCGTACGACGATTCAGCGAGTAGCGCAGATACAGAGAAAAAGTGCACTTAGCGCCGACTTAAGGTGCGCTCTGCCAGTTCGTAGCTGAGAGCGTCCCAGTCGAGGTGCACCGTCAGCTTGACGTGTTTGCGTATTTAGAGAGGCCCATCTCGTGGCTCCATTGGACCGTAGGGATTGCCCTGAAGCGCTCTATAAAACGTTCGCGGTGAACTGCAGCAGTGTATCTTTGTACGACATACCTGCAATGGTCTGATCATCAGAGCAAGTCCAGGCCACAAAAAGCCGAACCCAACGCCGGAAGTTCGATCGTCTTGGGGCCCCGTTCGCTCGACGACCCGGTCACCGTGACAGTGGGTCACCGAGTAGAGAATAAAGGGTGCGAGGAAGTGGACAAAGAGACTACAACTACTAAGTTCTATATGTTTCCCCGGCCTCGGCTGCCGCATATGAACATGAACAAGAACGGTAGACCCAAGTTACCAGTTGCTGGCCAGTGCGAGGGTAGTCCCAGGGAGTCTTGCGCCGTGTACAGCCAGCAGAACATCACGTGGTTCACCCACACTGCCAATTTCTTCGCCAGGAGGGGGCTTCATGCTTTCTAGATCTCGCTGGCCACGGCGACGGGGAGTTTGGTGACAGAAGGTGATGACGTGTGAGAACATAGTGCCTCGGCTATCATTAATCTCGATGCCGCCGGGAGGTGGCTGCTTCCTTTTTTTTTTTTTTTTTTTTTTTTTTTTTGGATGGCCATTGGGGCGCCAGCAAACTGACAATTGGTCAGTCCTGGTCGCCCAGCCTGCTAGCGGGTTTCCCCGCCTCCGCATATCCAGGGAGAAAATGCCTTTACGCACGGCATGTTACAATGCCAGTGTGGGGCTCATCATCCATCGTCCCGTGCCTCGAGACTTGCCGGATCAATACCCACTAAAACCCGATTGTATTTCGTCCAGTCTTCTGGTAGCGCTAGCTCGTCTATCAACGTGCCGTTCCACGTCCTTAGTACCTTGTCTGTCTTTATGGCCTTTCTGCCGAAGCGCCGGTGGGTCAGAGACATGTCTAAGTGTAATCGGTCGTTGATGGCCTTCACCCAGCGTGCCACTATGGCCCTTTCGGTGTGGTGCCAGTCGTCCTGGTCTTCGTGGCCGATGACACGCTCGCAACGAAGCTTCCAGACTAGGAAGGCCGACTCTGAGACGAGGATACGCCATAGTCTCTCGGCGCCCTTCCGTCTTCGACCCCTTGCGTGTGTCCATCGTCGCAGGTTCACTCCTTGGATATCCTCTATCCTTAGTCGTTGCGGCCACGGGAGGCCCTTCCGGGCCCAGAGGGCCGCCGCTCGCGACCAGATGATGTGTTGACCTGGGGCTGTGCAATCCAGTAGAATGTGCGTCATCGATTCAGTTTCGCCGCAGTGGCCGCATATTCCCCTCTGCTCGTACCCTGGTATTTTCTCCCAGTATACTCCGCACTTCTGGGCGCCGTGCATGGTTTTCCAAAGAAAATCTGAAATCTGTTTTCTCATGTCCTGGCCTCGTATACTGCGCCATACGTCCGACGCGTGGACCCGTAGGCCTTGGCTGGTAAGCAGGGATTTCTGGATGTTGGCTATATTGTGGGCGGTGGTCGCCCGGGTTGGTGTTCCCTTGCGGAGTACCACACCCCGGTATGCTAGCTTTTGTGACATTACTGACAAGCGGGCTCCCGACAGGTCAAAGACAGGGTTGGTTGTCATGCTAGGGGCCACCGCTCTTATGTCTCTGCATGCCCGCGCTTCGATTTTCGCTTTGCCCATTTCCGCCCGCTCGTCTTGGGTCTCCGCTTGTTGGAACGTGGTCACTGCGCACCGTTGTCGTAGCACGTTGGCCAGGACGCGGGCCAGTTTCCCAAGAGGTGCGTCGATCCAGCCCCGGTCTTCCCACATTCGTAGGTCGCGGACCATTGTCTGTGCAAGGACGTCCGACTCCCCGACGAAGTGAAGCGGTACGTCGAGCGGCGTCGTCCGCGCTGCTTGAATTGCGGCGGACATCTCACCCCATTGGCCCAGCTCCGGATTCCCTTCCGGCATCAGGTGGACCATCGTGTTTCGTGCGTGGCCGCCGCTGACGTATACAAAGCCGTCTCCGCTCGCCTGGGGTCTGGATCCAGTGTTCTGTCTTGGTGGTGGATGCGGCGTGCTCAGCACATAGACTGTGACTGCTTCTTCCTCCACCACTCTACCCCTCCGGCGTCGTATTGCCGGGGGGTTATTCACGTTGGTCGAGGTCATGAACACTCTGAACGCTTCGGTTATGCCGCCTCTCGCCGTTAGCGATGGGTCGAAGGTTACAGTTCCACCGTCTTCAAGTGCGGTGCTGTTCTTTTCCAGCCGGTGGTGTGTCAGCGTTAGGCCGTCTGGGAGTACCACTAGCTGTGGGTTCCATTTCTCTTCCAGGAGTTCGAGTATCCTGCCCGCTGCCTCGTAGCATCTCACGGGGTGTTTGCACCCTTGTTGTCGGTCTTGTGTGCATTTTGCACAGGTACAATCATCACCTCCCATGGTGTTCTCAACCAGGGTATTGTGCCGGCGGAGGCGGACGAGGTCTGCCACCCATCGGACCCCATGTTTGTCCCGTATGCAGTTGCTCACAGCCGTGTTGTTAAGGCGACGTAGGTGCTTGTTCGCACTGATGTGATACCATGCAGGCAGTTGCATTTTCAGTTCTTTACTCAGGGTTACGGCAGCGAAGGACGCATCCTGTCGTCGCGCCGACTGTATCATCCTCTTCAGGTAGGGTGGTAGTTTGGAGCCTGCGTTTCCTGCCGGGTGCCAGTCTTGCAGAAACGTATTAATTTGGGCGTTGCGTTTGATGGCCCCTGACTCCTTCGTCGCTCTAATTGCCATAATGGTGTCAGCCGCGTACACCCATCTCGGACGGTCTGGGGTTAGTGTCAAGTACCGTTTTAACCACATGACCTCTATGGCTTCGTTGCGGGCTTTGATGTCTAACACGCCCAGTCCGCCGTCCTGCACCGGGAGGTGCAAGGTGTCTAGGTTAACTGGCGGTGGGGCTTCAGAGCCCCAGATAAAGGTCCGTATGAGCTTCGTTATTGCTTCTTCAATCGGCTTAGGCATGCCTTGCACTGTTGCTAGGTATTGCGTGATGCCCCCTGGTCCCATCTGGACAATTAGCCTTTTTCCTTTATGCGTCGGGTGGCATCTTCCCCATCGGTCTAGGAATGCTTTAACTTTCCTTAGCGTTGGGGCCCACACCGCTGCTTCATCAATCTTGTTCCCTATCCAGGCGCCGAGCATTCGCACTGCTTCGTGGTCAGCCGCAATGTGTATATGGTCTGGGATCCGGCCGTGGCTGGACATCGGGTCGGGGCAGCGTGATTGGATCAGTTGGGCTCGGTACTCCTCCGTCCCGATGGGTATGACTTCGGTTTTCTCTTTGTTGAAACGGGCTCCGGACAGTACGCACCAGTCGTCCAGAATGGCCCAGAGGTGTTCCCACTTATCCATGTATGATAGGAACGCCGAGGTGTCGTCGGCGAACAGCGAGGCGATGAGCTTCTCGGCCATTCCAGGTATGTGGTATCCTAAGAGTGAGGATTTCCTCAGGGCACACGCCAGGGGTTCAATTGCGAGGTCGAAGAGCAGGCAGGAGAGTGGGTCGCCCTGTCTTACGCCCCGTATTATCCAGAAGTATGTGCTTCTCTCGCCGTTCAGGATTACTACTGTTTCTGCAGACTCATAGAGGCTCCGGAGTCGCTTTATGAGGGCAGGCGGTAGGCCTGCGCATTCGAGGACCATCCATAGGTAGTCGTGTCTTATTTTATCGTATGCTTTCTCCTGATCCAGAGCGACTATCATACCGTTCTCCTCTGTCGCTTCGGCATAGTCTATCATGGTACGGCACAGCTGCGTCTGGTCCGTGATCCTCCTTCCCGGGAGGAACCCAGCCTGATCCGGGTGTATGATCCTGGATGCGACAGGGGCTAGGCGCATGGCGATTATTTTGGTGTATATTTTGTAGTCAGTGTTTAGCAGGGTGATAGGCCTGTAGTTTGCAATGTCGTTTCTGTCCTTCTTCTTGTATATCGGGCATAGCCATCCGTCCGCGAACTTGCTATGTTTGTTCACGCCGTGTCTGTCTATGTCCTGGTACACTATCCGCATTAGTTCTGCGCAATCGAACGATGGGTCGTCTTCCCCTGCTTTAGTGTGCAAATCTATCATGGTCGTCCAGAACTCATACGGGATCCCGTCTAAGCCGGATGCCTTACCGGCTTTTGATGTTTTCAGCGCGTCCTGTATGTCTCCTGACGATATGGGCTCTGTTAACGCGCTGTACTCGCTTCCGAAGCTGGATAGGTTTATCTTGGGGAGTAGCTGCTGGAGCCTTTGTTTGCATTCTTGTGCGTTTTGCATTGACGCACCACCCTGCTGTTGTAGGTCGTTGTGGTAGTTCCTGGCGAGTTCCGCCATCTTGTCCGACCGTCTCTCGTATTCCGGTGGGTCTGTCCCTGGTTTTACAAGTTTGTAGATTATGTCTCTCGGGCCGCTTTCCTTGTTTATTCGCGACCAGTACTTCGTCAGTGTCTCGCCGTGGAGAGTGTACGTTGCTGCGGCCGAGGTGCGCGACACTCCGTATCGCTTCCTCTCTAGCTCAACGATGCGCTCATGGATGACAGCGGCTTCCCGTTGTAAGCCTTCGTCCTCGGTGAACTTCGGGGCGCTCTGTATTTGTGTCGCGCTCTCGTTTAGTCGTTTCAGTTCGGCAGATAGTTTAGGGCATTTTGTCTTCAGTATTCCGCGAGCCAGGTCCGTGACCTGCTTTTTGAAGTCTCGGTGGATCGTTTGCGGGTTCAGGAGGTCCTGCCTTAGTGTGCCACTCTCGTGTGTCTCTGCCGCTTGGAGTGCCTCCCGTCCTAGGTTTATAACCTTGGTGGTGAAGTTCGAGTCGTGGAGCAGCTGGATTGGCAGTGTCCATCTTCCCTTCCCGATATACGGTGCCTGGGCTGCGCTCAGTTGTACAGATACCATGCGGTGATCTGTTGGAACACCTGTGCTCAGTATTTTCCAGTTGTCTGACGCTCGCGCAATTTCTCCCGTCGCGTAAATCCTGTCGATTCGTGATCGTGATGTTGCTGCACGCTGCGGGTAGGTGTAGTCTCTCGATTTTGGCTCGGTTTCGCGCCACCCATCCGTGAGGTTGAGGTCGAGTAGTAGGTTTCGCAGGTTCTCTACTGCCACCGCATTGTCTTTGTGTGGCGGTAGGCGGTCTATGGAGTCCTCCACCAGGTTGAAGTCACCCAGCACGACATTCGGTTTCGGTCTTGATCTGTATTCGTCCTGGATTGTTGCCCAGAAGGCCGCGTTGTCGGGTGCATTGTTCGGTGCGTACACATTGAGCATGTCGAGCTTCGTCTGTCCGTGCCATACCATTCTTAGCGTAGCTGCGCGCCCGGGGATGATTTCATTGAGGGTCGCGTTGGACGTGTCCACCATTTCCCTGTTGAGGATGAAGCCAATACCTTGCGCATTCGGGGTGTCTTTGTCCTGTGAGTACAATATCTTCATGCGTCGGCCGTACAGGTTGTGTATTCTGTCGACGGTATCGCTGTCAAGGTGTGTTTCCTGGATCGCTAGCACGCCTATGCGTTGTTCTCTTAGGAGTGCGTTCATTGCATTCCATTTATTGTTCAGGGTTCCAGAGAGATTTCCTTTCCCATTGATGTTCAGCGAGCACACTTTTATAGTGGCTTTGGTTCTACGGCCACTCGTATGCGCCTTGCCTCGTTTAGGGGCTTCCGCTGCATTGTGTTGACCGACTGCTGGGGTCCGGCTCTCGGTCGTCGGTCTCCGGTCGCATTGACGGGAGCCGAGAGCAGCCCTGTCGCCATGTTCCCCTTCTAGGTCATTTGGCATGCAGTGGGCAGGGGACGCTGTACGCCATTCCTGTCGGGGGTCGCGTTTGCCAGGTGTCGTTTCTTCTTCCGTCTGTGGTTTAATATATTCGTTTGTTGCCGTTGCTCTGTGATTCCACCGCTACAACGATCCGCGGTGGCCGGGAACTGCTCCTGAGTTCCTCAGGTGACCTGCCTGCCGCTGCTGGGCAGTAGCGAGGCTTCAGCCTCTCGGCCGAGGGTAAGTCTACAAGTACCCTCGCTATAATAGAGGAAAGGGGGAGGACATTACGACGCCATCTATGGCTTTCCTGTCCCGATATTCGGTCAGTAGATTTGGGCACACGTCAGGCGTTGTCGTCGGTCAGTACGATTCGGCGTTCAGCGAACAAAGCGTGTCTTCGTTCGCGGCATAAGGGCGATTCGTGTATGTACATCATCAGGATTCCGGGTGTACTATGTGTGCGAGTTCGAGCAGTAGTGTATCGTGGTGCGTCAAGAAGGGTGTTCGTGTAGGAGTGCGAGTACGTCGTGGAACAGGACTGGGGGTGTCGGGCGTAAGATCAGGCGTATGGAGCAGGGGACGAGTATAGCAGAAAGTCCTCGTATGCGAGTGTGCTACGTTTCTCGTCACGTTGCAGGGAGTGGGGGTTTAGGAGCGATCGACACCTTTGCCTTTACCCTTGTAGTTTCCGTTGCCTCGCGTCTCCGTGCGGCCGCGCTCAGGCTCGTGATTGGGCTTCTTTTGTTGGCCTCCGGCCTTCGCGTTCGTCGCGGCACCCGGCACAACGTCATGCCATCCGTCGATCTTCAGCAGGTCGCACAGTCCTGCCGGATGATCCACGGCGTGGCAGTATGCGCACCAGTGCGTGCCTAGGTAGGGCTCGGGTTTGCCGGTCGCGGCGCTGCCGAAGTCGTGGTCGCGGAGGAGTTTGCGGAAGGCGTTCCAGTCCGCCTGGTCGGCGGTCGGTGCTTCGATGAAGAGCCGGACTAGGGGGTCTCGCTCGCCTTTGGTGACGTTCGCGAGGTACCTCACCTTCACCGACTTGATCATTTCGCGGAACGCGCCGTCGACGGAGTAGAACTGCCACTTGCCGTTTCGGTCGATATCCCTCGCGATGATCGCCGAGATCGGTATGCGGAGCGCAGGTCCCTCGAGTTCGCGCACGAAGACCACGGTGTACTCGCCGTCGTCACGTCTACGGACGCCGAGGCGGTTGGGGTGACGCCACGAGCCGGCGAAGCTAGGGTTGTTAGCGTCGATCGTTACGAAGCCGAAGGTGCCTTCCGGCGTCGAGAGCCACTCTATCCCGAGGAGGTAGTCCCGTGTCTCGTAGGTGACGTCTTCCACTAGGAAGTAGCGGGGTGCCTCGTTGCGTCTTCCGCTTGGTTTGGCTGCGACGGCTGCCGTGATGGTGGTGCCGGTTACTTCTAGGTATTGCTCGAGTGCGTCCTGCATGGCGATGATGCAGTCCTCTGTACCGGGCTCGTCTGCGCCGCGGCGCGGGACGCGTATGAGCAGCGCCGGCTTGGTCTTGCCTATCAAAGCCCAGGCCTGTTTCTGCTTTGGCGCCATGCCGTCCGACTTGGAGAAGGCGTCTCTGCCTTCGATCAGGGGCCATCCTCCCTCCGGGCGCGGTGTCGCGCCGTTCGGGATCTCGATCAGGGCGAAGACCTGCGGGTTGCTCATCACCGAGTGAGTCGGGCTCTGGGGTTGCATGGTGGGGTGCCGGGAGTGCAGCGACGGGCCGGCGCGCGGGCCTTCTAGGTTTTGCTGGTAGTTCTCGGGTGAGTGGCTGCTCGAGCGCCGGCGGTAGCTGTGTTGGCGATGCGGGACCGGAGTATCCGGCCGGGTGTCCATGTCGAAGACGTCGCTCTCTCGTCGGGCACCTGACTTAGTGTTAATTCTGATAGGGGCGGAGGGCTGCATGCGTTCGAACGCCTGCGAGGTGGGTGAGGGCGTGTGCAGGTGCACGTCCGGGACTGGCCTCTGTGCTTCTCGCGTCTGCGTGGGGGCTCGTGCGCGCGTCGGCGCAGCGACACTCACACCCTTCGCCCAGTACGGGCTGACGCCGACTGTCGTCGTGGTTAGTGGCGCTTCTCATGCAGTAGTATTGTCTTCTCACATGTGTGCGAGGCTGCCTGGCTTGGAGCACGCTGGGATGTCGTCTGGACGTCTTCGTCGAAGTGCCCAATGATGAGGCCATTGTTATCGATTGCTGGCTCGTGGTCGACGTGCATGTCGTCCCGTGCTTCGTCCTCATCGGCGTAGCTGACACCGTAGTCCTCGATGGTCGCTCCGGTTCCATAGTCCGGAAGGTAGCTCCAGTCGCCTAGGCCGTAGTCTGCCATCGGTCCGACGACGACGAACGCGCCAGCAGCCTGGGTACGAGCGGGCTGACTCGGTGCGGTGGGGGTGCGCTCCGGGTCCTGGCGGACGTCGGTGGTCTGAGGTTCGCCGTCGTTTCCTACGTCCTCTGATACACGCCGCCTCTTCCTCGCTTCGCTTACCGCGAGTGTCGTGCTGTTGGCGGGCGACGAGGGGACTGGCTCCTGCGTCGTTGGTGCTTCGGCAGCCCCGAGACTTGCTAGTTGGTTCATTTTGCGGGTGCGACTTGCACCCTGCGTAGGGGTTAACTAGCATGCCTCGGTCTGTTACTACAACATTGCGATTGTACGTGGTGATCATACCTCTCCGTTCGCCTCAGTCGTGTTGGCGGTCGTGTTCGCGCTTGGCTCTGGGTTGCCCGCGTCCGCAGTGACAGTCGTCGGCGTCGCGTTTGACATGCCGGGTCCGTCCAGGTTGGCGACTATGCGTTCCTGGTCAGCGGTTGCTCCTACAACCTGCGTTCGCGGTTGAGCCTCGGTCGCGGCCGCCGCTGCCGTCGTCGAGTCGTCTGTGTTGTATAGTGTTTCTTTCGTCAGCCATGTTCTGCTTCTGTTGCGGCTGCTTACTTTTGGTTGCCGTGGAAGCCGGGTTCGGCTCCCAGTGGTCGTGCGGGTGTATCGCTTCGGCGGCGCTGTTTGCGTTTTCGGGCGCAGCTTGCGTCTGGGCAGGTCGTTCGCCGTCATGTCTCTGTGCGTTGCGCGTCCTATGGTGTCCCCTGTCGCTCTTGTTGGTACGCTTCAGCATCGTGGCCAGGTGTCGTCGAGTCAGGACAAGGAGGAAGCGGTAGGTAGTGGGATGCTCGTAGGCGAGGGAGTGCGTTCTCGGGCTGAGTGCGCTAATGATCAGTGTGATCGCCCCGTTTTTCAGTAGTCTGCGTGTTTGTTCGTGAGTTGCTCGCGAGTGTTTGTGCGGCATCGAATCGCGACGGCGTCGGTCTCGGCGCGTTGGTGTATTCATAATGCCCTCCTGGCGCTCTCCTTGTCGCGCTGCGTTCGTGTTTTGAGCTCCCAAATTGGGCTCAGGTACGTGCTCACCCTGTGTTATGGCGTCCCTCGGTCATCAGGAAAATCCAGATTCCACAATTTGGAATAAATTGTGTCAAATTGTTGCTAACACGTCTAATGAGTACTCATTGAACTCTGCGAGCTAATTCTGTGATAATGGCATCTACTGGATACAGTATTAGTACATGTATGATCCTATTAGATGCAGCAACAAAGCTGTTCCCTAATTGTTGCTAAAGTGGTGCATCATACAAGGCGCACGATGTCTTGTTACGATTAGTTCAACAATAATTCTATTGCTGTGTGGTATGACCAAATACAAATGCTATATGCTACACTAAGCAACACAACAGTCAATGGTCGACAAGGCCATCTTCAATATAATGACAGCCACTCCTATGTGTTAGCTATTCTACGACTGAATATCTCCATAGCATCTCACACCCACGCCATTACTCGCCATAGTAACCATACAGATCATGAGTGAAGTTAATGGGCGCCGGGTTAGTACATATAGGGGACACAAAGATGAGTGTGCGGGCGCGCGGGCGGTAGCGGATATGCGGGCGCGTGGTCAGGTCAATACGCGGGCGGGTAGGGTAGGCAAGCATGTAGGCGGGCATGCCAATACGTGGGCAGGTGGACAGATAAGTGCATGAGTAGGCCGGAGATTGGACGGGCAAGCCAGGGAGTAAGTGGAGTGATACTGCGAAGAGTGAGTGGGCAATGAGCAAGTTGTGGATGAGTAGATGCGTAGGCAGATGCACGACTCGACAGGCAGCAGGCGGGCGGGCGAGTGAGTGGCGCATCGTGGCTGCTGGCGGGCAGGGCGCGGGGACATGAGACTGCGACGGGACGACGAACAGAGTGAGAAGAGACGCTAGGTAGAAGCCAGGACTCAGGAGCGAGTTGACGGTCGGAGACGGCGTCAGGGCGGTAGGAAAAGTGTCGAGGACGGAGGGTGGCGAGCGGTCACCATCCATTTTTGGGATGGCGAGACGGACCGGATTAGGCAGTGTTGTATCGGGGATGACAGGAGGCGCGCGCGGACGAGCAGATTTGGACGCGACGGGTGTGGCGGGGACGTGACGGGGGGGAGACGATGGTTGTGCAGACAGAGTAGACCTATGATCGGGAAGTCAATAAGTGCCGGGTGGTCGAGCGAAGAGGCAGGCGGGAGGGCAAACAATGCTGCAGGCAAGAAGACGTCCATATGAGTGAGGAAGGGGCAGGCGAGTATGTAGATAGGCAGAGCGAGCGAGTGGGTAAATGCCGGCGAACGAGTGAGCAGACGCCTGGTGAGTGAGCAGACCATCAAAGGGCTGCGGATAACCAGACAAGCGGGCACACTGGCCAGTGGCGAGTAGGCGCGTTGAATTGACTGTTCGTCGATATGCCGGGTCGCACGGGCAGTACTGTGACAAGTAGGGCGGGGAGTATTAGAGTCAGGAGTCAGCAAGGGCATACCTCTGACTTACAAGCTGTTGTGCGCACCCTTGCCACGGTCATCCCTCTCCTCGTCCTCGTCATTCGATCTGCCACCCCTCGTCTTGCCGTCCCTTCCATCCCACGCTTGTCAGGTTAGATGCGCATCGCGCAGGCCCGAGTTTGCCTGGCCGAGTGCAGAGACACGCGACTTTGAAAAGACGCAGTCGAGCTCGCAGTAGGCCTGGCCGCCGTCTGCTGTCCCCTGAGACAAACTATGAGCCTTGAGGTGCGGTCGGGCAGGCGTCGTGGGTGGTAGTGGTTAGCGAAAGACGAGTCTCGGAGTCACACATCCGGCGCTAGCGCGAGCCACGTATGCGCGGGAAACTCCGGAACGGGCGCTTGGGACTTTGAGCTCGCGCGACGAGGTTTGCGCCCATCATCTCATCCTAACGCCCTTCTCCACAGCATTCAAAAGCTGAAGATTTAATGGCTTCGAGACGACACGCCCGAGCGCAATGAGCGCAGACAAAGGAAGCGGAGGACGAGGGGTTGGAGTGGTGAACAAAAAGGAATGCGGAGGCACGAAAAATGCTTGAAGGTGAGTCTTCAGCGTACTCACTGATGATTTTTTGTTCCCAACTCCTCGCTGTGTGAGTAGGTGCCTCAATGAGCAACGAGCTCATGGTGCCTACTTGCCTTCTCGTCTGCGCATCCCGCATATCTGTGCTTCCCATCCGCTGGCCCTCTCACGCCCGTCCGTTCATGCCTGCGTGCCCTAACTAGCGTTTTTGCTTGCCAGTTCTCGCCGACTGTCTCGCCTGCTGCCCTCGCCTTCATGCTCGTTCGCCCTCCCTCCTGCTCTCGCCCGTTTACTCGGTCTTGCCTGCTCGCCGTTGCCCTCACGCGCCTGCTGGCTCGCCCACTCGGTTGCCCGCTCTCATCTGCTCAGGCTCGCCTTCTCGCCAACTCGCTCGTCCACTCTCTCTTGCCTGTCCGCCGCCGTCTGCCGCCGTCTTGCCCACCGGCATACAACCCTGCCTGCTCGCTCATCTGCCGGCTCGCCCGCTCTCGTTGCCCTCCCTCGCCTCGCCTACTAGTACCCGCCTTGCTTCGTCATCTTGCTATCTCACACGTCCACCTGTTTTAGCTAATTGACTTGGCCCTCTTACTGATAGGTAGACCGTAGCCTGCCGTCCTTCTCGCGCCGGCGCCCTCGACTTCTCGCACCCACCCTCGGCTCAGAGCCTGCCTCTTGCCTGTACACTCGCTTGCGGCTTCTCGACTGCCCGCATGTTCTTGTCCACCCACCCGTACTCACGCACTGTTCTTAGCCAAGTGGAAGCTGCTCCGGGAAGTGCTCGGGAAGGGGGCCTGGGCGCAGCGACGACCGGACGGCCGGCATGGACGAGCGGAGTGCGGGGACGGGTGAATGGCTCGCGGGGATGGGCGAGAGCGAGGCGAGGGCGAGGGCGCGACGAGGGTGAGGGTGAGGGTCTGCAGGTGAGTGCAGGCATACGCGCGCGCGCTCACTAACGGCAGGCGCAGGACGCGTCGACGTGCCGCGCGACGCGTACGACGACCGCGAGCACGCATACAAGGCCGACGAACGGTCAGGAGCCATCGGGCGGACGGCTGGACGGGCGTGCGTGCGAGCAGAATGGTAAGCGAGCGGGACGGCAAGCGAGCGAGTCGGCGGGCGGACGAGCGTTAGCAACAACGGGCGGCGACTGGCGAGGACCAGTAGCAAGCACGTCGACCACGAGCGCACATGCAGGCGGGCGGGCAAGTGGAACATGAGCGCACAGGCAGGCAAGCGGGACAGCGGGCGGGCAGGTGGGATGGCGAGCGCGCCGGCGCGCGGACGCGCGGACGAGCGACCGAACGAACGGACAGGAAAGCGAACGAGTAGACGGCCAGGTAGACGGACTGGAGAGCTCGCGGGCGGGTGGGACATTGGGCAGGGAAGTGGGCAAGCGGGAACAGAGGAAGGTGGGTGCCCTGCGCAGTCACTGCCGATGAACGCGTACACAGGCGGGCGGTCACACAACCAGGGAACGACGCTCATGGCAACCGCGCGCAGCACACCGCTAACGAACGTACCCGCAGGCGAGTCAGCACCACACGCACATCGACCACGAGCGCGCTGGGCGAATGCCCGGCGCGCAGGCTTGGCCGATGAACGGCGAGCGAAGGGTGGGTGCAGACACACCAACGAGCAAACGGGAGGGCTCGCGGGCGGCACGTACAGACGGGACGCAGGGCGGGAAGACGGGAAGTCGTATGGGCGAAAGGCTCGCTGGGACGCGCGAGTCGATGGTGGGTACGCACGAGCGAGGAAGATGGTGGGGAACACGGCGAGGACTCAGGACAACGGGTGCTGCCCGCTTGCCCGCGCAATCACTCGCTCGCCCGCCCGCCTGCGCGAGCCTCTCCGCCGTTCTGCCCACTCCCCCACTCCCTCACCTATCTGCTCGCCCATCCGCGCATGGACCCGCAGACCAGCGAACCTGCACATGACCGGTATCCGCTGCACGGGTACGGTACCTGGGCGGGTACGGGTACGGGTACAGGTAAGCCCCCGGCAATTTACAGCTTGCGACGGGTCTGTACCCAGGGCGGGTACGGGTAGACTACTACCACTGGCAGCGCTGGCGGCGGGAGCTACACATACGTACACATTTAATACCGAAATTGATTACTATCAGTACTTTAGCACCCAATTGATTGGTATGATCCTAAACCATATGATGCGACGTCACTACAGCTGCTACACCACGGTTTGTGGGAAGTATCATGCTTATAGTATGAAATAGCATGCAAGTTTTGTGAGATAACATGGCCTCACCGAGACCATATCTTCCATGAAGTAGTGATAATTTGTTCTCCCTGAGTGTCATTTAGATCTAATTAGAAAGGGGGTAAAGCAAAATGATCTAATCTCTAATGCAGCTAATTAGGTGACATTTTGCACAATTATGCCTCATTTTGCATCATGTGTCCTCATTTGTGAATCTGGATTTTCCTGATGGTGTCGTTTTGACACCTTGCATCAGTCGGAGGAGGGGCTCTATCGACAACCTGTCGGCCGGCGCAGCGCGTGCGGGTAGTTTGTGTCCCTCATCCGCGGTCGTGTCTCGCTTCTTCGCGAGAGTTACGTTGGTGGTTGTGCGAGATGGTCGGTGCTGTCAGTGTTGCCCTCTTGGGGGTTGGGAAGGTGTCGTTGTGAGTTTGTTAGTGCTTGCCTGGTTTCTGTTGGGTCGTGTTTGCACTTGCCAAAAGGGGGTGTGTTCTTGGTTTGGGTTACTATATCCGGCAGTGTTTCCATCTCCCTTACTATAACGAGGTATGTTGGTCGTTCCCGCAATCGGGATCTTCAGGTCGTCCCGTTGTTCTGGGTTGCGTCTAGCTTGGGCTCGGATCTTTCCCGTGTCGTGACGTCTCGTGTCCCGAGGAGTGGCGCTTGTTCTACCTTCGTCTGCGCGTCGTGCCTTTGTCCGCTGGTTGCTCTCTGCGGGATCCGACGCTTGGTTTTTCCTTTTTGGTTCGTGGTTCGTTGTTTGTGGTTTGTACCTCGCAGTTCGCAGTTCATACCGTATCTGGGTGTTATTCAGTTAGTGGGTTTGTGGTTGGGCCTCGGTCCGGCTCTTAGCCTTTCAATACACTGGATTCAGGCGGCGTCTCTAAACGTGATGTGCGTTACTGTGGCACTGTCCGTGTGGTCTGTCTACATGTCCGGTATGTCTCCAGTTATCTCTGTTCCCTCCTTCCCTTGTTTCCCCGACGGCGCGTTCCCGCTAGTAAGGTTTCTCCACCGTGCGCTTGTCGCCAGGCGCTTCTGGAGGTGTCGGCGATCGTACGCGTTGGAGGTGTACTCGTATGGGATGTTCTCGTTCGCGTCCGTGTGGTGGATTTGGTCTCGGAGGGATTGGTGCAGTGGTGGTTGGTCAGGTAGTGTGTCGTATAGTGTCACGTGTGCGTGTCGGTCTACTCGACTTAGGCGTATCCATGATATGGGTAAGCGGATTCGGGCTCGGATGATGCCTCCCGTAAGTTGCATCGTGACCCAGTGCTTCGTGATGTCTCGGATGACCGTGATCCTTCCAGATCCTATGGTCCTCGTCGTCGTGCGCATTGTGATCACGTGTCCTCTCGCTAGGGAGGTTTGGGGTTGTCTTGCTGCGACCCAGATGGTCTGCCTTTCTTCCTCGTCGCCGTTCCCCTCCTTTAACTCTGCCAGCTCAGGCTCGTCCTCCACCCACACCTCGTGTGTGTTGCTAGCTATCGTGGAGTGGTGTGGATAGGGTGATGGTCTGGACGGGGAGTGTCGGTGGCTATGTGTGTGTTCGTTAGGCTCTGTTCGTCCCCTGTCCTGTGGGTTGGGACGTTTGTCGCTCCTTTGTGATGAGAAGGTTAGGAACATTGTGGGTAGTCCTGTTGCGTGTCTTACCATCCTTTTGCGCCAGCTTTATCTGCGGGGATGCGCGTCTTTTGTGACGTTTGGGCGTGATCTGATGCGTAGGTTGATTTATTAGTGCTTCTTAACGTAAGCTTATTCGCTTTATAGCGGGCCAGGACTGTTGGTTTTGTCAGGGAGTGTGGGTGGTGTGCCTGTTGGTCGGCGTCGACATGGCTTGTGGACATGTTGCTGTCACTCCTGCCTCATTTGGTGTTTGTGTCAGCTGATCGATCGCTATTCCCCGGGTGGCGGTGTGAATCCTATCATTTCAACTAGTATCACGTGTAAATCTTATCGTGCTAGTTCGTTGAACTTTAATTTTGTGTGGATTTTGGGTGTTTGGGCGCCTGTTGGGCGTTAGTTGGGCGCCTCCGGCTGGTCTGCCTGGCGGGTCTCATATGGTTCTAGGGCGCCGCAGGGGCTTGCCAGCGTATAGGATGCTATTGTAGTAGCATTCGGTTGGTTTATCGGGTTCGTAGGCCCTTGTTGTGGGTGTGCTCCCGGTTCTGCTAACCCTTGTAAGGGTGGATTGTCGTGTCCGACAGCAGATGTGGGTCATGGTTGACTCCGGGACATCGAGTTCGTCTTCCTCGGTAGTCCTTATAGTGCATGTTGGTTTCACCTCGTAGAGGTTACTTATCCCCCGGACCACGAAAAGGTCTGCACAGGGCTCGTCTGGACGACGGAGCCCTCCCGGGGGGAGGTGGCTGCTTCCGACCGTCGCGGTCTGGCAACTCTGTCCAACTTCGTCAACTTGAAAGTTTAAACGTTTGGGTTCGCACCCACACTGCAAATGCTGCAATAGTCAGATATTGATGTTAAGATGCAGGGTTTCCCGTTCGTACGTACACGGCCTCCTTTCGCAGGCCCGAACTCGCACCTAATCTTCAAATCTCTTAGTGTTGGACGATGCTGTGCGCGCGGCAGCAGTGGCTGGCAGTGAAAGAAGAAGACCCCAGATTGGGTCGTGTACGACATCAATGGTGAACGATCAACTCTGACACGGGGCTCTCGCTCCGTAGGCCGGCTATGGTCAGCAGTACCGGTTACTGAGTAGACGTTCGGAGAGGCTGACGCGTTGGTGAGTTACCTCGATCTTGTTTGATGGTGTGAGGCAACTTATACCCGGTCTACCAGATGTCGCGACGTATGGGAGCAAATAACAGTCCCCCGGGACGAGGACGGTCGGAAAACGACATATGTGTGCGTAATAGGCTACCGATTGGGCTGACTGCACCGACAGGAATCCAAGAGTGATTGCGCTGTACAACCTCATCTATCTTCTTAACATGAAGTTAACATGGTACGCCGTAGTCACCTGCCTGCCCTTCGCGTAATATGAACCCCGCTGACAACCAATGTCTCCGAGACCCCCAGATCTCGTACATACACAGGGCCAAAGAGCATATTTTGCGAAGGGATTGCCCTCGCTTACCTTTGAATGACTGCTCTTATGCCCGAGGCACTGTGAAAATGCGAGCTTCTCCACCAGACACTCCTCTTTTTCGTCGCTCCGACCATAAGAGCTCTTCCGGTTCGTCACGCTGTGTTCTCAACTCTGAAACCTTAGCCTTCAATCCTATCATCCTGGGTACGCACACCGGTTCCATTTTCAACAACTCGAGCCCATTGCCTTTGGACTCTCCGATGCAACGCAGCCTTGAAGACACGGCGCGGTCGCATCCGTTCAGCACGTTCAACGGGATATGACCACGTGACCGTGACCATCCAGCAGCTTCTTGCCTCCTTCATTCCCTCATACGATGAGTTGAATCAGGCTAGCCAAGTTACTTGACAAGTGGGCACTACGATGCTCTTTCACAAGTGAGTGAGTATTGCTGTTCAAGTGAAAGTCACATTGACTGTTCATGCAAAGCGAGTGTCACATTCACGTGGTTACGACGGTTACGCGTGATCTTCGATACGCGTTGTGTCCACGTTGTGTGTGGCCATGAACTTCCTAGGAAGTGAGCTTCCTCGCGACTCTCACGATCCTTTATCTCACACTGTTCAGCTCAGGCGAACAGAGGCCACCTTTACAAAATACAACACGCAACAAGCCCTTATACCGCGTAGTCTCGCCGTACTTGCGATCGCAGTTACTACCTACGCCTACGATCGCAGTACTTCCATATGCGACTTGGCGTACAATTGGCGTATCTACCAGGTAAGAACACTTCGGATCTGATTTTCATGCAAATTATGTGCACAACCTCACCTCTGAAAAAACTCAGGACGTTGACAAACTCAAGGCGTCATGCTGCTTACTATATATCTGCATTACAAGGGCGAGAAGACACAACGAATAAGAGAATATCGGGATCACGCGACGCCGAGTTTGGACGAGTTTGTGAACGGTGATCTCACGTTTCTCGGGCTACCTTTGCCTCAAGAGTCTGCGTGCACCTGGCAATCTGGGATAATCAAATGTAGCTGGACACTCGATGAAGGCAGCGTGTGTTCCGTCGTGATTATCAGTCGCTGCGAAAATGTGCTAATCACGTATTCCGTGCCTTTCAGTACTTGCAGAAGTATTTATCTGCTGCCTTTGGAGCGATCGATAGGCAAGGCCTGCTCGCCCGTTCCATGTAAGTGGACTCGATTATTCATGAGACAAGAATCGAATGTTGACGCCCTTCGCAGATCCATGGTAGGATTGTCGATGGAGTAAGCTCAGCATTGTTCCATTGCAATAGTAAACCTCATCGTCATCTTGTTTCAGCGGCAACACTAGTACAGCTTCGTGGGTAACTGCGCCAGGCGTGAAACACCCGACAGGATACATTCCTCGACCAGGGCCATCACGTAGTCATTCCACGCATCTGTACGCATTTGGAAAAGTGCCAAGCGCTCCGAAGTCGATAACTCTGGCGAGAATGGGTGCTTCGCCGATGGCCCGTCCCTGCGGCGCGATCTCTTCACGATCGGGTGAGTAGCTCACAGTATCATGCCTCGCAGCGCCGAAAGCAGTTATTGACGTTGTTGCACACACTTTTAGAATACCCAAAAGTTGAGAGACCACTACTGAGAAAGCCGAGGGACCCAGAGGCGAACCCAGAAAAGGCCTTCAGCTCGCCAAACACGATTTCTGATGGGACACGCTCGATGAAGCAGGAAGAGAGGCAACCCACCGCTACCTCAGATGCTTCGAAGGCCTCGGTGGCACAACCGCATCGGCACACGCCTCCGTGCAATACCGGTACCCCGCAGTCTCACTCAGGGAGCGCATACAGTCATGCAGCGCCGGACGTGAGAGTCAAAGTAGAAGAGACGAATATCTCTCTTGGCCAACCCCACTCACCTCTCACCAAAAGTATCGCTCGTGAAACCGGTGCGTCCACATCCGTTCCGTCCAGCCTCACGACGCCGAGTGCTACGACGAGTGCACCACCAACAAAATCCGATGGCAGCGTGAGCAGCCTGACACGGGAGGTGTGGGACGTTCGGCGAGAGATCGCCGCCCTATCCGCCCGGGAAATCGCGCTGCAAACGCAGCTCAAGCGATTAGGAGCGCGCCCCGCGCCAGAGCCTCCAGTGCCGCCCTTCGTGGAAGACGAAATCACGAGTAAGCAACGTTCCTTCGTACAGGCCTTGGCTTGTTTCTCCTGCTCACAGCCGCTCTACAGAGCTCCGCGCCCAGCTAAGATCAGAGTACGCAGCCCGCAAGACGGCGGAGTCCTCGCTCCGGGAGGAGCAGCGGCGGCGCGAGCTAGCAGAAGCAGTAGTGGCAGACGTACGCCGGGATTGTAAGACGCCATTCGTCGTACCCGCGCTCGTGGACGCGTTCTTGCAAATGTCGCGCATCACCGAGGAGGTGATTGGTGTCGGGAGCAGAAGGAACACACAATGCTCGGGTGTGTAGGTAGGCACGGGCGGTGCGGCCAATCGCGTATGAGTCCCATTTATCTGTATGTATACCTATGTGTCTGACTCCTCTGGGATAAACCATGTTCATGCACACACGATTTCCTGTAGGCAATATCATTTCCTGCGCACAGCGCGAATAAGGATGAACCGCGTTCGATTCCAGCGTTCCAGAGCCTGCAGAGTCGGTCTGCTCACTGAAGTTGTGCTGTATTAATAGAAGGTGCAAAAGTGGGCATGTCAGAGATGGCTGGAATGGTGCAGGAACTTCAAGTTGTCTCCCGTAGTTCATGTTGGCTTGTCGTTGGATCCAGTAATATTGTCACTTCCAGCCGAGTCCCGCCAGCAGCGAGGAGGAGATTCAGAACGCAGACCGCGTCATGGTCACGTGACCCGGCGGCGAGGTGACGCGGGTTGGTGCGCGACTGCTCTGGAATCCGAACCACAACCATCGCACCGCACACAAGTACCTTGTTCACCATCCACGACTTCAGACTACCGCACTCGCTTTTATCCTTGTTTCAACCATGGCTGATACCGTGGGCCCTCAGCCTTCCGAAGCGACAGAGTACAGGCTGGCGTGTAGGATTCTGTTCCATGCCTACCTATACAACACTCCGAGCTACGACGCAACGTCGAATTCCGTGCGAAGTGTCTGGAGGGGGTATGCAAATACCTTTCTCACGGCGTGCAGGATGCCTAATCCCCGGATTATCACGCTCAAGACGCTCAACCGGACTGTAGCAGAGCTCCGCTGTGAGTGGAAAGGGCCGGAGAGCCATGCCGAAGTGAGTGGTACGACTTGCAGTGGGGCTTAACACTCATTACGCGGTAAGGCTCTTCAAAGAAGTGTAGACATCTTTGAGTCTTCTTCGTGGGTGTCGGGCATCCGTACAGCCTACCATGTGTATGTGCACACTTCCCTCCGCCTAGGGTTCCTCACTGAAGCGACCTGGCTCAGACCATTCGTCCAGTTCGAACCTATGCAGCTCGCTCCAGTAGTGTGAGTGACGGTCTGGGCTCCCCGATCATTGGGCGCTCACGATCATTTTGGCAGTGTCCCTCCCTTGCCTCCTACAGAATCGGCGGTCACCCTCAAGCCGTCGTCTCGGCTGGTGCTCGACGAGCAGGTTCAACTCGAGCGCCGTCACAGCGGTTCACCCACAGCGAAGAGGGAGCCCGCAGTTCAGGAGGCTTCAGTCGTCCTGGCCGCCCGAAAACTTCACGCGTCCTCCGAACATTCTGATGATGAAGATACAAAACCTCTCTTTGGCTCGTCTGCTGTGTGCGATCCTAAGGCCACTGACTTGGATCCGGATTCTCGGTCGGCGGCGGCATTAGCCCCCAAGCGGTCGTGTTCATCAGCGCTCAGAGGGTCTCCGCCGAAACGTCGTCGCAGTAATACGTTCTGTGGTTCTCCGATTCGGCACAAGGAAGAAGTCAGATACATCGATTTCCGTAAGGAAGATCTCTGCCGAATCAAGCAACAGCGCAAGGGGAAAGAGAACCGATTCCCAGACGGACATTCTCGTCAACGGGCTTCGACCAGCACCGGCGCATGTCGTGCGACCCGCAGTGTCAAATTCGCTGGAGTGCCACAGGAAGGGCCGCTAGTCAATGCTGGTATTTCTGTATGGCCTACGCTTGCCGCTGTCCGTCAAACTACGACCGAGCCTGTGGAAGACACTGATGCTCTGCTGGGGAACCTCTGTGGGTCTACGCTATACGATGAAAGTGCAGCCCTACTTCTGGAAGCTCAAGAGTCTCTCGCTGGCACCGTACCGGCCCGTTCAGGCAACGTCGAGGTCTGTAGCTCCGTAACATCTGATGCTGGTCCCTCCCGCACTGGCATGCAGGCAGGTTTGGATCCCACTGGGCGACCCGCGAATGAACGCGGCACCCGACACGTGAGCTTCTGCGCAACAGGACGCATGCTCGTTCTCTCCAGGCATGTGGTCGAGCTCGTACAAGCCGAAGCGACGATCCGACATATGGAGGAGGCTCGCAAGCAGCAGGAGGCAGCCGACCTGGCACAGCGTGTGCGACACCTCAGTAAGTCTGCCTAGCATTCCTCAAATGATTTACTCCGACGTTGAGCAGAGCTTGCCAAGGAGATTGACTCGCTCCACGCCGAGGAGAAATGTGAGTACCCGCTTGTCGTGCCGTGATCTTGTGGTGCTTGTCAGCGTGTTGACTCCCGTCGTGTCAAGTCTACATTGACCGTGAGGCCGCGCTCGAGAAGGAGTTGGCGGAGTTGGTTCCTAAGGGATACGGTCAGTGTGATTGTTGTGTCCCCGAGCGAATGTGATGCTGAATTGTTGTTCGATCTGAATCGTCTCGATCTAGTCCGCAGAGCCTTGTGAAGAAATGACGACCTGCCCATGGCAGGGAGAAGCAACCCATTCTATTCCTTCTGTCATTTCCCGGACGACGCGTCTGGCGTCATGTATTTGTCAGTGCGCGTAATTGCCAGTGGGTATTAGCGGTTGCGCAGCTGGATCTGCGACTCCCACGATGTATCTTCTCGTCAATGTAGTTTCGTCAATGTGTAGATGTGTCCTTGAGGTCCTCGGATTGACTACAGTTACACGCGTGACGTTACTTCCAGTGTCTGCCCCCGGGCCAGCAACCTATGATGGATTTGGACAGTCTGACTACCGTTCCTCACACTTTATACTCGTCCAGTCCCCGGACAACATCAACGTCTTCTAAAGGAGCAAAAACTGGACCCTGCCGGGATCCTTTCGGGGTGCTCGGGGCGCCGTTCGCCTGGTTGCCAACCAAGCATAGAGAATAAATGGTGCGAAAGGAAGTGGTCAAAGGAGCTACACTACTAAAGTTCTCGGTGCTACCCGATCCGGCGATCGGACACTGTGTGTGAACAGAGAACAAGAACGGTGCAAGACCCGAATTGTCGATACTAGCCTCACGCGCGGCTCATCCCATTCACTATTGATTTCAGGGTATCCCGCACGGGGTCACGTGTGCCTGGCGCGATCACCGTAACTTAGTCGTATCTGAAGGTCGTACACTCAGACTCAGAGCCGAACCCGGCAATGTGCGATGCAACTTCATGCAAGGCTGAACGTTGCTCACTGAAACGTACAGGTTTTGCTGTCAGTGGCGCGGATAGGAGGTTGGTAAAGATGCGATCTTGATGTAGATCCGAGCGCGATTTCTCATCTGGCTCCGGGAATTTCTCATGCGCCAACTTGTCAACAACTCGCATCAACAATCTACTTCCGAAAGACTTGTGGCAGACAATCGCCGTTCTTGAATACTTTCGGGACCGGTGCACGGTCCCCTGGGATGAGAAGGGGCAGGCCTTGAACGGTCACTGTTATGGTAAGGAAATGAAGGCTGCGTTGTCTAGGCTTATAGCGGACGGGGGCTTGTTCTCCAAAAAACGCATCACATGTACATGCTCATACGCGCAAATACCAATGTCTAACGGACATGACGACGCACAGGAGCGCTGGTACTTTGCATCGCTGATTCTTCCCCGTAAGTGATTCCCGTCCTCGTCCAGTGTTGCGGCATGCTCATGGCCGTTCAGCGGTATCCAGAGCTAGTGGATGCAAAGCGAGCTGCCTCACCTACAGTCGATGGACATCCGATGAGGAAACGTGCTCGGAATTTAATACCCACGACAGCGAGAAGGAACCTACAGCCGCCAAAGAAGAACCACTGGCGCCCCTCTTCCCGAGGATCTTCTTCCGTGTCCACAGCCGATGCTCTGGTTCGAGATGATCTTGGTTCTCGGACTACGGATGGTGGTGCTCCTAGTCGGATTCTCGTGAAAACGAACACGCAAGTTTCGCCTGCAGGACATCAGATCGCCCGGCAGGGCGCAGTCGAAAGGGAATGGCACCAAGGGCTGGAGGGCGGTCTGACCGCGTGCGAGGCCATCATCAGAGTTCTGGAGTAGGAGGGCGAACAACCGCACGCTGCGTATGCGGCTGATCGGTGCGTCCGTATTCTCTTCTTCGCGAAATCTAGGGGCGGGACCTCAGAGGTGGATGGGCAGAGTATGATTGGGAGACCGACGTGTTGGGTGCTGAGGAGGAATATGAGCGTATATTATGAACTTTCGTCGTGACGCTGACTCTGGCCCGCGTCGTCATCGCGGATCGGTGCTTCTGTATGCTGGCCGACGAGTTTAGGAAGGTCGATTCTAAACGTCATGGTGAGTCCGAGTCGCTAGCTCTGCCGTCTCCCGTCGAAGGGAAGTGGCAGTGGTACTGACCTAAAACCTATCTGCAGCGCTGAACATGCCCCTAATGTTCCTGATATTCCCGCGAACTAATCTTGTCTGTGACAGACGTCGTGGACCCGCCGGAGAAGCAACATCGTACAGGCTGGCTGGGGACGTCCGGTGTGTTAGGATGCACATACCATACTTTCGCTCGTTATCTTGGACAATATTTGTGACTTTATCCCGTGGATCTGTACTCGGTGTGTCTTCGGCCCTTGGTGATTGGCGTAGAGCTGAATGGAACCCAAATTGATTTGGGAACGGCGATAATTGACCACACTGGCGAGACTCGTCGTCGATGACGGCCCATTGGTAGAGTGTTCCCTTGTTTCGATGCCGCGTGACGTGTGCAGACGCGATGCTAACATGGTCTCCAGAATACGCGAATGTATGTGTAGCGCGTAGGGCACCGCTGTCAGAGGTTCAGTAATGCCCTGAGTTGTGCTCCGTCGCGCTGATCCAGCGTTTCACCAAGCCGCTGGAGGAAAGGCCGTAACGAATAATGGCGACGTAACGTAAAGGGGTGCTTGTAGAGGATAGCGGGGTTCTACTGGGTGTACGTACGTCGTTGCTTGCGCCGTGTGCCAAGCAGCGATCGTGCATGTTCACGTGACTTGTGGCGGGGTTGTTCAACCATTCGAGGGACTGTGACAGCGCTCTCCGCTTCGAACCACCATCTCTCTGCGTCCTGGCACGCTGTTCCTCTCTACCTTCTCGCCATGCCTTTCACTTTTCCATCAGCACATCCTCAGCCACATCTGAGGATAGTCGCTACGTTGTACTACGACCCCATCCCCGAAGCAGATCGCATTTACGAACAGGAGACTCGTGACTTACTTAAAGCTCAGGGCATACCAAAGCCAAATACCGTGGACGTCCGCTATCCCAATCCAGACGTAACGGAGGTGGCATGTGTGTGGGACGGGAAGTCACAGAATGAGCAGGTAAGTTCAGTGCACTCCGAGCAAAATACATAATGTGCTCAATGGAGTCGAATATCAAGGAAGCGAAGGCTGCGTGGGCCAGGTTCACAGCGCACGGAAGCTGGAATCTCTACGAAAAGCATGATATGTACGTATCTTCAAGCGTCAACCACCGTCTATCTGACATAACGACTGACATAACGACGTCCAGACGCACCGTTGTGTTGTCCATCACGGAAATCTCATCGTAAGTCCCTCGCAAACTCCTCTGGCCCCGCGTCACGCTCATGGCCGTGCAGCGTGTCACCGGAACTTGGACTTGCGCGGGAAGTGAATGCTCTATTCTCTCAGCAACCCGCCTCACCTATGATTGACGGACGGTCGCGGTCGCAACACGCATTGACTATTGCCCTCGCTGGTGACGAAGAACCTGCGGCAGCCGAAGAACCTGCGGCAGCCGAAGAACCTGCGGCAGCCGAAGAAACAGCACCTATTAATCTAGTCAACTCGCCCAACATGCCACTTTTCGACCCAAACTCTGAGAGCAACTTTTCCCCTGTGCTCGGGCTTGACGCGACAATCCGTGACGATCTTGGTCCTCAGGCTATGGCTGGTGATACTCCCGTCCGATTCCAGCTCAACCACAATGCTCAGCTGCGTCATCCTGTCGAACATCAACTTCTTGCCTCGCCCAACGTAGCCGAGAAGGAAACGCAATCTTACTCTGCCGGGAATCAAGGTCTCGCCTCCTTGGGAATCAATGATGCTATCTCTGGTTCTGTGTCCTCGGCGACTGCTACCTCTCATGATCTGGCCTCCGTTCGTTCATACGCCCACCTTGAGATTGAAGATCTCCGACTGAAACTCGCGGAATCGGAAATCGAGAACAAGAAGATCAATGATATGCTGGCAGCGCGTGAGGCCGTCATCAAAGATCTCGAGGAAGAGGGAGCGCAGCGCAGGAGCGACAGTCGAACGCTGACCATGCGGTTGATCGGTGCGTCCCCGTTTAATTTTTCAGTGGCAGAGTCTTAGAGCTGGGCGGGTAGAGGCTGAGTGGCAGATCGATATATTGCGCGCTGAGGAGGAATGTGAGTACAGTATGCCACAACATTCGTCGTGACGCTGACTCTGGTGTGCGTCGCGGTCGCTAGACAGCGCCCGTTGCTTCGGCTACCTTGCGGGCGAGTTCAAGAAGGTTGCCCCGGAGAGGCACGGTACGTCGAGTCTCACTGTCGCTGGCTTAGTCTTTCGTTGAACGAAAGACTGATTGGACATGGATGGTACTAACTTGGGACCTGTTCGTAGCTCTGATAATTCCCATTCTGATCGACAGCTCTCTGGACGACTAACAGTCTCGGTGAACTGGGAAGGCATGCCAGTGGTGTATCGAAGATCACATACTATCCTTCATTCCCTTGGACAATGTTGTTGTGTCTCTTTCAAGTGTTTCTGTCTTGTATATTGTTGGCGATTGTAGCCCAGAGCGGAGCATCTAGCTAGATCTGCACTGGCGATGAATTGAACTGGCCAAAACGCGTCATCGATGTTAGCTCAGGTACCTCCTCGCCATCATGGAGACGCTGCAATCATCTCTTGCAACGCGCTACTTCAAGCCTTCGGCGCAGAGTCTGGTTTGAACCGCTCAACTGGTTTGACTAGTATCGAGTGAGTTGCGCGACTTCAGTCAATTGCTCTCCGTGACGATGAACGCAACTGATCCCAAAATACGCAGATACGTACATATACATACAGATGAATAGGACGCTGGGAGCCTCCCGATTCTGACTCTTTACTCCCGGGAGCCACGTCTCCCACTGCTCCTGGTACCAACAATCACCTCTCCAGTTAGGCGCGACATCTGCAAAAACGCTCCCACGAGCGCGGGTACGACAAATGGCGCTTTTCATTCTCGACGCACGTCCGCCACGTCCGCCGCCGCCCGTCCCGGAGCGCGCACTCTGCGGCCTGCCGCCTTGCACGCCTCGTACTCTGCTCTCAGCTGCACGCGGAGCTCTGTGAAGCCCAGGTGAGCGAAATGACAGGATTACACCGAGACGGAGAAACCCGCTCACTGGAGAACTCGTCTTCCACAACTGGTTTTGCAGGGAGTTTCCCAGGCGCGGGACGCGCTCCTAGTTGCTTGAGCTGCGTCTGTAGAGCGATCTCCTGTGCGATATGTCGCCTGACGTCCCACATCTCGCGCATTAGACTGCGAGTCTGCGACGGGTGTCGCACTCGTCGCAAGGCTCCGCTCTGAGGGGATGGGCGGAACAGACGAGGACGCGTCGGGCAAGGAGAGGTGTTGAAGCGGTTAATGAGCGACATGTCTGGAGAGGAGTTCTTGGCCGAGAGCGACGTTCGTCTCTTCTACTTTGACTTGTTGTTGGATTCAGTATTGTCACTTTCGGCCGAGCCCCGTCAGCAGCGAAGACTCGGATGGAGAACGCATACCGCGTCATGGTCAGGTGACCCGGCGGGTTGGCAATCGTGCGCGACTGCTCTTCAATCCGAACCACAACCATCGCACCGCACACCAGTACCTTGGTCACCTACATCCTCGATTTTACGCTACCGCACTCGCTAAAATCTTTTTCTCAACTATGGCTGATACCGTGGACACTCAACCTTCCGAAGCTACAGCTGAGTACAGGCTGGCGTGTACGGTCTTTGTAGCTTTGTAAAAGTATGACTCAAACAGCCTGTTCGATTCCTACTTCTACAAAGCTCCGAGCTACAACACGATGTCGAGTTCCGTGCAAAATGTCTGGAGGGGGTATACGAAGCTGTCTTGTAGCTCAGAGTCAGGAGGCTTCCGTCGTCCTGGCCGCCCAAGAACTTCACGCGTCCTCCGGATCGATACAAAACCTCTCTTCGGCTCGTCTGCTCGTGTGATTCTAAGGCCACTGACGTGGATCCCGGTTCTGGGTCGGCGACGGCGTCAGCCCTCAAGCGGTCGTGCTCACCAACGCCTAGGGAGGACACTCCGCCGAAGCGCCGTCACAACAGTACGTTCTCTGGTACTTCAATTCGACCCAAGGAAGAAATCAGACAAATTGATTTCCGTAAGGAAGCCTCCCTACGAATGGAATCCCAGCGCAGGGGGAAGGAGAACCAGTGTTCAGCCGGACGTTCTCGTCAACCGTCCTCGACCACAACTGATTTCGAGATACGCAAATACGCGACGCTGTCGTCTGACGCCGCGGCACGTGCAATGGATGGCGAGCTCATCTGTTCGTCTCTGCGATGCCGCACGCCCTCCATTTCCCTGTGGTACGCTACGCTATGACGCGAGGCTGACGTCGAGCCCTAGCAGTTCAATCAGTACGGACGTTACTGACAGGGGATTGCACAGTGTGTCGCGCTTCGGAGTTTCGAGCGCCACTGAGGCATCAAGCTCAAGGCCGTAAGCGCTTCAAACTGTACTTTTTGAAATCGCCACTTACGGTTCGTTGCCTCGTGAGTGTCATCATGACCCTCGACGGAGATCGTAGCACTGATGACGGCAGAGCACGGGGCCTGGGTCTGGCGGTTCCGTCGGTGCTGCGCTTGTGGCGACAAAGGCTCGTTGTTAGTACGCTGGACGTTTGAACGTGGACATGCTATCAAGGTTAAACAAAGGCGCGTATGTAGATTCCAGGAGTTCAGATCATGACGGCTAATCCCAGACTACTACCTACCACATAGCGGAGGCACGTCCAACTCCGAGTCGGTCTTGGTGTTCCTCGGATGGTCCTCGTACGAAGAGTGGCGTCGAGGACGGGCCAGATCCAGGCCAAGCCTCTAGACTTACGGGAACCAACTCCGATAAGGCGCGAGTACTGTGCTTGCGTCTGGCAGGTCTTCCCGGGTTTCCATTGGAGCGCAGATAGAGAGACTCTCGCTGATGGAAATACATGGTCCCCAGGTATGGCATGATGCAGCACGGCCTGGCACGGTTGAGTCCGTGCTGGTAGACGCCTGTTTGTATGTAAGGTGCTCTGCCATGATACTTGTCATTGCCAATGAAGCTCACTGTCGCTTGACAGTTGAACCTAGTCGGGACCCGGCGATCAAGCATCATGGCCCAGTAGCAGCAGCTTGAAGACGGCTTGCCAATTGCGCATGACCTACCTCCGCGTGTGAGCGCAATCAATATGCCGGTATATCATGGGCTCATTGTGGATTTAAGCCTGAGGACGCACCCTATGAACGGACGCCAGGGCGGTATTCCTCGCTCATCCGCCCATCTTGAATCAGATCGACGACGACACCACCATGTATGCACAAGAGATCGTCTGCGCGTTGATTCTCGCCGCTCTGCTACTCCTTCTTGCGCGGAGGAGAATAGATCCGGTTGGTCTCAGTATGTCATCCGCTGCTACTTCACTCACCTGGTTCATAGCTCCGCCGCATACCAGCTGTGGGGCTTTCCGCACCCATCCTATCCTATTGGGACGCGTTGAAGTTCTCCGTTCATGCGCGTGAGATGCTGCAGGAAGGCTACACCAAGGTAAGCCAAACGCTGCTTCGAATGTGTTGTTCGCTTCGATCTGAGGCCTTTCGTGATGTAGTACAGAGGCTCTGTGTTCAGAGTGCCGCTAATGGATCGCTGGCTTGTAGTGGTCAGCGGTGCCGCCATGAACGAAGAACTCCGGAAATTGCCTGATGACCAGATGTCTTTTCTGGATGCTGCCGAGGATGTAGGCCTTCCAATCGTCCACTCCGTCATGCGTATATGTATGCTGAAAATGTGTCGTGTATAGCTCTTACAGGCGAAGTACACGATCGCAATGGACATCCTTAGAAATCCGATACACATCCCGGTCATCCGCGGACCTTTCACCCGCAACTTGGCTGCCTTCCTGCCAGATGTCGCAGATGAGATCGCGTCCGCAGTCCAAGAGGCAGTTCCTGACGCAGGAGATGGTGCGTTTCTTCGGTCCCGATTTGTGAAGTCTATGCTCAGCAATCGGTGCAGATTGGGTTGGCGTCGTCGCATCCCCTGCCATGGCGCGTGTCGTCTGTCGGGCGAGCAACCGGGTCTTCGTTGGTCTTCCTATGTGTGAGTATAACACGGCACGATAACCCTCATGTCTCGATACTTATACTGCCCCAGGCCGGAACCCAGAATTCCTAGAGATTGTCTTGAACTACACCAAAGATGTCGGCAAAAGTCGGTTCATCATGGCCCTCACGCCGATCCTATTCAAGCCGTAGGTCGTACTCTACACAACACAGCACCAATGTTTAGACTAACTGTTTGGACAGCATCGTGGGCAGTTTACTGCCTTGGTCTAAGAATACTCTCAAGAAGATCGCCGTGCTAGTGGGACCTCTAGTCGACGAAACGTTCCGGCAATTCGAGGATCACGGAAAGAAATGGGAAGACAGACCTGTAAGTGCGTTGCGCAGGGGGGTCGTATCCTTGACTGAGTGATCTGTCAACGCCGACCAAAGAAAAACCTGCTGACCTGGTTAACGGAAGAAGCCAAAGCTGCCGGCCACGGGCCCGAAACCGTCATCTCCGCGCTGCTGTCGAGCAACTTCACCGCCATACACACATCGGCTATCGTGCGTATGCCTCTGGCACCTCCGCAGGACACCTGCTCATGTTCAAGTTTCTGACAGAGCGTGACGCATGCCCTGTATCACATTGCTGCCTGTCCCGAGTTCATCCCGCCGCTCCGCAAAGAGATCGAGGTGGCCGTCAACAAGCATGGCTGGGGTAAACAAGCCATCGGTGAAATGTGGAAACTAGACAGCTTCATGCGGGAGTCCCAGCGCGTCAACGGCACGAGCGGCGGTACGCTTCAATTAGCAGTCCCACATCCGAATCGACGACTGTCGCTGACTCGGATGGGTGTCTCACAGTGTCTGTCATGCGCAAGGCCCTCGTAGACCTCAGGCTGGCCGACGGGACCGTGATACCTGCGGGCACACTGCTTTGTGCAGCCGCGGACGCGACGCACTGCGACGACGAGAACTACGAGGACGCTGGCGTGTTCAGACCGTTCCGCTTCTCCGACATGAGCGCGTCGGAGGAGAGCGAGCGCATCAAGCACCAATTCGTCAGCACGTCGCCGGAGTACGTGCCCTTCGGGCATGGCAAGCATGCCTGGTACGTCGTCCATGCTTCTCAGGAATTCTCGCTCAATATGAAGCACAGCCCTGGTCGCTTCTTCGTGGGTAATGAACTGAAGATGATCATCGCATATCTTGTCCTCAACTACGACATGAAGTTTGAGGACGACGGGCCCCGCCCGCCGAACAAGTGGTTATCGGTCACCGTTATCCCTGATCCGAATGCTAAGGTTTACTTCCGCAAGAGACAAACGGGCAGCGTATAGAGCGCGTGGCCTCTCGCTCTCCGTTATATCAGCTAGCATGTCTCCTGTCGTGGCTATCCATGGTAGTAGTGATGTAGTACAGCATAACGGACAAGATACAAAACGAATGACACAGTACACGAAACGAACGACGTGAAACATGAGGTTCATAGATGTCCTAGCACAAGATCGCCAAGCCACGTAGAGCCTTCATGAGAAAAGGGCTCCGTCTTGTCACAGAGAGGAACACCGACTAAGCCTGCCGACCGGGTGAAACTGCACCAGCGGGAGTAGGCACAAGTTCTCCGACTTGGTCGCATCGCGTCCTTGACGGATCTGCTCGACGTCAGACCGGGCTTTCGAGCGTGTTCATGACTTACCCATGTACACCGCGCTGGTCCTCATAACCACTCGAGGCGGCCGATCGTCTCGTTTCGCACTGCGCGCACCGGAATCAGTATGAACTTGGATGCGCGCCAGAAACTGATGACGTACGCAAGATAGCCTGCTTCATGCGCGCTACCTCCTGCTCGCGGAACTTGAGCTGCACTGCCAAACCTTCGATCACACCCACCCCACGAGTTAGCTCGGCCCCGGCGTGGAAGTGAGTGTCGACGACTGCTCACTGGCGACCTTGCTCGCGCTGAGCTCCAGGTAGGAGCGACTTGACCTGAGCGTCAGTGTCGGTGACACGCCATATCAGCTCCGCGTTGAGGGCCTGCGATCGTCAGAGGGCCTCGGTTCTTGCCATGTCACTGCTATGAGCTGCAGCCGGAACCTTGAACGCGGGTACGGCGGGGAAATCCACGGTCCTCGAGCCGCCAGGTACAGGAAGAACCAGAGAATCGGACGCATCAGTCGGTTCGGGGGCCGCGGAGGTGACACTAGGAGCAGCGAGAACTTGCGGGATGAACGGGTTGAGTCGAGACCCTAGCATCAGCGGAGACAACAGCCTGAGAGTCGCCAATGAGGTCCTGTATTTCCGAGCCTGCCACGGTATCGACATTATGACGATCACGTAGAACAGAGTGGGTGGCAGAACTAGAGCCACCGAGAGACTGAGCCTGCTTGCTTAACGAAGAGGCCTGTCGACTGTAATGAAGTTGCGGGAGAGAACAGCGGCGAGTAGCGTTGGTATGGGTGACAGTCGACGTGCTTGCCGGCGACTCTGTGTTGCGTTGTCGCTTCCGTCCGCGATGCGCAGTGCGATCTGCCATAGAATGCTGCCTCTTGCGCGATCTGGTCCGTGGGTCAGCGGTCTTGTGTGACGGGTCGTTCCGTGGTGCGTCCATGGGCTTGTTACTGAGTGGGGAGGCGGTGCGTCAATCACGCTTGTATCAAGAGGTCGAGGGAGACTTACGGGGTGCAGACAATTATCGCCTCGCTGAGTCACGACGGTACACGCTAGTCAGTGACCCGTCGACACGTAGGGATCGCACTCACACTTGGCACTCAATGTAGCGGCGCGAAGAGACGGCCCTCTCCAAGTCCTCCCGCGCCTTGTCGACAGTATCTTTCTGCGACCGACACAGTGAGCATTCGCAATCGAGCAACGTTCCAGTGCGAGGGATGGAATGCTCACCCCCAATTGGACATCCCAGCAACACATGATGTCTCCTGTTCGCCAGTCCAAAAGTACCGTATATGCGGGAGGAGAGACACCCAGTCTGTCGAAGTCGGGCCGCATGTAGGACGAGTACATGCCCCACGACTTGTGCTTCGTCGCGTCAATCCAGCGCTTCACCACACTGTTGGAGTGACCGCCACAACGGATAATGGCGATGTCAGGCAGGGCGATGCTTGCAGATGACATCGTGTAGAGGTATCGCGAGAGGTCGTAAAGAGCGGAAGAGAGGTCGGAGCTGCATGCGCCGCGATGGGGATGAGGAGGAGATGAGGGGAAAATCCGAGTCTACGACGAACCACGCACGGTCGCCGTCACGCGCGATCATGTGATCGTGACTGGAGCTCGTTCCTCGTTCCCCAACTCGGACATCATCTAGATCCCTGCTGACGGAACCGTTAGTATGTACTAAGATGAGAATTGACCTGCGCACCCGCTTGTTGAACAATGCCTCGAGACAGATCGAGACAGTCGAAGGCTCGCTCATAATCGCATGTCTATCCAACCACTGTCTAGACTCTAGTGAAATGTGTCGGAATGTTAGATCCGTGTAGATAGAATTGTACTAACAGAACTCACCTTAGACTCGAGGCCGATATGCAGTCCTCGTCGTATGCTCGCGCCGGCGCTTATCGCTGGCTGTACATCGCCCGCCTTAGACGGTAGCCTCGAGGCTACCGTGTGCGACGTGCGCCGTCCGACGCCGTCGTATCAGATCAGTACCTGTACGTGTATAAGTAGATAGACAAAGCCAATGCTTACCTCAGAGTTTTCCTCCCGAGCTCTCCGGTCTGCACCCCGACCCTCAAGCACCTGCGTCGCGCCGAGTCGATACTCGCCGCCGTTCCATCGCGTCGTATACGCGATAAAATGCATGCATCCGACGTTTCGGATAACGCGTTCACATACATTCAAGTTCTCCCCAATTCAAAAGAAAGAAACCATGGCAAAAACGAACCGCGTCACCGCGTAGCAAGTAATCCGATGCTTGCCTGCCCCCTAACAGCTGTACATGTCTGGAAGAGCGCAATCAAGGCCGGGCTCGGGTCGGGACTGGGTACTCCACTTCCACACACTGAGACTGAATGCACTCAACGTAGGGGAGGCCGGTCGACACCACGCGCGTTGCTGTGTTCTGCACAGCCGGCGCTTCGTCACGTGTGGGCAACTGCGCGCCGCACGCAGCAGGGCGGAGAGACCATGTAGGTCCAGGATACGTCCTATGTTGGACAAGGTAACGGGGAGAGGAGTAGGGTGAGCTGTGATACAGCTGCAAAGCCAGGGTGTGCAGGAGGATCGTAATCTATGACTGTGCCGTGATTCGGCGGCCGGGTATCCTGTTTATGCGCCCGCATCGATCTTGTTTCCCACCGCCATCCACACACACCCACAACACTCGCGACTCAGTGCGCAGCACCTCACGCAGGCCGCAGGAGTGTCTCACAGGCCTTACAGGGCTAGCAGTCCTCCCATCATCGACATGGCAATCGTCGCCCATCCGTTCAAGCGCGACCCTCCACCAGTGCACACCATCGACCGTCCCTCCTGAACCTGAGGACGACTTTCCCTACTCATATGTCCTTCCTATTTCTTCTGTTACTGCGCCGCGTCTTCCGTACGAAGGACTGTCAGCTTGATGATGTGACCGCCGTGTCGCGCTCTCGTCGACAGCAACGGCCAGGAGGCTCGTTGTGAACGTTGCAGGGCTGGCGAGGAAGCGTTAGTGTGCAGGGTGGTATAGCAGCAGTGTTGACAGTAAGTGAGTCGAGACCATTAATACAGCCAACTCACAGCTGGGAGGCTGACCGTATCATCATTGACGGCCGGGTTGAGTCGCAATCGCAGGCGAGGGCGTGAGGGCGGCTGACACTGACAGCCCCGGGCCCCCAATACTAAGATGCCTGACCGGTGCTGTCTCTCTTTGTCCCTCGCTCTCATTCTCGCTTTCGATTGGCTCGCTTTGCTTAGGTTCGTTTACACGTATCCCTTGCTTTTCCTTGCTCTGCTCTACCGCTGCGCCGCGATGTCCGCTTTCGCCATCACCCTCGACTACGTCGGTCTGAACGCCGCGTACCTCAAGACCCACAAGGAGCGCTCCGGCGACTTCCAATGCGTGTTCGTGTACGACAACGTCGCGTCCCTGCAGCTTCCGCGCCCGGACACAGTGTATCTGCTGGACTGGGAGCAGGGGAAGGTGATGTGCTACTGGAAGATGAGCGGGCCCGACGGGGTATGCTTCACATCGCTCGCACTGGCACGCTCGTATGACTAAACCGGACGCTTGTAAGGCTCTGTACGCTGAGTCTGTACGGCGGAAGGTCGAATCCGTGCGCAAGGACGCCGTGCTCCTGGCGTCGCAGGACATGTGAGTGCTCCGCCGTCACGCCCAGAACACCTTCGCCTCCATCCATCACCTTCCTCCCCATCCTCCGCATCCCACCCTCTACATACACACCTCTCCTTCCTCGATCTACCGGATGTACGACTAACGCTTGGGCCCCAGCTCGCGCATCCACGACGCCCCAACGCACCCGTAAGCAGCCTCGCCTTCTCCACTCCAACCTCCCGTCTGAACCCACCACTAGCCTGCCGCGATACCGCATCGCCGGTGTCCCAAACCACATCTCCGCGTCGCGCAAGCGGCGTCGGGCCCTGCAGCCGGTCCAGGAGCCCCAGCCCAAGAAGGCCAGGACCGCTCATCCCGTGAACCCCAATAATGAACCGCGGGACGAGAATTCCGCTGGGGCGGCCGCCACAACCGCCGTCGGGCAGGGTTCTCACGCGATGGCTCCCGCTAGCAGGGCTCCTCTGGCTCCTGTCGCGAATCAGAACGCGCCTGCCCCTGGCAAGTCTGCTCAGTCTGTGCGACTTGGTACCTCGGCTGGCCCCGCTGCGCGTCCGACGGAGTTTGGGTTTATTTCTGGCGGCTGTGGAACGACTGTCGCGACTGGCATGGCAGCTCCGGGTATCATCGTCAAGGCCGAGGCACAGGACGACCGAGCCATGCTAAACGTGTCCTTCAATACTACCCCGGACGGCGCCGATATGAAGGTCAAGGCCGAACCGAAAGTCGAGCTCGCCCTGCAGCGCGGTGCCGAGGACAAGATGGAGGCTCTGCGCCGCGAGATATTGAAGACGTACGACGCCGACGTGCAGTCCCTCGCAGACAACGCTCGTGAGCGCCCCTTGACCCTTCTCCGACATCAGGCTGATCTAACTCGCGTGCGGTAGGCCTCCGCGAGGCGATCGCGCAGATCCAGAAGCGCGTCGACCGCTGCGCGCGGGAGAGCCTGAGGACCGCCGCGCCGAGCAGTGTAGGCGGTCGTGGCAGGAGTTCCAGGTGAAGCTGGGCAGGGGGCGGCGGGGGTAGGGTCCGATCCTGGGTCGATGTTCTTGTGCGAACGTGGGTGTGCTGGGGTTGTTTGGTTGTTGTTCGTGGTGCGGCGTGTAGTGATAATGGATCTGCGTTATCCGGCCTGGAGAGCTTTGCTTGACGCGTCACGATGTGGGCCCGGCTGGTACTCGATGGGTGAGGCGGGGCAGTGAGGTGTCGGCGCCGGAGTTGGTCTCGACGAGGGCCAGCACGGTTCCGACGCAAGTCGTCAGCTACAGAGTATGCTAGCGAATGAACGGGCATGGGGACTCATTGGTGTCGTCGAGGGCCGTGAGGCGCCATGCATGCATGCGCGCGCAGTACCCGTGTCGTCGGATTCGGGCATACCAGCGCGTCGACGTGAGGACATGTGAGAGGGCCGGCCGCACCACACAGCACAGCGACCGACACCGAGGAGCAGTTGGTTCAACTCCTCAATCCGTGGTGACCGGGGACCGGCGCAGTGCGATGACTTGTTCAGGGTGCCAGATAGGACCTTCTTCCATCCACGCTGCGCTTGCTCAGGCAGACACGCGTCGCCGAGAGATTGAACCCTCAACACGACGCAGGACACGAGGAAGTTCATTGAGACAGCAGAGGTTGTGGCGCTGAGCGGTGACGACCGGTGACGGACGCTGAATTCGGGAGCAATGCCGGGAGATCGATTTTCCCTCTCGATAGATCCGCGGCCCCATCTGGAGATAGCCACCGCGATGCCATCAGCCGTCCGTTGACCTCCTGCGAACTTGAACCAGGTCGTGTTCCTGCTGCTGCATGCCGGCGACGCGAACTCCCTGAAGTCCCTCCTCTGCGTATCGCACAACGGCTGCCTGCCAGTCACCAAGCAAACCGCCACGTGACGCCCAGCCTGCTGGACGAAATGCAAGACGGGGTGGGGGGACGTGGCTGACGGACGTCAGCAACCATAGCACAGTGAGTACTTATGTGTGCAGGAGGGAACGACCCAGGATCTTCCCGAGTGGTCCATGTGGCACACGCGCCCGCCTGTCGCGCAGGGTTGACGCGTGTTCCATGTGCGTCATGCGGGGCCTGGACCACCGTCTCACTTTTTGACAGCGCCACCTGGCCATTCTCCGAGTCGTTGTCAGTGGTCGCGGCATCGTCCCCGTACTTGCGCTGTGATACTCCGCCGACGTCAGCGGGCCCAGCTGTTCCCCTTCATATGCACGACGCTATCGTGCGACGCGGCCGCGGCACGTTTGATGATGGTGAGCTCGTCACAGTCAGTTCGTGTCGCGACCTGGTCGCAAGTTCTGTTCTCATCGCACGCTTTCCTTTGTTACATGACTAGGGGTAGACCCCGATGTGCTGGAACAGATTCATCACTGCCTCCTCGTCACCGACCTGCGGTAAGGAGTGCGTCGTACCAAAGACTCAGACAGCCAACACCCAGTGAGCCCCAGCAGGACCAGCCAGAGCGCCCCCGCAATTCCCTCGTCGATCGCAACGTCGCTGAGCTTGAGCACCTCCTCGCCCAGCATAAAAGCCTGCTGTGCCAAGCACACGGCAGACAGCGTCGGTGAGTCGCAGCGTCCCATGCCGCCACGGTTTCCCTTGCATGTGCAGGGATGGATGACGCCCTCGTTATCTCGCCGTTGTGTATACTGGTTGCGCTAATAAATATTCTCATTGGCATCCCTTCTATGTCCCTTCGGTACACAACTGGCATTCAAGTTCCACCGCCTCCGAGTCAGCGACTGTGGTTGACTGGTCTGCGGAGGCTGACAGTCACCGCGACACTCGTTATAAGTACCTTCGCACCGTCTCCCTCCTCTGCCTCACAGCCTATCTTCTTCGACCGCCTCCTCACCCCCTACACTCGTCACTCCATTCACAGCATGCCGCCCAAGACGCCCTCACTCTCGGTGCACATCTCCTACCGACTCGACGGCAGCAAGGTCGCCTACATGCGCAGCCGCGAGCACGACGTCTGCGAGTACTACCCTGAATTTCTCGAACGCCACCTTCTGTACCTCCAGCTCCCCTCAAAGTGGATGTACGACACGACGCTGCAGAGCCTGCCCGAGGGGAAGATCCAGTGCAGGTGGTTGGCGGGCATCGTGGACGACGACTCGGAGGTGCGTTATGCTTTCTCGAAGTCCTTCTCTCACTGAAGCGTGTCCCCCAGTCTGGACTGCTTACACAGATCGCCGGGCAGGTCGAGTTTCTCAACAACCCGGGTGCAGCTCAGCTGCTCAGACTCCTCGAGATGTGAGTGCCGTGCTGCTATTCCCAACATGAGAAACACTGACCCAGCGCGTTCGATTGGCAGTTCCAAGATCGAGCTCGCGCAGCCGTGAGTGGTCTTATCCTCATGCTTCTCCGTACGAATTCGTTCTTCACGCCTACCGAACGGCTCATCCATCCACCGATTCAGTGGCCCGCCATCCCTGCTGGATCGTGCCGGGTTCCACCCGCATGCATGCATGTATGCGGCCGTGTCCTTCGCCCGGTCTGGCACCAGGCATCGGGCAGGGCTCTGTCTCGCTATGGCGCTGCCCCAAAGACCGTCACCATCCCGTTCCGAGTCCTATCCGAGTTGAACACCTGCTCACCAACTCGCCCCACGTAGGACCCCAGCCACGCAAAGCCCCGTCGTCCAACCGTCCGACGTACCACATCAGCCACGTTCCGATCCTCAGACCAGCGCGCCAGTAGCTGCAGAAACCGCCACACGGGCGGAACAGGAGACGCATGCCGGGGACGACGGCCAGCGCGCGCCCGCAGCGCCTACCGACCCGAAGGTCGCCGAGCTCGAGGACCTCCTCGCACAACACAAGGCCTGCTACGCCAAGCACACCGCGGAGAACACCGGTGAGTGCGAGTGAGCGCGTCTGCATTCCGAGCACGATGCTCACCCGGACTCGTATTATCCGCGCCCTCCGATACCCGCGAACGTTGCCGTCGACGCAGAACTGAACGATGCGTGTCGGCGTCTGGAGGAGGAGGAACGGCGGGCACGCGAGGAGAGGGCGCGTAAACGTGAGTGGCCAATCGTGCGATGTCGGTGACCACTCATGCGGTGTCCGTGCAGGCTTGCGTGGCGGGGCAGGCGGGGCCCGTGGTGGAGGTCGTGGAAGCGGAAGGGATGTGCGGCAGAGGGTGCTGTGATGCGCGGGAGGAGAGGGGTCCGAGCTCGGGGTCGTGAAGTGGGCGGATCCGCGTCGCGTCGAGTCTTGAATCGGAGGTCTGTACCTGCGTTGGTTCGAGTTCGTCGTGTGAGTTGCACGGTCTCGTCGACGCAACCGCCAGTGTCTGCGTATGATCCTACAGTCAGACGCGAGATTCCCAACGGGGTCGGGCAAGCTTGGGCCGCCGGGTCTGGGTCATTGTTCTGTTTCGCGCATTTCGATGTTGTATCGTATTCTACATATCAATAGGCAGATGTGTTAGACGATGCAGTCGCAAGCAGTAATGTACAGGTCCCTGACAACCACTCGACGCGAGTGAACATCGGCTTCGCAGACCTATCGAGGCGTGCCACAGCGTACTCCGTTGAACCTCTGAAGCGACTGCGGAATTCTTCATCCCACGATTGTGAGCTTCAAGCGAATTCAAGATCGGCGGGGCAGACTCACGCATCGTGTTCCTGGGGAGTGACGTCCACCAGCTGCTGAAACAAGACACGACACTTCTCGAGCAAGGCTACCAATCGCACATGAGCAATTGCTCTCTCAAGGAGCGCGCGCGGAACTCATTGGCACCGCTTTCCCTCGGTTCAGTCGATAGCAACTCACGCTACAGCGCCGCCATCGCCTTGTCGCGACCTTTGAGGTTGTGAGCAACCGACACGTAGCAGATGTTTCAATATGACTAACCTCCGATAATCCTGTGCGTCTCTCGGTCTACATGTCGCACCTTTCTCCAGAGTTCTCGCCTATACTCGCGGTCCTTGTCCGCCAGCTGCGTCCGAATCTCCTCGACTCGCTACGCCAGTCTTGTGCGGCCCATGAGATGCGCCAGACTGAGACCCAAAGGCTGTAGACTGATACGTGCCCGTGCCGTCCAACGCTCCCACGAGCAGTGTGTCGAGACCCGAGATCCTGGCCGCGGTCGTACATGCTGCCGACCGAGCTTGAGAAGACTCACCAGGATGACCCGAGGCGTTGCCAGGTCACGGTGTCAATATCCGAGACAGCAGAGGGGTCGGACCGGGCGACTCCACGGAGAGCCTGGTGCTGATTCCAATGCTGTTGCGCAGTATGCTGCCGTTCTCCTCGCCCAGATTGTCGGGGCCGACGGACGAGCACCATGACCAGGCGCGAGGGCTTGCCCGACAGTTGTTGTCGGCGCGATCTGGTCTCCCGCAGCTAAGCAAGTGTTGTCGTGTCCAGAAGAGCCGGTCGCCAGCACGAACTGCTGAGTATGCGGTCGCCTGCGAGAGTGAGCAACAGCGACGTGGGCATTGTTCCGGCAACACCGTCGTCAGACCGCTTCAGGGGATTGCGTCAGACAGCATGGCGTGTACTAAGCTGCTGTCGCAGGGGCCTCGACGGTCGTTCACCGTAGTGCCATGTTTCGTGACCAGAAACGACCTCTGTACGCGACCACGTGCCTTCGTCGGAGGATGTGCGACGCACCACGGTGGCTGCCTCCGCTGAGTCCGCTCGTGTTGACCATTGCATCTCACATGCTAGCTGGTTCGTTGTCCACGTTTACCGCCTTCCTTTACAGCTGTTTGCCCGTCTTATCTCTTGCTCTTCATGCCTTGCTCATTCTCTACCTCTGCCGTCTCCGCTTGGCGACGTTGCCGCCACGTCGTGACCCACGACCACTTACTTGGCTACCAGTCGATCAGCTGCTACGCTTACACCATCCTGACTCTCGTTGGGAGCACCCTTGACTCGCCTGTTCTCTGCAACTCCGACGCACAGGGCTTTCGCACGCTGAGCTGGATCAGAAGCTGGCCAATGGGGTCGGGGTGTCGGTGAGTCCACTAGGCTACACCCTCCTGGACAGCGCCAACTTGAAGCTGACGGTTGCGTGAGAGTAGCTCTGGCGACTCCATCCCCGAGTGAGCGGTCGATTGCGACAGACGCCTGCTCAGCCGCGCCGCCGTTCATCACGCAGAAGACGACCTTCAGGACACGCAACGAGGAGCCATGACGATGTCAGGCACAACAGGCGCGGGGAACAGGTGAATGCGAGTGGCAGAGGAGCAGCGGCAAGGCACGTACGTCGTGTACTGATCTCGTACCGGTCTTGTTTGCCGATAACCGCCACATGTTCACTGCCAGCGGCGCTCTGCGTTGCATACGAGAAGGCCGTCTACGCGAGGCCGCAAACACAGGTCCAGTACCTGCCTCTCGCTAGTCGCGCTTTTTCGGCGCGAACAGCTGCACACTGCGTCAGGGGCATGTCAGGTGGAAGAGTTCACGAAACGTACACAGTAAGCATGGTCAGCGTAGTCCGGACCGATGTGTACTCACGCACAGGTTCGCTTTTCGTGGTCTATCACGTCGAATGTACGGGCGACATGTTTGTCGGGGCGAGGAGACCTGTTCGGCGCGACGTGAGTGGCGGCCGGGGTCGAAACGCACACAGGAAAGCGAGACGCTACGCACGTACCAACGGAAGGGTCGGGACAACACCCGCGACACTGTTTGATGGACGAGAACCACGCAAGAACATCCCAGGAATGGTAGCCGCCGTGCGTCGCCTGCACAGTCATCAAGGGGACGGATACGAGTCAGCCATGCACACAAAGACGTAGAGGACACCAAGAACATGCCACTTCACGAAACACGTGAGATGGTGTTGAACTTCCGACTTTCCAGTGTTATCTTATCTTATCAGTTACGTACATATATGGACTTGTGTTCTGCGATGTAGTATTACATACATTCTTTTGATGGACTCTGTCTGGACTCATCTTGTGACTCGCTCCAGACCGATCTACACTGTTCCAGACTTATTCTGGATCATTCCACTCCCTTCCGGCATGTTCCATGACCTTCCAGTACATTCCTTGATCACATGGACGCTTATGCATATCCCTATCTCTGGAGTTAAGGCTTACTCATTTCCCTAAAACTCGGACTTAGTGATTACTGATCTGCTTACTGATGTAGCATGTGATCAGTCCCAGACATGTATATATACTAGGGTGATTCCCCCCTAATGGATAACGATCTCTCCTCTCTTCTGCCTGCCTAGCATCAGAGTCTTCCCTCTGGGATAGGTCTGTTCACTCCACTCTACTGTCCTTCACTTCCACTGGCCTAACAAGCCCTTCTAAACCTCTTTCACTTCAACAGGTTATGAGCCCCGCGCTCTGATCGTTTATATCACCTGTACCTTTTGCGCAACCAAAGCCCAACTCTTGAAAGAGTGAGTTGGCATATTTTGTCCTTATTTGGACTACTGTTTAGCCGCTCTGTGACAAGTGCCCAAAGCCTTGTCCAAGCGCATTTCCAGGGTAGCTCGCAAGAGCAATTACGAAGTTTTTCCACCGTCTCGTCGTGAGAGATACGACGTAGGCGACGCCGACACTAGCGCTGTTGCTGAGCGTCATCAGCGTTTATACGGTCATCTACCCATCGATCGCCAGATCGATATCATCCTCACTCCTACCCCGCGCCCTCGCCGTCCCACCTATCGTCGCCCTGACACCTCTCGTCCCCCGAAGGCGTCCTGTCGCAAGACCCTTGAGCAGCAGCTTGAGGAGCTCCAGTTGAAGGCAGACGACTCTAGGGCACTCCTTGAAGCTCGACGTGCGGAGTACGCTGCTACGCTTGCCGCTGAAACCGCCGCCAAAGAAGCTGCCAAGGCTTCCCTTATCGCACGCATCGAAGGCGTACCTCTTCCCCTTCCTATCACAGCCCTTAAGCCGTTTGACGCCGACTTCAAGAAGAAGTCTCAGACGGAGAAGGCCGCCATCCTCACGAAGCGTCTCTTCGCCGTTCAGAAGCGCCTTCACCCTCTCTTCACCCACAAGCTGCGCGACACTGTTCGCTGGTCACTCACCGACAACCTCAACGCTTTTGGACGTCGGTTCAATTGGGTCTGTTCTCACTTTGAGACAGAGGGTCATTCGTGGTCGCACGACGCGCTCAACGACGTCAAGCTTGTCTGCGAGCTGATTGGGAAGATCTCCTTCAAGGAGCTTAGCAAGAACCTTTCTAAGGTTACTAGGGAAGTTGGGGACTTGCACAAGGGCAATCACTTGGCTTGGGTAGACAAGTATTTGTAGTCGCGTCACAAATTTTATCTTTGTTCCTGGAATATTTTTCAGTGAAGCATCACAACTGTGGCAACGTCTCAAGAGGAGACATTTGCAGAGACTCAGGTCTCTTCAGGCGAAGAGTCAGACGACTCATACGATTGTTCAAACCACTACCATCTATACGACTACGAGGAGGTTTGCGACGCTCATTATAGAGACGACGATCAAACCTGGTGGAACTGTGATAACACTCATTGTCCAAACCGTTACCACACACCATCTGGTGATTTTCCTCGAGGCTTCAAAGCTGGTATCGCTGTCGAAGCTTGGCAAGACAATTTCCTATTCGCCAACGAATTTTCGGAGTCACCTCCAAAACCTGAACATTTAATCTCGCTCCCTGAGTCGAGATCTCAAACACCTGAACCGGAGGAATTACCCTTCGAGTTATTTACACCAGAACCTCCTTC